AGGTCCTCTGTGGGGAATCACTGATGTTTCTACCTGAGCAGGTGGACGTAGCTGAGCTGCTCCTTCAAAGGAACACTTTGTGTTAATAAGACTAATGAGCTGAAGTATTTGACATTTGCTTTTTATGAATACTTTGAGACATGTTTGTTGTTTTCTATGCAGTGATGAAGGATCGTGGTTCTTTCATGTTGCTCTCTTGTCTTTGTCTTCATGTGGAGATTATTGAACATGATTCAGGACCTCATGCGTAAAGGAGGGGGGGTCTGCTGACTGTCTTCACCCAGAACACAGGCAGAACTCACAGGAGGAAGAGATGGCAGTGAGCTGTGATATCAATATCCAACATGTGTCAGCAAAGCAACTTAGGGGACTTCTTAAGAACACTTTGCTCCTGGTCACTCACTTCATTCTGAGTGTATTCTTACTAGAGTTATTCAGGCGGTGAGATGCACATCAACACAGAGCTACAATTAATACAGCGCTCATTAGACAGCAAGCCTTCTGAGAAACTCTCATTATTCATAATAATAATAATAGGGGAACAGTAAATTAACCATTTATTGGAACAGACTTCAAACTCAACACTCTTTGTTGTTTTCTCCGTCCTTCAGCTGACAGTTTATCTTAATTAATCATTCAAGATCAATGAGTTAATCATTACATTTACCAGGGTCCATCTGTTCTCACTAAAATAACAACTCAACAGCTTCTTGTGTGTCTTCACTATTGGGGTCCCTCAAGGCTCCGTCCTGGGTCCCCTCCTCTTCTCTCCGTCATCCACTCACATGACTTCTTCTACCATCGCTATGCTGATGACATCTAACTAATCCTGTCTTTCCCCCAATCTGAGACACAGATAGCAGCACAAATCTCTGCTGACTGACAGTCTCAGTGGATGGCTGCACACCTTCTAAAGATCAACATTGACAAGAATGAACTTCTTCTCCCGTTAGGAAAGTATTCTCGGAGAATACGTCCCCTTCTCAACTCAGAAGGCTATGGTCATCTCACGCCTTGCCTATTGTAACTCCTCCTCTCCAGTGTTAGCCGTGATGCCAGTAACAGTAATGCTATCCCCTCACCCCGAAGAAACACTGGAAGTTTTTTTTTCGTGTTTACAATTGTCCACTCCTCGCTGCGCGCATACACACAAGCAGGCAGGGAGCGAGTGTCCCTCTTGGTTTAATGCACTTATTATAATTCGTTAAACAAACACAGGACTTTCACCCAGGAGGCCGATGACAAGACGTATGTCATCAGGTTGGTAGACAGAGCAGAAGAGCATTAGTGTTATTGGTAAGGTTTCTCCCTAAGGAGCAGATCTAAATGCACCTTGTCTCGGTGCGATGACCTCCAGTAGCCCCCACTCCCCACTCCCCCACTCCCTTTTCAGTGCAAACTCAGGCCTGTAAATTTGTGTTCTTCAGCCATTAATACAGAAGCCTAATTTTTGCTTTCATTTTAGTCCCCCCCCCCCCCCCCCCACGGTGTGAGCCGAAGACTTATTTGAATCCTTCTTAGGGGTAAATAACATTATGCATGGTGTCTGTATCTTCATAATTCACATCACTAAAGTCAATTTGGTTTATGTGCTGCTCCAGAGATGTCTGGGAGAGAACGAGTTGGATGGCTGAAACAAGGAGAGAGACTCTCATACTGCATTTCATAATGTTTCTACTTCCTGCTTTGCAATTGGAATATTACATACAATCATACATCTCATATATATATATATAGTATATACATGTGTATTTAAATATATATACATGCACTTTATTTTTTTATATTTTTTAACTTTAACTAACTTTAACTTTATTCTTATTTTATACTAACCCATAGCCTTATTCTACTAACCCATTGCATTAGCATTTCATTTTATTTTATTACTTGTGCACTGCTGTCTTGTTGTCTATTGTTACACTGTCTACTGTCACGCACAAACCGCCAAGTCAGATTCCTTGTATGTTTGACATATTTTGGCAATAAATGTTTCCTGATCCTGATTCCTGATATATATATATATATATATATATATATGTATGTATGTATATAATATATATGTATGTCGCTGGTTTCTGACAGAGAAGAAGAAAGTGTGCAGAACAAAGAGGGTATCTCTGGTTCTGCTGCTTCCATTTAAATCTGTTAATAACTGTCCATCAACTCCATTATTTTGATTATTAAATAATCAGATCATAATTCTTACTTGCCCAGAACTCAAAGACATTCAGAAGACTGAGATATGAAACGATGGAGAAGCTGGAAGCAGCAGATGTGTTTGTTTTTTCATGATGAAAATGAAGTGAGTTCCAGCATGAAAAGGTGCTGATGAGAGATGAAAGGAGAGGAGAGATTTAAAATGCAGGAGGTTTGTGATAAAAGTGATCGTTTCTCCTCTCATCGCTCACAACACATTCTTTCTAGGAAGTAGGAATATTTAAAACAGTTCACAGTGAAGAAACCGACGTCTCTGGAAAACCTCCGAGTGACGTGAGGAATAATTACCTCTCTAAACCCACAGACCCGGAGCGCCGTCAGAAAAATAAAGAAGGGTTTTGAAGAAGCAAAGAAAAGAGAAAAGGTGTCAGTGTTATGAAAAAGAAGCTGTCAGGACATTGTCTTTGAACCTGATCAGAGACATCATTTACTCACATAACACAGGAGACGAGACAAAGGGAGCAGGACTCCTCCATCTGTCTCTGCACCCGCCTCCGCCTTCGCCTCCGTGAAGGCCGGGACCCCGCCACTGGACTCCCCCGCTGCCTCCTCGCTGGCTGTATGAAGGTCCTTGTCCGGATTCTGCTACTGTTTCTGGCAATGGTACTGGACCTGGTCCTGTATTAGTTTCTGGTCCCGGCATCTGGTACTGGTCTTTTACCTGATCCTGATCCTGTATTGGGTCCTAGTCCTGTATCTGGTCCAGGTGGGCAAAGGTGTTTCCCTGATTCTGGACTCTTTCCATTTTCTGAGGTGAAGCTTGGTAAAATCAAATCAAAAACAAGAATACTTTACAATCTAAACAAATCAAAGTTGAAAGAATGAGTCTTAGTAATGTGTTTTCAGTGTTATTAACAGATTATTAAGACTGTTCATTTGTCTAATTGTCCAATGTATTCACCCCCCTCAATGACAAATTCTTGCTCCACCATACTTGGAAATAAATGGTTCTGTTTCTTATTCTGATTTTGATTAATAATAGTAACAATCACACAGAGTTGGTAACAAAGTAGGCCAGATAAAACATGTTTATTCGTTGAGTCTAATCATGAAAGATCCTCAATTCCACTTTAAAAGTTCAATTCCACTGTAAAAACAGACCTTTATTTTGAAAATCCATTCTTAAACATCCGCTCACCTCTGGTTCTGAGTAATACAAATATTCCCTCTACAGTCTAAACACAATCACCTCTGGCCCTGGACCTGATTCCAGCCCTGGCTCTGCTGAGTTTGTGACAAATCCTCAACTGAAGCCCTGCTACATCCTGCTGGATTCTGGTCTGCTCTCTGACCCTCTAGCAGGTCCGGAGGTGGAACTTGAGCTTGATCCTGGTCTCGACGAGAGAGAAAATCCAGTTTGGTAATCTGACGATCCTGGTGTCTGTACAAGTTAAGGTCTTGTATCGAATGCATATCTTCACCATTGGAGCACTGAAGCACGTCGTCCAGAGAAGATTCAGGTAAATCTTCCTCCATTGTATTGTGGTCTTCCTCAGTGTTCTTCATCTGCAGTCTTGCTACATAGTCTTCTGTTCTGTTGTCTTCTTTCCTGTCTTTTCTACTGTGTTTCTATTATAAAGAGAATAAAGTTATCCACCCTTTGATGCAGCCTGGATGTTGCCTGTGATTATTGATTATTTATTTGTTATTGATTATTGTGACAGTAAAGGGTTGTTTCTGGTAGAATAGAATAACTTCTGTCCCTGTGAATTCTCTGCACGTCTCGATGTCCCACAGGTGTTAATTACAGACAACGTGGATCGCATTTAATGCGATTTTCCAATCAGTTACACATATCGTCTTTCGGGGACCTCCGGACATTCGTGCTAAGCTAACTCACAAGCTACCAAACGAGCGCTCCATTTATCTGGAAACCTTCACAAAAAAGGAGGAGAACATCTTCCTAAACATTCTACTTTGCTAATTGTTAACATTGGTTTTTGATATGATGAAATTATCTGCTTCTGCTTTGCCCTCCCGGCGGTCTCAACTTCCTTGGAACAGGAGGAATAACCCTTTATCTGAAGTCTATACAAAATGCCTGGGAACACAGGAGAGCAGGATTCTGCAATGAAGACATGGAACAAAGACAGAACGAAGACAACAGGAACAAAGACCACATAAAGAGACTAAGTACCCGGCCAGGAGACCAGAGACAAAAATGTTTCAATACAGTGAGGAGGACAGGTGATTACAGTAAACACAATAGGACACTCCTACTTCTCCTCTTATCTTCCTCTTTTCCTCCTCTCCCTCCTCCATCTCCTTCTCCTCTTCCTGCTCCATCCTCCTCTATCTTTCTCTTCCTCCTCCTCTCCATCCTCTTCCTTCTTCCTTCCCTGCTCCCTCCTCCTCTTATCTTCCTCATCTCCCCCTCCTTCTCTCCCTCCTCCTCCTCCTCTCCCTGCTTCCCCCTCTTCTTATCTTCCTCTACTTCCTCCTCCTCCTCTCCATTATCCTCCTCCTTACCTGCTCCCTCCTCCTCTTATCTTCCTCTCTCTCTTCCTCCTCCTCTCATCCTCTTTCTCCTTCTCTCCCTGCTTCCTCCTCCTCTCATCTCCCTCTTCCTCCCCATCCTCCCCCTTCTCCTCTCCCGTCTCCCCCTCCTCTTATCTCCCTCATCTCCTCTCCCTCTTCCACACCATCCTCTCCTCCTTCTCTCCCTGCTCGCTCCTCCTCTTATCTCCCTCATCTCCTGTCCCTCTTCCACCCCATCCTCTCCTCCGTCTCTCTTTGTACTGCTTTCTCCTCTGCGTCCTCCGTTCTCTTACCCCCCCCCCCCCCCCCTCCCTCCCCCATCCCGTCTCCCGTAGTTGCCCGCCTTGTCTGTCCGGTGTGAGTTGGTCCGTGCGTAATACTCTGCGCGCTGTCATGTCTTTTCGGGGTTTCATTTTCCCGCCGTCCGTGTCTCTTTCTCTGAGCCCGCCCTTCGGTACCAGAGTTCTGTTGGGACCAAGGCCGGAAGAGCTGGGTCGGTCCTCTTCGGGATCAGCCTTCGCTCCGTACTCCGGATCCGGGTCCTCTCCCGGTTTCAGCTCGCACCTCCCGTACGGCAGCTCCTTTGTGGTGAGTGACCGGAACGGGACCGGAACCCGGAGTAGATGGATCGGTCCGGAACTGGGACCAGGCCAGCTGCTCCGGGTCGGAGACTCACCCGAACACACTTCTGGTGCCTTTGAGGTTTACCTGGGAGCCGCTTGACGAGTTTTATCTTCGGACGTTTGGGTGAAAACATTTTTTTTTCTTTACTTACTTAAAAAAAATGAATCCAGGATATAACAAGGATTTAAATTAAATGAGAATGTATGTTAAAGTGAATTAAAGAATTAAAGAAAGTCATGAAAATAACGAAATGTGAATTTAAGAGAAACACAATAATAATAAAAATGATAATAATTGTAATGGGAATGATAATAATAATGACCTAATCATTATTAATATTATTATCATTATTTTGTTAATAACAATGGAAATTATAATAATGATATTAGCTGAATTAAGGAATCTCACACCACAAATTAAAGCTGCACCAGTAACTTTCACTTACCAGTCACTTTAGATTTAATTAGATTTAATTGTTTTGGGTAATGGGTGAATAAATTATAAATAGACATTTAGTAAAATCTTTGTTTCTACAATAAATTTATTTTACTCTGAGGAATATAATAATAACAAATAACAAACTAACAAAACTGGAAGCTTTCTTTCTGGTTGTGGATTTACAGCTACTATTTTTAGATGAAATTCTATTTGTGTGTTTTAACGAAACCTTTATGTACCCGGAGTGTCCTTAACCGGATGAAGATGAAGATAGAGAGATTAAGATTAGGAATCAGAGGTGCACAAACAGCCATGAGGTCTCAGCCGTTCTCTTCTTCCGGTCTTTCAGAGTCCCGGTTACAATCCGTCCTCGGGGGTCTCGGGCTCTTTGGACTACCACCCGTCCACCACCCTTGGGGCCCTGGGGCCCTACGCCTACGGAGAACCCTCTTACCGGAAGAATGCCACGCGGGATGCCACAGCGACGCTGAAGGCCTGGCTCAATGAGCACCGGAAGAACCCCTACCCCACCAAGGGGGAGAAGATCATGCTGGCCATCATCACCAAGATGACGCTCACTCAGGTCTCCACCTGGTTCGCTAACGCACGCCGGAGGCTGAAGAAGGAGAACAAGATGACCTGGACCCCCCGGAATAGGAGCGAGGACGAGGAGGAAGAGGACCACGTCGAGCTGGAGAGGAACGACGAAGACAAGGAGACCGTCAAGGTCAGCGAGGAGCCCGAGACTGGGAGCCAGGCCGGTGAGTGGGAGGAGTCAGATCAAATTGATCATATTGATTATTGATTAATATGTTAATTCATTTTTGAATTTGATTTATCGGTCGTTTGTCATTATATCAGAAAAAGATTCAACTTTTTATTGAAAAAACCCCAAATGATTTTATATTATTCGATCAATTAATGAACAATTAGTCTTAATAGTTTTATTTGGTTTCTGTGTTGTTATTTCTATTGATTATTGTTAATTAATCATCACAATACTGTAATCATCGGTGGCAGCCGTACGCATGTGTGTAGCTGCCCGTCTACCAGCCTCCGTAGGACCTCTTGTGTGTTGTGTGGTTGTTCGTTGTATAAGGGTGTATTTGTTTGTGTGTGTATCTTTGGGCATGTTCACATGTGTACGTGTATTTATGTGTGTGTGTTCCTGCTGCACACATGTTCGTTGTGTGTGTGTTTATGTACAGTAGATGACCTATAATGTGTGTGGTTTTGCGTGTATGTTTAATTGTTTGTGTTTAATTGTGTGTATTTGTTTGTGTATAATCCTGCTGCTGACCTGTATGTATTCTATATTTGTATGTCTGTGTGTTCTTCTTCTTGAGGCAAGAAAAAAAGATGATTAATCATTACAGGTCATTTAGCTGACGCTTTTATCCAAAGTGACTTACAATGCATTTTTAACTCATCGCTTTTTTTTTTACATTTTGGCCCATTGAGCAATTAGGGGTTAGGGGTCTTGCTCAGGGACACAGTGCAGCCAGGGCTCGGACCGCCAACCTTGCGGTTCCCGGCATACCCTCTCTACTCCATGCGCCACCATCGACCCTAAACGTCAAATCCTAATCGTCTTCCAGAATATAGTAGGCCTTTTACCCTGAGGCCGGTGGGGAACTGCGTCTGGGGTAGAACCACCCGCCCAAGACTATGCCTCTCGATGGCCTCCGTTTGGCTGCACTTAGCCATGTGGGGCACTGCTCGCCGGCTGGGCCATCACACTGTGTGTTTGTGTGTTATCTGTGTTTTTGTGTGTGTTCCTGCTGCTGACCTATGTATTCTGTGTGTGTTTGGTGTGTGTTTATGTGTGTGTGTTTCTGCTGCTGACCTGTGTGTGAGTGTGTGTATCTCATCTACCAGCCTCTCTGGGGACCCCCTGCGTTTTGCTGTATCGTGAGGACAGCGGAAGCAGCAGTGACACGGACCGAAGCTTCACCGATCCAGACTTCAAGAACTCGGGGAACCAGAGGCTGGCCCTCGTCCCGGGCCCCGCTTCTACAGCTCACCCCCCCCAGACATCACCTACAGGGTCATTTGTAGGGCCACAGCAGGAGCATAAAGAACCCGTAGACTTGATTCGGGGATCAAACCCTAAACCCAAACTCTGGTCTCTGGCTGAGATCGCCACCTCTTCCGATAAGCAAAAAAGACCCAGTGACACATCTCAGACCCAGTTCCCACACAGCCCCGTCCTGGCCCGAAATCTCTACACCACCTCCTCCTTCCTCCCTAGGTACCCCGGCTTTGGCTCCCTGGGGGCCCCCCAGGGCGGCTCACACCTGAATGGATTACACCACACGATGCTGCAGAGGGCCGAGGCCGCGGCCAGAGCCTCAATAGTCCAGAACCATAACCTGCTGGACCTGCATGAGCTGAACAGAAGCTGAAACTCTTTTGTCTTTGCTGCTGGACTCATCCGGATATCAAAACTCTGACGCGAACGCTCAAGTACTGGAGAGGGTTTTATATGTTCATGAAACTGTCATGAATTAAAGGATAGTAAGACAGAACCAGATGTTACGCTCTCATTCACCTAACACCGATGCTGAGGGAAACATGTGGATGAGCAGAATAAAATGGTCCAAAAATACAGACAATTAAAAGAACTATGTAGGGAGAGAACATTAGAGTTATCACATTTAATTAGAATTGTGACCTCAAATACCAATGTCATGATTAATAATGTGGATTCATATTTAAATGAATGGTTTTAAATTGTTTATCAAACATTTTAATTAATTTTGACATCAGCTTACATTTATTGCCAATTGCAAACTCTCTATATATATATATATACAGTATATATATGGATTAATTGGAAAGATTATTAATTACCTAATGAAAATAAATAAATTAAAATTCATTTAAAGTTAATATCTGCTGGTTCCGGATATACAGTATCTACAAATGCATATAAACAGTATTTTACAGTAAAAGAACATGAGAAGTCATGTCAAAGGTGTTTTTCCTGTTCCTGCTGATTTTATTATTATATATGACGATCATATTCTAAAAACATCTTAGAGCACCATTTCAACAGAACTCAACGTCTCTTAAAAAGATTTTTGAAAGTGATAAAATTATTTTTTCAATTCTAAAAACATCACTGTGTTGTAAAATATGAAACCAGCAGCGTGGTGTTCACACAGGTTGAAACAACTTTTCCAGTCATTTAAAAGAGACTTCAAGGACTTACCCATAACCCGAGCGCTCACTGCTCATCTTCATTGTCCTGACGGCAGGCTAATGGCCCATTAGCCTGTTGGCTCGTTAGCTGATTCAAATCACATTTTAATAAAAACTCAAAATTTTAGTTTTTCTAAAATCAGTCTGGTGCGATGTGGACGATTGAATATCCTGATCCTGTAGAGCCCCAGGTTCAATGAGATAAGATAAAAAATAGCCTAATACAACTAACTTTGTTTTTTTAGGGAGGTGTTATGGTTATGGTCTTTTATAATTGTTGATGATGCTCACAACCAATAAATATTGTTATTTTTGTTTTTGCTTTTTGCTCCAACGGATTTTTGTTTTCACAACTGTCCCGAAAAAGTTTAAAACATTCCCACACTAAAAGTGTTGCACTTTCCTTCATCATCTGGTTGTCATTTGCATCATCTCATCTCATCTTCAACTGCTTATCCGGGGTCGGGTCGCGGGGCAGCAGCTCTGACTGGCGTTTCCAGGCCAGTGTAGAGATATAATATCTCCACCTAGTCCCGGGTCTTCTTCCCAGCTGGCAATGTCTGGAACACCCCCCTAGGGAGGTCTTTAAGACCTTTAGGATCTTATGAGCGGAGCAGTTCTTTATTTTCACGTCAGTATTAGTTTAGTTTAGCTTCTCTTTTGATTGAAATGTACTCCAGAAGAGTACTGGGGTATTATACAAAGCATTAATGCTTTAAATGTACTCTAGAGGAGTACACATAAAGTGTTTATATGTGGGACAATTTTCCTTGTCTACATTTAACTGGAATTATTAGTTTTATTTTCATATGTTATAATTAAAATATGTGATAATAAAATAAAAAACAGTCTTTTAATCCAAAGCTTTTTTATTACGTTATACATCTGATATCTAATGTCTTATATGAGTTTTCTAAATGTATTTTATATATTTTTTAGGAATTTTGTGTATTTTTTGTTCTTTAATAGTATTTAATATTTTGAAGTATTTTATTTGTTTTTATGTTGAAAATGGGCGGGACGTAGTTAAGGTGACATCAAGTATTTATATGTAGATGCTCAGAATGATCACATTTTATAAACTGTCATAATACGTCCTTATGAAAAGAAGCAAATCTTCAAGGATGACAGACCCCCCACCCTGCTTTCAGCAGCGTGTTACTACCAGATACACTGCCAAGGGGCCGGGCCGCCACCCCCCACTATAGGCTCACTCAAAAGTCAACATGCAGTGTCCCCAGAGAAGCTGGGAATTTGACCCGCTGGTCCTACAGCCTGACATTTACATTACATTACATGTCATTTAGCGGACGCTTTTATCCAAAGCAACTTACAATAACTGCATTTCAACCATCAGGGTACAAACCCAGAAGAACAAGAAAGTGCAATTTCATCAAATAAGCCGATTTACAACTTGCTATAGATAAGAGCCATTATAAGTTATTATTTGTTTAGTGATTTTTAGTCGAGGTAGAGTCTGAAGAGGTGTGTCTTCAGTCTGAAGATGTGAAGGCTCTCTGCGGTCCTGGTGTCTTCAGAGAGCTTGTTCCACCATTTCGGAGCAAGGACAGCAAAGAGTCATGATCTAGTCGAGTGTTTTGCTCTCAGTGAGAGAGGGACGAGCAGTTTTGCAGATGCAGAGCGGAGAGTGCGGGTCGGGATGTCGGGTTTGACCATGTCCTGGATGTAAGCTGGACCCGATCCATTCACAGCATGGTACGGGAGCACCAATGTTTTGAACTGGATGCGGGCATCCACCGGTAGCCAGTGAAGAGAGCGGAGGAGTGGAGTAGTGTGGGAGAATTTAGGAAGGTTAAAGACCAGTCGAGCTGCTGCATTCTGGATGAGCTGCAGAGGTCGAATGGCGGTGGCAGGGAGACCTGCCAGGAGGGAGTTGCAGTAGTCCAGGCGGGAGATGACAAGAGCCTGAATCAGTACCTGCGCTGAGTGATAACGGGACGTATTCTCCTGATGTTGTAGAGCGTGTATCTACAGGATCGCGTTGTCGCAGTAATGTTGGGAGTCAGGGAGAGTTGGCTGTCGATTGTGACGCCGAGGTTCCTAGCGGTTATAGTGGGCGTTAACACGGAGTTGCCAAAGTTGACAGTCAAGTCCTGGGTCGGAGAGTCTTTTCCTGGAAAGAGAAGTAGTTCAGTCTTGTCAGGGTTGATTTTCAGATGGTGGGCGGACATTCACTGAGAGATGTCAGTCAGACAGGCAGAGATCCGTGCCGCCACCTGGGTGTCCGAGGGAGGGAAGGAGAGAATTAGTTGGGTGTCATCGGCATAACTGTGGTAGGAGAAGCCATGCGAGCAAATGACAGCGCCGAGAGAGTTGGTGTAGAGCGAGAAGAGAAGGGGACCCAGGACGGAACCCTGAGGAACTCCAGTAGTAAGAGGACAAGGTTCCAACACAGATCCTCGCCAGGTTACCCGGTAGGTGCGGCCGTCGAGGTAGGACGAGAGAAGGGAGAGAGCAGAGCCTGAGCCACCAAGTTCCTGAAGGGAGGAAATAAGGATCTGGTGGTTGACTGTGTCAAATGCAGCAGAGAGGTCCAGAAGGATGAGGACAGAGGAGAGAGAGGCGGCTCTAGCAGTGTGGAGTTGCTCTGAGACAGCAAGGAGAGCAGTCTCTGTGGAATGGCCTGCCTTGCAGCCTGACTGGTGGGGGTAAAGGAGGTTGCATTAGCAGGTTGGATAACGCCATGAACTAGGGTGTGTGTATCTGTCTGTGGTGTGTGTGCCTGTATGTTTGTGTATGTGTGGATGGGAGTATGTGTGTGTGTGGTGTCAGACTAAATGAATCTGGTAGAAAATGCATTTTTCTTTTTAAGGATTCTTGTACTTTTATACTTCTCCCCCTCCTCCCTAGCCCTCCCACCCCCTCCTCCTTCTCCTCCTCCTGGAGACAGATGGTGCCATTAGCTCTCCTTCCTCAGGTGATTCTCACTGTTTAATATCAAACAGCGGAAAGCTGCTCCTTATGTTTGAGTCGGTTTCCATGGAAACTGATTTTCAAGCTGATCACATGTAATGAATAACTATAATAAAACATCAATACAAATCTGGATCAAACCGATCACACAGGAAGAGAAAGATAATGATTTGATGTAAAGCGTTAATTACTTTTATCAACAAGTCTTCCAATTAACTAAATTACCCAAGTTAAGTTATAAGAGGATCACTTATATATAAATCCTTCATTATACAGATATTTATTTAGTTATTTAGTTCTTCAGTCTATATCTCAAAGCCACATATAGATTATTGATCTGCAGTAAGCATCAATAAGGGAAGACTGCAGATCCAAAGGTAGAACCCAAGAGACAATGGTAAGATACATAATAAGTATCAAGTTAACCTATAAACCATCAATAGAAGTTACACAATGTCTTAACAATAAGTCGTCCACATAAGCTATTCTATGATGTCATAACCATAACTCCTCCCCAGAAGACATTTTATGATGTAACTAGCTATTCTATGATGTCTTATATAAACAGCTTCCTCCAGCTACACACTGGTATCGGGGGTCTCAGCAGCCTCGAGGACGTCGCCCCCCTCCGCAGGGCGACCTTCCCCACAGCAGACGGCTAAGGCCTCCTGCTCCACCTGAGTCAGCCAGATGCATGCTGGGAACAACATGTCAACAACATGATGTCAGAGTGCAAACATCAACACCTCCACAGTCTCTAACATTACTGATACCACCATGTACAAATATTATGTTATAGCTAAAGTACTAATACTAATACTCTGTTAGTTACTGTTCACGTAGATATGATCATTTATAGTGTTAACACACAGATGTATGACGTTAGTATTGATATTGAAAGCTCCGATGGGACCAGCAAACCAGTACATATGTAGAATAAATAAACAATAATATATATATATATATATATATATATATATATATATATATATATATATATATATATATATATATATATACATACTAATATTTAGAACCAGTCAAAATTCACTGTAACATTTCTATCGGAAGATATTCAAGTGTATACTATTACTTATATTTAAAAGTGAACTCCCACTTTCCCCACTGCTGCTCACTTGTCTCCATCCAGAAGAAAATACCATCTTCATTGACCCGCAATGCATGATGGAATATGCTAGGCTGCATGGGATAGATCAGATGTGTACTCTGGTAACAGTCCGCATTAGCAGGTTGGATAACGTAATGAACTGACTCCATAATAGTGGTCATGCTCCTCAGGTGTACCACTATCCACTGCTGCCCCCTCCTGGCTCGTGGTGGATTTGTCTGAGCACTGTACCACCTAACTACCAGGACTCCTCCTGTGAATCACATAATCACAATATCCCGATGATCATCAAATCCCCCAAAACCACAAACAACTAAGTCGGTAACAGGTGGAGCAATGGCGAGACACCGCTGCTCCTTTGTCCTGCGAAAGCGCTGCTTCGCCACAATCCGGCAATGATGGCTCCACTGTGCCTTAATCCACGAAATCGATCACTCTCTGGAAAATCCTGGTACCTGAAATCCATTAGACTCTGACTGCATCTACCTGTCTGCACACTTCAGGTAGACTAATGACATAATACCTCACACAGGTAGACTAATAACATAATACCTCACACAGGTAGACTAATATAATAATACCTAACAAAGGTATAATAATGTAATAATACCTTAGACAGGAAGACTAATAGCATAATACCTCACACAAGTAGACCGACAAGATGACCTGTGAAGACTGGACCTGGTATTTATTGAGAAATGGACATATTTCTGGACAAGTTTCAAGTAGTATTTTGAACTTTAGTGAGTGGGCGGGAGCCGCTATTCCCTACGTAGAGTTACGCAAAAAGTGACGTATGACGCCGCGGCGAGTAGCTGTCAGTGAAAGGACCTTTAAATGGCCGCAAAGCACGGAGCCTCCGATTCGGTAATAACCGGTAATGACGCTTTTACGAAGGTATACGGTTAATGCATGAACGCCGTATTTGATTCGTCCAAACCAATATTTTAACCATTTTATTTGTTGTAAAAAATACCTAAAATGGGCGACGAGGACGAGTCTGTGCGGAAAGCTAGAAGCGGGTTTGAGGACTTGTGTCGGGCTTTAAATATGGACGAAGAGGCGAGGGACGATGCGTGGAGAAGCTACGAGATAGCGAGCAGGAACTTTACGTTAGAGGTGAGACCTGTCTGCCTGTCTGTCTGCCTGTCTGCCTGTATGTCTGCCTGTCTTTCATATGAAACCTGACACCTGTGTTTATGCTGCTTTATAACCGGAACCTCACTAGCAGCAGTTAGCTAACGTTAGCTTCATCTACCGCTGCTACTACCATACTAACGCCTCTGTAGCTGCCCGTCTCCGTGTGGCTCTGTGTCTCTGTGTGTGTCTGTGTCTCTGTGTGTTTGAGTGTGTTTAAGTGTGTGTCTTTATGTGGTCCCGTGTGTGTGTGTGTGTGTGTGTGTGTGTGTGTGTGTGTGTGTGTGTGTGTGTGTGCGTGTGTGTCTGTGTGCGTGTCGGTCTATCTGTCTCTCTGTCAGTCAATAATTCACATTGTTATAATAAAAAATCCTAATAATAATTATGATAATTACAAGTAGCACATAGAAGTAGGATTCTCAACATGGCACATTCAAACTGACACCAGCAGGCTGACTAATGCTCACTTTCTGCTTATTTGATGTGTTTATTCATGTTCCAGGGCAGTGACCTCCACTGGTTGGCCTGCTCTCTGTACGTGGCCTGCAGGTCTTCAGTGCCGACGGGGGGTAAAGGAACCTCTGGGGGGAACTATGTCTCCCTGACCAGAATCCTGCACTGCTCAGAGATGAGGTAGGCCCACAATGTACCTGTGCTCTCACCTGAATCTCCATCTGGTGACCGGTCTACGTGGGCCTCCGTTTTATACCCAGAGGTGGAGGAGCTACTCTGATCTTCTACTTCAGTTAGAGTAGGAATACTTCAAGTTACAGGGAAGTAAGACGGTAGAGGAGTGTGTCTCCTCATGGGGTTCTTTAATGAAGTAGAAGTGTGTGTGTGTGTGTGTGTGTGTGTGTGTGTGTGTGTGTGTGTCTTCATGTTTTTTTTAATGAGGTAGAGATGTGTGTGTCTCTTCATGTGGTTCTTTAAGGAGATAGAGGCGCTTTTTAACTGCTTCTACACGTTCATTTGGGTATCAGGCATGTCTACCGACCCCAAAACTCTGGAAAAAAACGTCCTTAATATTGTGTCGTCACAATGTAATGGTAATCTCTCTTACATGGCCTTTAAATGATCCTTGTGGTATACAGACATTTCATTAAGACCCCAAGGAACCATATCAACTTGTGATAGAATGGGCATATGATGGGTCCTTTAATGAAGTTGAGATGTGTGTCTCCTCACAGCCTGATAGTGTTCTTTAATAAGATGAAGAAGTGGCAGGACATGGCCGACCTGCCTCAGGACTTCCGTCAGAGCACCAACAAGCTGGAGAGGAACTTCACTGTGTCGGCAGTCATCTTCAAGAAGTACGTCCCTATCTTCAAAACCATCTTCAGGGCCCCGTCGGAGGATCCACCCCGAGTTCACCGCAGCCGCAAACAGAGGTGACCTTTGACCCCTCCCGAGGTTCAATTATGTCTGAATATTGTTGTTTAATAAAGGTAACTCTCCTGCGGCCCTCTGTCTCCAGACGTCATCCCTGCTCTGTGACCGAGGTCTTCAACTTCTGCTGGGTTCTGTTTGTCCACGCTAAAGGTAAGCGGCTCGTTTTGTAAAACACAAGAGAAAAGTAATCTGTTTGTAAATAGAAAATTAGAGGAACAAACAGGTGGAGCTCTGAAGTGCCTTTCTCAAAGGAGGGGAAGAGTTTCATGTCTTGTCTTACGTCTTTCCAGGGAACTTCCCGATGATTAGTGATGACCTGGTGAACTCCTATCACCTGCTGCTGTGTGCGCTGGACCTGGTCTTCACCAACGCTCTGCTGTGCAACGCCAGGAAGGACCTGCTCAACCCGAACTTTAGAGGTTGAACCTTCACCCCCCTCACACTGAAGCACATCATACCAAACACACATGCGCTTTTAAGGTCCTACCACTGTGAAGGAAGCTTGCTTATCGGCTCTGTGCTGCTCTACATCAACTACAGCACATGAGTGAACCTGTCTTCCTGTTGACACCTGGTGTTTCCTCTGCTCCACCCGCCTCCACCTCCCTCTCCTGGCATGTAGCTGAGAGGAAACGGCTGCATCCACTCAAGAAACAAGCGCCTTCCTCCTCTAAACTCCTGTTCGAACCACTAGATCACACCGGAGAAGTTAAAGGGACAGTAGTGGTGTTTGTGTACGGTTCTCCTCCACAGTCATGATTTCACTACAGCAGATGGAGCAATGAACTTTAATACTGAACCCTGATAACGTATAACGTTACACCAGATTTATCTCCCTTTGAGATTGAGAAAGTTTCTTCGAAGGAACCAGAATGTTTGATCAGTTCATTGCAGCCGTTGTTGACAGTGACTGTGTGCATCGTCCTCCAGGTCTACCAGAGGACTTCAGCAGTAAAGACTTCAGGCCGTCCTCGGGGCCGTACTGCTTCATGGAGCAGCTGTGTGAGCTGCATGATGGTCTGGTGCTGGAAGCCAAAGGGGTCAAAGAGCACTTCTGGAAACCCTTCATCAAGAAGCTCTTCCATAAGAGGGTGAGACAGGCTATAGACTCATTACAAAGGTCTTCTACCAGAGAGTGAGACAGGCTATAGACTCATTATAAACCTGTCTCTTCTACAGATTGTCAGAGGAAAAGAAGACGCTCTGACTGGCTTTCTGGACCCGATGAACTTTGGAGACAGTTTGTGAGTGTTGACTGTTACTGATCATAGGGTTAGGGTCATGGTATGTATCGGATGTACTATACCTACTCTACTATACCCCACACTACCCTAATATATTATACTGTACTCTATTCACGTGGTCTCCGCACGGCATGTTCTAAAAATATCCCTGGTCACCACGAAGCTCTAAAATATTTTGTTGTCAGTCTTTTTAACTCAAAACACTTAATGTCTGTAGACATTAAAATGACAATATTTAATATAAATGTTAAAAACGAAAATGTTTTATCTAGATGAACTCTGACAAAGTCAAAGTTCAATCTCGTGTGCATGTCAAACCGACAACATGTCAGGAAAGCGAAAGAAAACGTACTATTTTTTTTTACTACAGTTAAAGATAAATGTGTGTGTCTCATTTGGGGGGCAAGTGTTGCGACGGCGAAGCGGCACAATGTGGAAAGACGCTTCAAAACGTGTCACCAAAGCTACGATGCTAGCTACCATGCTAGTTACCCTCCTGGCAGCGCACCGCGGACAGAAAAGGCCCGTGACCTGAAAACAGCTTTGGGACAACAACAGTCTTTTTTCACGAGGCCGCTGATAAAATCACAAAAGGCGACTGAAGCTTCGTTTACAGCCGCACATTTTTAAAATGAAGAACAAGAAAGCCTTTTCTGACGGGAAGGTCTTGAAAGAAACAATGATGCTAGTTGCAAACACTGTGTTTAAAGAGTGTTTAAAAAAAAAAAAAGTGCAGCACATTCCCTCCAGTCCGTGTTGAATGAGAATGCTCCTGCATCTGGGGCTGTTGACAAAGCTGTAGAAATGTACTCTCAAGTCATAAACAGACTAGGGCAGGAGTTTGAGAACAGCAAAGTTGCTACATATTTGATTATTAGTAATAATGTATGTATAAAAGAGATATGATACCTCTGACTTTCAAATATTGAAATAGATTAACAGAAATACATGTTCTACGTTTAAATATACCTGTGTTTCCTACTATCATTGTTGTGGAAATTATTGTTAATAATTATTGTGGGGAACATTTAACATTGATATAACAAGTAGCCCTTCGTAGTACTCGGTATCGTAAAAGTACGGTAGCTCTTGAGTTTCAGAAAGGTTGTTTGACCCCTGCTCTATTACATTCTACTCTCCTCTCCTCTAGTCTGTCTCTCACTCGGGTGTATGAGGAACACGTTCTGGCCACCGGGGGTCTGGATGAGAGGATCTTCACCGGGGAGGGGGCGAGTGAAGACATCGGTACCCCGGGACCCAGTGTGTGTGGTGGTTTGGAGAACCAGGACAAGGCCGCCTACAGGCTCCACGCCGCCTCTGCCTTGAAGGTGTCCACCCCTCTGACCGGGAGGAGGTACGTCCAGGAGAACATCAGGTCGTCTCCTGTCTCGTCCGCCATGAGGAGCGTCGGCCGTCTCCACACTCTGCTGTCAGGGACCAGACAAGGGCCGAGCGCAAAGCTGGCCAAGACTCTCAGGTGTGTTCTGTAAAACTGCTGACCTGTGTCACCAAAAAGTCAGATGTGAGCATCATCTCAAGCACAAGTCACATTTTAGCAGAAAGTCCCACCCCTTTCTACATGATGATGTTTACAACCAATGGTTTTCATGCAGGAGCTGTGCCAGAGACCCCAGTGATGTCATCAGCAAGCGCCTGAAGGACATGTTTGAGCTCCTGTGTCGCCATTACGAGGCCGGCAGGGCGGAAGGTCACTCGATGGAGAGAGGTACACACACACACAAATGAGAATCATAAGAAGTCATGCCTAAGAGGTATCCCAAGGAGCTTGACATGATAGACTAACTCCTCTCTGAACCCCCTGTAGACATGGCAGTGAAGTACTTCCACCTGGCCGAGGCGCTCTACTACCGGATGCTGGAGTCCATCATTGAGAGGGAGAAGATGATCCTGGGAGACGCAGACTTGTCCGTGAGTGTTCTGATATTATGCGTGAATGTCTTAAAGGGACAGTAGCGATGTTTAGCTTCTCCTTCATGTTCAGTGTTTTATTAGCAGGCGAGCAAATCTCTCTGTGCTCTCTTCAAAGACACCAGACACAAAAGCAGTTGCGTCCTTTACCTCCTTAATTTTCAATAAAGATGAGCATGAAGCGCAGGAAGTAAATGTGCACGCGCGTGTGTGTGTGTGTGTGTCAGTGTATCCTAGAGCAAGACGTCTTCCATCGCTCATTGCTCGTCTGCTGTCTGGAGATCGTCATCTTCTCTAACAGACCTCCAGGAGATTTCCCCAACCTGATGACCATCTTCCAGCTCCCTGCGTATCACTTCTACAAGGTATGAAGCTACTGATCACCTCTTTATCTACGTACCCGTGGACCTGAGAAGCTCAGATCTACATACTTGTGCAGGTGATCGAGGTGCTGGTGCGGTCGGAGCAGGGTCTGTATCGGGAGGTGGTGAAGCACCTGAACCAGGTGGAGGAGCAGGTCCTGGAGAGCCTGGCGTGGACTAGCGACTCCCCGCTGTGGGAGATCCTACATGGGGCCAAAGACCAGGTCCCCGCCTGCAAGCAGGTCTGTGAACCACAACACATGTAATTTCTGTTTGTAACTGGTCTGGTCTTGATGTGGTCTCTTTTTGATCTGGCTGTGGTTCAGGTGATGCCTCCTCAGTATTTGGAGCAGAGCGATGAGAGCAGTGGTGTTCCCCAGACAACCGTCAACCTGGGACCAGAACCTTCGGCCGTGTCCCCCTCCCCCCCCACCTTGTTGGACCGGTACAGCTCCCCCCCCACCGGCCCGTTCCGCCGCCGTCTTTTTATCGACTCGGTGGACAGAGAGCCTCGGACCGCCACCGGCACAGCGCCGACGGCCATGACCAAGGCCGGCCTGGTTGCTGCAATTGCGGCCGGGCAGACAGTGGTCTCCATGGCGACCGCCACGGTCACAGCCAACAACGGGCAGACGGTCACCATCCCAGTGCAAGGTGAGGTACCGACCAGCTTACACACAGAACGATGAAGACGAGTAACTGATCTCTGACCTCGGACCTCCGCAGGGATAGCCAACGAGACTGGGGGCATCACCTTTTTCCCCGTCCACGTGAGCGTGACCGGAGGAGGCGGAGCCACACTGCAGCCGCTGTCCGCGCAAACCCTTAGCGGCACCCGTGCCGTCCAATCGGCCGCCAACAAACTTGCAAAACCGGCCAAACCGGCGGCTGGAGGGACGCTGAGGAAAGGCTCAGTGTCGCTATTCTTCAGGAAGGTAACACACTCTCTTTTTAGTCCTGCTTTCGTCACGGAGTCATGGATTATCTGGACACTCAGTTCTTCAGAAACTAATAAATAATAGTACTATCGGCCGTTGTTTAGTCCGACTCCTTCAAAATAAAGCCAAATGTTTTTACTGTGAACCTTCAGTAGCAGGAAATATTCAGTTTGTATTAGCAGTGAGTTCTTCATGGGGAAAGTGTTCCAGATTATACTGAATATACCAGCTGTCTAAATAGGTTTGGTACCTGTGCAGATCTTCTCTCGCTCACCTTGCCTCCTTGTCAGGTGTACCACCTGGCCAGCGTGCGTCTCAGAGACCTTTGTTCCAAACTGGACATCTCTTCAGGTCTGAGGAGAAAGATCTGGACGTGTTTCGAACATTCTGTAGTTCACTGCAGCAACCTGATGATGGACCGCCACCTGGACCAGCTGCTCATGTGTGCTGTGTACGTCATGGCCAAGGTGTGTGTGTACTGCATGTACTCTGTGTAGTACACGCTGTGTGTGGTGTGCACTGTGTGTGTACTGTGTGTATTTCAATCTAAAATAAACCGACCGGTTTCTTTCAGGTGACCAAAGAAGACAAATCCTTCCAGACCATAATGAAGTGTTACAGAACGCAGCATCAGGCCAACAGCAACGTAAGAAAAACAGGCAGTAAACATGAAACACAAAGTAAACACAAAATAAAGGAAGACAACATGAAACTCAGGAAGTAAACATGAAATAGGAAGTAAACATGAAAAACAAGAAGTAGGCGTTGCATGTAGTGGTAAAACATGGAAACACAAAAAGTAAACCTGCGTGTTTGTGTTTCAGGTATACAGGAGTGTGTTGATCTCCGGGAGGAAACGCCACAACGACGCCAACAAACTCAACTCACCTGAAGAAATCATGCAGGATCCAGGTAAGAAAACAGCTGCTGGATTTAAGTTATTATTTTAGTATTTAGTTGAGTAAGGGAATAAAATATATAGTTCAACAGAGTTTCATAAGTTTTAATTTTGTTATAGACAGTTTGTCTCTTTTTATCCTTTTTTATTATCTGTTTTTTACTGCAGATACTTAAATAACTCTCAGTCTGATTGATCTTTAGTGTGTGTGTTAGCTGTGCAGTTAACACAAAAACACACACTCTTCCTGTCAGTTAGAGTTAATGTTAGCTGCAAACTGGAGTTATGAATCATGACTGAAAAGGTGAGGGTTCCTTTTTCTTCGTCTCCTCCCAGCCGGAGACATCAGTCCACTTCCTTTTCACTCCAGCAGCCACTTGGCCCCCTCACAGCCCAGTAGTGCTCCCTCCACCCCGAGCACCTCCTCGCCTACCACCCCCTCCACTGTGGGCGCCGGTGAAGAGGAGCGAGGAGACCTGATCCACTTCTACAACCACGTCTACATCAAACAGATGAGGCTCTTTGCCCTGAGATACTCAGCCGGCTCTCCGTCAGCAGCGGTTTGTCTTTTTCTTCTTCCACTTTTTCTTCTTCTCTCTCCGATTCTGGTCAGTGTGAGTGTGGCTGTAGATTTCAATGTTGAAATATGTTACTCATGATGCAGAATCATTTACATTATTACTTCATTAATCACTTTACAGGTGGAGCTCATAATTTTCTCTCTGTCTCTCTGCCTGTCTGTCTTAACAGCTGGAGACCCCCCCCCTGTGTCCGTACCCCTCCCTGAGGACCGGCTCCCCCCGTCGGATGCTCCTCTCCAGCAAACACTCCATCTACATCTCACCTCACAAGACAAGCCCCGCCCCCACTGAATTGACTCCACAGGACAAGATCTCCTACTACATCTCTAGCAGCCCCACCAACGTGAGACCCCCTACACACACACACACACACACACACACACACACACACTACTACTAAACTCTACTACCGTACATCTCAATCCCAACTGAATGTAAAAAACATCCATGAAACAGAATGTCAGGAAGTGATGTCAGCTCATCACATTTACAGTTTTTCTCAGTCGCTTTGGTACATTTCTCCGATTAGAATTGAAATTCTCAATCTTCCCCTCATTGTGTCACTTGTGCACATCAAAAAAGCAGTTTCTTATTTCTTTGAACAAGTTTCTAATGCTTTGGTATATCCATGCAAATGATTATGTACAATTCTCTGCTGTTTCCTACATTATCAATTGCTTATGTCATGTTGATCAAAATGTATTATAATGGCTCTCTGTTGAATAGTCTCACCCCCAAAACCTTTAGGCATTAGTTCATCGCATAAGTCTTTACATGCAAAATTTTTGAACAGGTTGTCATGATATGTCAAGCATTTTTCTATACATTTTATACATTTTCAATTCATTTCCCTTCATTTTATTTCGTATAGGCCCCAAATCGCAAATTACAAATTTGCCTCAGAGGGCTTTACAGCCTGTACACATGCGACATCCTCTGCCCCGAAACCCTCACATTGGCACAGGAAAAACCCCTCAAAAAATGAAAACCCTTCCATGGGGAAAAAGGGAAGACACCTTAGGGAGAACGTCAGAGGAGGCTCCTGGGATGGACAGACTACAATGTCATGTGTACAGAATGAACAATGTAAAAGATGTACAATGCATTCAATTCCTATAACAGACATTATTCAAATAATACAGAGTAGTAAGCAGGTGTACAATCACCATCAGATAGAACCACACATGTTGGTTTATGATGACAGTAATTAGTATGTAAGGTGATTAATATTTATAATAATGATGATGATGATTATGATAGCTGCAGCAGGTGTCAGCAGGGCCACGGTAGGAGTCCAGATAGAACCATGATCCATGGAAACCTGTGAGGCGAGAAAGCACAAATACTCCGTGGAAGTAGCAATGTTTAATTGTCCAATAGTTTCCATCGTGCCAACATCATCAGGCAATAGATTGCTACCCACAACAGGATGCTGATGGAAGTACTCTCACTCTACTCCTCATTACTTAACCCCATGGAGGAATTGTTCTCAGCATGGAAATGGAAAGTATGTGATCGCCAGCCACATACACAGATGAACCTTCTGGCTCCCATGCAGTGTGCAATGACATCACAGCAGGTGCCTGCAGAGGCTGGATAAGACACGCTTTTTCATGCTGCATCGCAAGAGAAGATATTTGTTGTGATGCGGATGAAAATCTGTGGCCCAACCGACAGGATCATCAGGAGGTGTTGAGACTGCACTGTAATTCCTACAGCACTGCATCTCCAGCTTTCCCTCTACAGGAGATCTATGTTCCCATGTTGCCGGTCCTTGTGTAACTTACAATTGTCATCAAAACTTTAGCCATAGTTTACATCAGAAAAGAACCTCCACCCTGTTATATGGACAACACGACTAAGGAATTTGCCGGTCTGATCCGTACACAATGACACAGATATTTACTTTTGAGAGATGAAGAGACTGGCTTCTGCAGGTAATCCGTGGTGTTTTGCTATTTGTACAAATTGTTTTGGGAAATGTACATGCTGTTTTGCAAATGTTGAAGATGATTTGAGAAATGTACCAAAGCAACTGAGAAACACTGTAAAGTGATTGATCCCAGGTGAAGCTGTGCAACAATGTAAGCTGTGACCTTTGACCCCTAGCGTCTGCAGGAGATCAACAGTATGATCCGGACCGGAGAGACTCCGACCAGGAAGCGGAGTCGACCTCTGGAGGAGCAGACGTCCCCCAAGAGGGTCTGTCAGGAGAACCAATCTGCCCTGTTGCGCCGCCTACAGGCAGTGGCCAACGACCGAGGGGCCTCCCACTAACGCTAACACACACACAGACACACACACACTCCTTCAACTTCCTGCAGCTCGTGGGCCTGACATCATCCGCCTGGTCATTGGCTGGTATTCAACTAAAAAAACAACAACTCTTTGACACTAAAGTCTGATTTTTGTAATAATCATAAAACAAACAATATTGAAACTATACTATTCAATGAGATCGATCGGTTTTTAAACGATTTTAACCGTATTTACTATTTTTAATCAGCATGTTTTTTGTGTTTGGTGTGTTCGGTGTGTTTGTTTATGTTTATATTTTATATCATAAAGGTAAATGCTTTATGTGCTGTAAATATTTGTAAAAATAGAGAAAATATATTATGGATTTAAGTGCCTTTATTTTACTAATTTTACCTTCAAAAGATGTTATGTCTGAGGTAATAAAATGATTTAAAGTGTGTTTTCTGATTTCTTTCTTTTCATGGAGAATTCATTATTTTGTTTCTCAATGAACCAACTGAATCAACTTCCTGAACCTCCATCCCCTCCATGGACCTCCATCACCTCGAACCTTTATTCCCTCCCTGAACCTCCATCACTGCAATGAACCTCCATTCCCTCCCCCCCATCGCCTCCATGAACCTCCATCACTTTCTTGAACCACTATGAACCTCCATCATCTCATCCCCTCCATCCCAGAGAGAAGAGAAGGAGCTAAATTGCAGATTATTGTAGTGTTACTTTTGGTTCAGTCGGTTTGTTTTCAGTTTCACTTCCTGCTTTCTGTTAAGAATTGAACTATAGAGAAACTTCCTGTTTGCAAATACACACACACACACACTCACAGACACACACACATAGACTATTTGTTACTTCTTCTTTTCAGCAGAAATCTGAACTTCAGTGACGGTAAGATGTTTCATTTTTCTGATTCCGTGTTTAATTAAATCCCGCAAATAATCTGAATACATTTACAAAGTATTAAGTACTGAGTATAGAGTTTACTTGCACTTAACTTGAATACTTCATGAGTCCAGAGACTCAGGTGAACAAGAGGACCACGAACTCCTCCAGAGACACTTACTCTTATTGAGTACAAACCGTTGTCTGGCTCCTAAATGGTGGAATGAGCTCCCCAATTACATCAGCACAGCAGAAAGCCCCCCCAGGCGTGCATACATGCTTGACAACGTCGCGGCATGCTCCTAATGAGACAACAATGGTGTCTTGCGGGATGTCCTCCCAGATCTGTTTAAGCTCCTGTAAAGTCTGGGGAGCAACCTGGTGCCGTCTGATGGACCCAAACATAATGTACCAGAGGTGTTCTATCCGGTTTAGGTCAGGTGACCTGAGGTATCAACTCCTTCATCCTCCAGGTACTGCCTGCATACTCTTGCCTCTGTAATTCACTCTTAACTAGAATCACTGGCAAGAAGATCCTGAAACTACAATACATCCAAAACAACGCTGCCAGGATCCTGATCCGGAAGTATGAGCACATCTTACACTCACTACACTGGCTCCCTGTCATTCCGGATTGACTACTCACTCATAAATGCATAAATGGACATGCACCACCTGAAAGAACTATAATAATAACACTTTTTATAGCGTTTTTCAGGGTACCCAAAGATGCTTTACAATCTAAGTATAAGTAAGGGAAACGTACAGACAGGAGAATTAGATAGAAACACAATAAAAAAGATAGAACTGAAAATTGAAGGAGTCGTGTAGGGGTTGGGGAGGGCATTCCAGAGGGGAGGTGCCGACTGCCGCCCCGGCCACCTGAACGTCCTCCGGAGTTCCCCCGGCTGGCCGACCATCGTCCCATGGTCCTCTCCCTCCCACCCCTTTGTCTGTTCTCTGCCTGTCCCGCCCGCCCTTGTGTGTCTTGGGGCGTCTGGGATCCGTCCCATGAGAGGGGGGTACTGTCATGGTTTGGGTTTGTTTCCTGTGTTATTTTGTAGTTCCCTGCCTCTCGTGTCCCTGGTTTAGCTTCACTTCCTTCCCTGTCGTGTCACCCCCTGTAATTGTCTCCTGTGTCCCTGATTGTTTCCACCTGTGTCCAATCACCTGCGCCTTCCCAGTGTATTTAAGCCGTGTGTGTCTTTTGCCCGCTGTTGAGTCGAATGTCGTTACCCTGTTTGTGAGTGCCGGATCGCCGGCCTTAATTAAAGTACTTTTTGTTTGCAAGTCTGTGGTTGTGCCCTGCTTCCGCCGCCTTGACAGACATCAGTCCTGCTGACGGGTTGAGGACCTTCTATGGCCCTGTCCAGCTCTCAGTAACTGCCTGTCTCCCAGAATTTACTTCACGTTCTGAAGATTGTGTGGGGAGACACATCATATCTCCTTGCAACGGCAGCGTGGATGTTCCATCCTGGAGGAGTTGGGCAATCTGTGCAACTCCTATAGGGTTAAGAAATTGCCTCATGCTCCCAGTGGTGGTGATGACTCTAGCTAAAGCAAAAACTTCGAGTCCAGTTCCAAGAGATCAACAGGGACAAACTTGCCTCCACATGCAAAACCAGTCCTGTTTGGTTGGGTCGTCTCATTGTGCATTTGTTATTTATTTCATCAACACCAATGCAGCTGAAACTGATTAACAACCCCCTTGCTACTTACCTGAACAGATCATATCAGAAGTGCAATTGAATTCATGCCCTAACCCTGATATAAGATTGCTCCTTTAATTGTTTTGAGCAGTGTAAACACACCTCTACCTACTATACCTGGACTAGGTAGCACTTTATTTGCTCTTACTTACAGCACTTTGTAGTTTGGCTTTCTTGAAGAAATGCTTCATGTCTTGCAGGCTGTGGATCAGATGTTTGTTATGGCAGAACCTGAAGACCAGACTGAGAAGAACCAGAAGTCTCCAGGTTCAGATTTTTACATCACCTTTTCCACTATTTCTTCTTCTCCTTATCTTTCATCTCCTTCTACTTCTCGTGTGTGTGTGTGTGTAGATGGACCTCCCAGTTGTTCATGTCTGACCACTAAGGAGCTGCAGCAGAACCTGAAAGCCGTGAAGAGGAACGATCAACCTGTCAAGCTTCTGTTTGAAATCCCGTCAACTCGGATCATCGAAAAAGTTCTGTCCAAATACGTGGTGAGACTCCCCTGCAGTATACCTGTACTATAGTCGTTCACACCTTAACACCAGGTGAACATACCTGACCCAAAACAGCAACCCTAGCTCAGCATAATGGGAGTCAACGGAGGGAAACGGATAGCTTAGCTTAGCTTAAGGACTGTGAACACAGGGCGACAGCTAGCATCGCTCTGTTCAGACATTATAATTCTGGGTACAAGTGAGCATGCCGTTTGTCAACAGGTGTACGAGGTTGTGGTGATGCGGTCTGGTACCTTCGATTTGCGTCGCGTGTCCGTGGAGCGCCGCTACAGCGACTTCCTCCGCCTCCACCGAGATCTGCTGGAGGAGTTCCAAGAGGAGCTGGAGGATGTGGTCCTCCCACGAAAGCTGCTGAGCCGGAACTTCTGCCCAGAGGCCATCGCGGGGCGCCGCCTCGCCCTCCAGGACTACTTGGCAGACCTCTACGCCACACGCTGCGTGCGCCATTCGCCTCATTTCCACCGGTTCCTCACCCAGCCGGAGCAGAGGCGGGCCCACGGCCTGCTAAGAGCAGGACGGTTCCTTCTTGCCGTGCAGCAGCTGCAGGACGTCCTGGAGATTGAGGAGAAGCTGCTGCCCTGGCAGAACCCCACCCTGACTGTGCCGACCCTCTCCGCCCTGGCGGTCTGCTACCGTGACCTGAAGGAACCGGAGAGGGCCTTCGCTGCGGCACAGAGAGCGCTGCCACCCACGAGACGCTACGGACTGAACCGTTACCGGGCCTCACTGCTGGAGCTGCTGGTGGACTTGGGTTATCAGCTAGGATGTCCTGTGGCTCAGCTACAGGAGGAGCTGAGCCTGCTGAGGGAGAGGGGGGAGGTGAACTCCCACTCCCTGAAGGAGTTAGTGGTCCACGAGTTCACCTGAGTCTCTGGACTCATGAAGTATTCAATGTACTTTTAAACTCACATGACATAGCTTCACAGTTTGATGCTTTTGGAGGAATTAAGATATTACAATTAACAATCTGATGGTCGATGAGTTGTAGAAAATGTGTTGACTACTTTGAGATTTTAAGATGCAGGTGTTTATGTCTGCTTATGTTAATGTTCACATACTTGCACGTATGTGTACACATTAGGGAGTTTAAAGACTCTGCTCTGTTAAATGGATCAGACATGGGCGGTTTGGTAGACATGAAGTTTTGTCAAGAGAATGAGGAAGAGTTGAGCGGAAGGGGAATGAGACTCGAGACAAACATGTGAATAGCAACAAACGAACAAGAACTTGCAACGACAGTACAGACAGTGAGAGAAGGAAGTGAGCGAGTTCAGAGGATAAGACCTGATGCATATATTGTCATAATAAGGTTTATGTTTAAGTTCAACTTGTTTGTGCTCACATCAACTCTGGCAAGTGAGATAAGGGAGATATTATCTGCCAGGGTGCTAAATGATAAACTTAAACCAGTGGTTCTCAAACCTTTTCTGTTGGGGCCCAACAAAAATGTAACAAAATGGTCCATGCTGAATTTTGATTGAAATCATGACAATTTGTGACTCCATGTGTGCTTTTATTAATAATAGAATAGAAAATGTAAGTCACTTTCATGTAAACCAGATTGCTCCATCAGACAAAAACAAATAAAATGTGCTATCACTTTATTGGAACAATGCAATTAAATAACTAGTATTTGTCATTTTACAGTGCGGTTCGTGTTCTCTCGTTTGCATGTCTCAGTATCCTTGAGCAAGACACTGAAGCTCCAGTGCTTCGCTTGCTTCAATTTCCCCATGTGGGATTAATAAAGGTTTTTATATATATATATATGTATATTTTATATATATGTTTTATATATATAGAGATTATTTTTATTTTGGGAGGGAGGGGTATTTTGGCAGAAAGAGAGGAAATGTATTGTCTGATCCACACTCCGGGCAGAAGGTGGCGGTAATGCACCCATAAGATGGATACCAACTCCCATTATCAAACCAACAAAAGAAGGAAAAGTAGCAGGCACCGCATTGATAGCTAAGAGCAGCGGCTCGACTGCTCCTCTCTGACTTCTCTCCTATAGTTTAGCTCCTTCTCTGGTGAGCTGAATAAGGATGGCGGACGACAACATGAAACTCTCCAAGAACCTTTTACGCATGAAGGTAAGCGAAGCTACTAGCCGTATTTTAGGTAGCGTCAGCTAGCAGCGTAAAACGTGTGCGTGTGTTGCAGAGCAATTCACCGCCAGAACAACAGGTGGAGTAACGTGTTTTGTTGAAGACGACCTAGAGAGTCACGTCTTTGTTTGTGGAAGTCGTTGGTTTGTTTATTTATTTATCATAGACTTTATTGCCTCGTGCATCGCCACTGCTGCTTTTCATCGTGGACACATTTGTCCCGTATTTTCCTCCACAACTTTGTTCCCCTCGACCGGCAAACCGACGTTTGCAGTGATCTCCCTCCGCAAATCAGAGGCCATCCGCGCGTCCTTCTAGTCCGCCAATGACGGCTTGTATAAGCGGTCATATTTGCGCATTTCTTCCAACAAAAGTTCTTAAATCTGCTCCGTTCTCTCGTAAACAGTCTTCGTTTTAATAGTGGCGGTATCGGGCTATGAAAGCGGAAATGTGAGACTCCGTAAAGGACGTAGTTAGCGGACCAATCGCAGCCTGGTGCGCTGCGGGAGGGACGCAAGCCTAGAAAAATGGGTCGACTGACGCAAGGAGGTGTGAAAAGGCACGCAAGGGTTTCCTTGTAGCTCTGAAAAATGCAGAAGCATAAACTATAGGGGTGTAACGATTCATTCACTGAATCGATTAATCGATTTATATTCCTGCGATCCAACTGAATCGATCTGTGCTCCGCAAATCGGCATTCCGGACGACATATATCGATTACAAATCGATTGAAATGGTACATAATCGATTGGTATCGATACTTGGAAACTGCACATTGGATTGAAGTACAAAAATGGTATGGATGTGTATTTGTTTGTTTGTCTGCCTGTTTGTGACGTCATCAGTACGCAGCGGCAGCCGCGCGAAACTCTGAACAACAACAAAACTCAGCGTGGAGGAGACGACTGCGAGCGAGACATTTACAAACCAACTTATCGATCCAGCGCGTCGAAACATTTTGGCTTTTGCAAACACGGAGGTGTTCTAAATAAGTCGGTCGCTGTTTGTAGAAAATGTAGAAGCCAAATAAAACACACGGAAACACGACGAATCTTTCAGGCCATCTACTAAGGCGCCGTGGGATTAAACAACGCCGACAGTCAGGACCTCTAGCAGCGTCACCGCTGCAGCAGCAGCAGGTAACTCCAGCTCTGCAGACACTTCAGGCCTCGCCAGCACCAAACTCAACATCACAGTAACAAGTTTATCTGTAAAGACATGCGACCCTACAATGTGGTTGAAAATCCGGGGTTCTGTGAATTGATCCAAACATTGTGTAATTATTGTATCATTGAATCGAATAAATTAACTCAGATCGTCCATGAATTGAATCGGCAACCATGAATCGCGATTCGAATCGTTGTTAAAATGAATCGTTACACCCCTAATAAACTAGGCCTTTTGTGACGTCAGCAGATGCATCTTCTATTATAATCTGATCATGTCTCCCCTGTCTCCCTCCTGCCTGTCTCTCTGTCCCACTCCTGTCCCAGTTCATGCAGAGGGGTCTGGATGATGAGATGAAAAAGCAGCTGGAGGAAGATGAGAAGAGGATCATCAGTGATGAGCATTGGTACCTCGACCTGCCGGAGCTCAAAGCCAAAGAGTACGTCAACCACTTGCCCACAATGTATCCCTCCGCTGACACAAGTTATCATGTAGGAGTACGTTACATGTCGTCTAGCTGACGCTTTTATCCAAAACTACTTGCAATAAGTCCATTTCAACCATAAGGACACAAACCCAGAAGAACAAAAAATCAGGAAAGTGCAATTTGATCAAATAAGCAGATTTACAACTTGCTATAGATATGAGCCATTATAAGTACAATTAAAGTGCTACAATTTGTTTAGCGTGTTTTAGTTCGGGTATAGTCTGAAGAGGTGTGTCTTAGAGTAAGGAGCTGGAGAGAAGATCCCTCTCTTCTGGTCTTTAAATCAGCAGCAGGAAGTGGTTTATTTAAGCAATAAGGTACTCGAGGCAGTACTTTATGTCAATAACGTTCCATTTTGAGGGTGTTGTTACAAACTCTTGAACTGTAACATTGTCAATGATAAAGTACTGTCTTGAGTACTGTTTTTATAGCTTATTTTTATTCATATGTAATATAATAAAGCTATAAATGCCTCCAGTACCTTTTGTTGTTTCTATAATACGGTCACCAGCGGCATTGTAAATAGAAAGTAAATAGCTTTCAGCACTAAAAAGTTGTAGCCACCAAACGTGTGTCGCATTCCAGTAGCCTGGAGAAAATAGTTGTCATTTACACGGGTTAGGGACTAACGTTAACTTGTGGAAGTTGCGTTTGTAATGAAAGGCAATTCCGCGAGTTGAGAACAGCAGCGTGTGTCTCGTTTATTATTACCATAACAACACTCAAGATGGCGCAGCCCTGTAACCTCACAAGCAAGGGACTCTACGTCACAACATAACAAAACATTTAAAGGGACCGTGATCCCGGAACAGACGCAATTGCGTGTACCACGAAACAAGAACAAAGGTGAATTATGCAGTCACATTCACTACAAACTGTTCTTTTGCGTGCTCACTGATATGGAACGCTCAGGTTAATGTACAGGTACTGTACATTTTGGCTTAATCCTGCACACAATCTCAACCGATCAGAACGCTGGATGTCATCCACCTGTATTATAATATCTCTTCTTCGGCTCCTCTCAGGAACTTCATCATCGAGGAGAAGAGTTTCGTTCCCTGTGAAGGACTAAAGTTTGGTCGGATCTCCTTTAAAGGGTTTAATCCAGAAGTGGAGGTTTGTTGATGAATAATGGGTATTATTGTATTGCCAATACTTCATGAGGTGTCTGACCTTTGACCTCAGGAAGCAGCCTGTGTGATGTCATGTGACCACATGCGTGGTCAGACACTTTGAGCCCTTCATGAACCTGAGGAAATGTCATTGCAACGGGACATTAAACACAGGGTAAAGAATGTAGCATGAGAGTTCAGCCTGGAGTATAAAAATATATACAAACATTTATTCATCTATTAGAACTTAGATCACTTAGATGACCTTGTCTTGTGAGACCACCTGGAAAAGTAAAAGGCTTAAAATAAACACAATGGACCATAGTATTTGATACATTTTAATACATGGATACATTTGTTTACCTGAACATATCCCCTCCACCGAAAAAAACGTGAATGAACTGGTTGCCGCGATTATGTGTCGCTCACAGAGACTGATGCTGTTAATGAATCCACAAGTTGACGAGGAGGAGGAGGAGGAGGAAGAAGAAACAAGCCGGATGCCAGCGGACGTCACAGACGAGGAGATGGCTCGCAGGTTCCTTATGTTATTGCTAGAACTAGACGTCATGTTCTATGTATCTGTCAACAAGACCCTGATCCCGTTTCTTCTGCAGGTACGAGAGTCTGGTGAGCAGCATGAAGAAGAAGTTCAGTACGAAGTGACAGAGCTCAGGAAGACCACCCGACCAGGACCAAGAGGGTCATGGTGGAGGACTGATGGCGCTTTACATTTAAATTTTTACCCACATAGCCGGGGGGTCAGCTGGATGTTATACATCTTTTTTTTTTTTACGTGTAATTAAACACGTGGCCCCACGTTTATGCATCCTGGGAATTATGGAAATGTTTATATCTTAATCTACAATCTGATAAAAGTAAGACAATGAAATGTGGGGCATAAGACTCAATATAAATGTTATATGCAGACATGGCACCTCACCTTCAGGAAAAAGGTAGTGTTGGGGGGAAATTGTTGAGCCTGCGTAGGGTGAAGCTGTGGATAGCTTTTTTTTTTTTATTTAACAACTTTGTTACTGCCAAAACATTATCTTTGAAAAAGTTATTGCATGAATGTACATGAATTTCTCTCAATGTTTGAAAAAGTGACATGTGAATATTGTCGTGCTTTTTTGTTCATATGATAATGCTAAATGTGGAAAAACTGCGCAGGATTTTGGAACTGCAACATTTTACAAACGGCGCAACATAGGTGTGACCTAAAGCCTAGTTTATGCTTCTGCGTTTTCAGAGCGACGCAGACGCAAGACCTCCTTGCGTCCTTGCGTGTGTCGAGATATTTTTCTAGCACCAGGCTGCGATTGGTCCGCTAACTACGTCCTTTACGGAGTCTCACATTTCCGCTTTCATAGCCCGATACCGCCACTATTAAAACGAATGTTTACGAGAGAACGGAGCAGATTTAAGAACTTTTGTCGGAAGAAATGCGTAAATATGACCGCGTATACAAGCCGTCATTGGCGGGTTGTAGAAGCGGGTTGGATTCACGGAGGGAGATCGCCGCAGACGCCGGTTTGCCGGTCGAGAGGAACAAAGTTGTGGAGGAAAATACGGGACAAATGTGTCCGCGATGAAAAGCAGCAATGGCGATGCACGGGGCAATAAAGTCTATGATAAATAAATAGACGTGACTCTCTAGGTCGTCTTCAACAAAACACGTTACTCCACCTGTTCTGGCGGTGAATTGCTCTGCAACACACGCAGAACCATGAATTGAAACGAGTGCGTCGACGCAGACGCAGAAGCATGCGCCGGCCTTAAGGCTGTCCAGGGTGAGCCAAGACACAGATGGAACCATACGTGCCCTGATTGACTGGGTCCATTAAGGGATGGTCACGGTGTCACCCCTACGTCGTCTGGTACTTTTCCAAACACTCTTTGAGGGGTGTGCTCTCCTGTGCTGAGGCAGCACAAACATCCCTGAAGTGTAGAAAACCTCCTGTTCTCCTTTAACTTGGTCAGATCTTCCTGTCCCTTTTCAGCTGAATAATCATTTGACTTCTGGCTGCACTTACGGCCTGTGTTGCTTTCTGTATTTATCGTTTTTCTATATTCTAATAAATTAAATCCCAAAGCAAGCGCAAGGTACTTTTGAAGGGCTAAATCCACAAATTTCCACCACAGTTAATACAACCCTGCTAAGTACACTTTGTATCGCAGTGTTCAGTGAGCGGGGACGTACAATGAACCCTGACCGCCAGAGGACCGGCTCACCTGCAAGGGTGTCTGATCCTCAAATCACCACGCACGCCTTCCTGGAGCACGTACTAATCACAGTGTACTTTAGTATTGTGGGTATGCAATTAATAAAAATACCTGGTTTAAACATAAGAAATGTCCCTGTATGCTTCTCTAATCTGGCATACACATTAAAAGAGGCACTTATGACAGGTTGATAACAGAACAGACCATTCTATACAAACAATCACAACCAGACACCAGGATTCAGTGACAAACAAGACTTTTATTTTGAAAGTCAGTGCTCCCTATGTTGGAGGCTTCACAGACAGTGATGGAGGACTACTACTAAGGGGCTGTGGGGACTACAACAGGACTGCGGCGCGGGGGTGGGGGGGGGGTTCAGGCGAAGTTCTTCTTCAGGAAGTGGATGAGACCGTTTGTGGACGAGTCGTGGGAGGAGACCTCACAGCCGTCCTGCAGCTCCGGCTCGATCTTCTTCGCCAGCTGCTTCCCGAGCTCCACGCTGAGGGAGGCAGGGCGTAGATTAATCCACAGTGTGTGTGTGAGATAGAGATAGATATACGTGTGTGTGTGTCCTCACCCCCACTGGTCGTAGCTGTTGACCCCCCACATGACACCCTGAACGAAGATCTTGTGCTCGTACATCGCTGGAAGAGAAATCAGGATAAAAATAAACAATTCATCCCTAAATGATTCATAATGGATACAAACAGATGGTTTATATTAAAGATCGGTGTTCAACTCAACAGGAAACTTGAGAAAAACTGCATTAGTTTTACTAATAAACTGGAATTATGAATATTTACAGTAACTGGTTCACGTTTAAATCTGATTTTTCACTACGCTCAGTTGACCAGCTGCTGCAGCTCCCAGTACTCACCAATCAGAGCTCCCAGCACGAATGGGCTGAGCTTCTTGAAGACGATGGAGTTACTCGGCTTGTTCCCTTCAAAGACCTTCAGATAAAAACAGACCTCAGTTTGAACAGTGTTGACCGTAATTTAAAAAAAGAAAAGAAATCAGGAATCCCAGTGGAACGATCAATTATAAGAGCTAAACAAACATGGTCACATGACGGATTACCTTATGCGGCAGCAGCTGCAGCAGAGCGTCTCCCTTCAGGCCGCCGGCCTCCAGCTCGGCTCGAGCCTCCTCAGAGTTCTTCCCCTTCATCAGAGCTTCTGTCTGAGCCAGGAAGTTGGCCGCCAGGATCTGAGGACGGCAGCAGGTCAACAGGTGAGGTCAATGGCTCAAACTACAGGTGAGGTGTCTGAAGCGGAGTGGGCGTTACCTTGTGGTGGAGGTTGTCTCTGATTGGATGCTGAGACTGAGCAGGAATGAGGAAGTCCGCTGGAATCATACGAGTACCTGGGGATAAAACAAAGAGTAAGTCAGTTCAAAGGGCAAAAAGGTTTGTCCCTGTGTGTGTGCGGGGGGAAAGAGGACCTTGGTGGATCAGCTGGTAAAAGGCATGCTGGCCATTGGTCCCTGGTTCTCCCCAAACGATTGGTCCAGTGTGATAGTTGACTCTGACTCCATCTTTGGTGATGTATTTACCGTTAGACTCCATGTCGCCCTGACAACCACATGCATACATCATTATAAATCAATAACTCAACAGGTTATGCTCTCCTGATCGGGAGACATTCCCCACCAATATCCAATACAAATTCCTCCCTCCGCGGTCACACTGGTTCAGTCCCTCATTGACAGACCTCCATGTGTCGTGTGTCTCCGTCGCACTGACCTGCTGGAAGTAGGCAGCGAAGCGGTGCATGTACTGGTCGTAGGGCAGCATGGCCTGAGTTTCGGCTTGGAAGAAGTTGATGTACCACACCCCAAGGACAGCCAGCAGGACGGGGACATTTTGCTCCAGAGGGACGCTACGGAAGTGGTTGTCCTGAAGAGGAGACACCAGTCTGGTTAATGGGAAACTTTGTCCACCAGAGGAGACGCTAGTCTGGTTAATGTTCAATGAATAGAGACAAAGACGGTCCTACCATCCAGTGAGCTCCGGACAGAAGCTGCTCAAAGTTCTCAAACCCTGAAACACAGAGGTCAAAGATGACACTAAAGGTGCTGGTCACATGACTTTGCGACAAACATGTTCATTCCATAACTGTGTCAGTGTGAGCTTCTCATCAGGCTGAGTAAAGGTCAAAGGTCGCGGGGATGCTAGCAGACGTACCAATGTGCAGCGCGATGGACAGACCGATGGCCGACCACAGAGAGTAACGACCTCCGACCCACTGAGGAGCAAACATGACATCATATTCACCACCAATCAGAGCCTAGAGAACAAAGTCCCGCCCACTCTTTTTCATATGAAATAAAATCAGAACACGACGACAGACTTACATCCCAGAACTCAAACATGTTGGCCGGGTCGATACCGAAGTCCTTCACTTTGACCTGCAGGAGGAAAAATTATGTATTAAGTATTGATACTAACTAATCAAACTAAACCGTTTAACATTACTTTACACACCAGACAAGCAGTTTCTGTTGTACTTTAGAGACATTACGGTGTACATGGTATACTACAGTGTATTCACACTGCAGCGTGGAATAGTGTCGTCATGGCAACAGAAGACTCAAGTACTCACCGCGTTGGTCGACAGAGCCACAAAATGCTTGGCCACAGCAGATTTCTATGGAGGACAAGAGAAATATTGATAGGATAAAGTATTTCATCACAGCAGGAATCCATATATGGATATGTAATATGCATGCCCGGACTACTGCATGTTTAGATATTTCAATGCAGTCGGTTCATTTGTACCTAAACGAGTCATTTCCCAATAAGGGATAAAGATCCCTACGTGGACAAGAGCAAACGTCTTCCTCCAACTTCTACGGTTACATGGATTTTATTTCATTAAACTATAGATTGGACGATGGAAGCTGATGATTGGAGATGGCAGACCACAACCACAACCAATCAGCTGGCAGGAAACTTAGGACTCACATCATTGGCTGTCTGCAGGAACCAATCCCTGGCCGACTCTGCGTTGGTGATGGTCTCCTGAGTGGTGAAGGTCTGTGAGAGGAACAAAGAGCACATGACAGGATGCGAACATGAACCCCCCATACGTTTACCTAATGGAAAAGAATGCAAAAGTATTGACCCCCTCTGCCCATTTTGTTCTGTTACAAACTGGAATTCAAAGAGACTTAAACAGACTCTCTTTCTCCCTCCAACTTCGTCCCTGAGCGGTTTGGTGAGCTCCTTGGTCTCCGTGATGCGCTTTGTTCAGTAATGCTCTGTGTGTGTGTGTGTGTGTGTGTGTGTGTGTGTGTGTGTGTGTGTGTGTGTGTGTGTGTGTGTGTGTGTGTGTGTGTGTGTGTGCTCACCTTGGAGGCGATGATGAACAAGGTGCTCTCTGCGTTCAGAGGAGCCAGAGTTTTGGCCAAGTGAGTCCCGTCGATGTTTGAGACAAACCAAACCTTCGGTCCTCCTGAGGAGTACGGCTTCAGAGCCTCAGTCACCATCAGAGGTCCCTGAACGGACCACGACCAACACACACACACAGATTAGAGAGACGGAGACAGAGACAGAGCGACAGAGACGGAGACACACAGCTCACCAGGTCGGATCCTCCGATGCCGATGTTCACCACATCAGTGATGCTTTTCCCGCTGAAGCCTTTCCATTCACCGCTACGCACCCTCTGTGGACACAACGCAGGTCACCACCCCCACGTCTCCACGTCTCCACCCCCCACCCCGGGCTCCAGGGTACCTACGTGGCAGAAGGTCTTCATCTTGTCCAGAACGCGGTTCACCTCGGGCATCACGTCCTGTCCGTCCACTTTGATGGGTGTGTTGGAGCGGTTACGCAGAGCGACGTGGAGCACGGCACGGCCCTGAACGCACCACAGCCGGGGAAAGGTCCTTTAGCTTAGCTTGTTAGCTAACGAGTAGACCGGCTATAGTAAAAGTTATGACACTTCTTCCAGAATGATGAAACGCTTCATCACAAACCTGGTTTCAGATGCGTGTGTGTGTGTGCACACATCACGTTTACTATGTAAACACTATGCTATCGGCAAATAGTCCCACTGCCTAGTGGGTCAGCCTCTTGAGGAAAGGCTTAAGGAGCAGACCCAGATAGAAAAGAAAAGCACTGGCGGTGCCTGAACCGAGCCAGGACGGGTCGTCCTGGGCTCACCCATGCCACCAGATTTACCTCACCACGACGAAGATAGTGCTAACTCTAAATAATCTCTCTGACCACGGTGTATACTCTTGAAGGCAACTGGCGACAGGAGCAGGTTTGAATAGACTGGGAGCTTCTAGTCAGAGCCCTGCACGACAGCGGCACAGGGTATCGCTCGCTATCAGCTGGGACTGAGTGGCAGCTGATCTCAGCAGCACCCCGTGTGACTGAGCAGCCCCTGTTTAGGGACCACACTGCTCACCTCAACCTGACGAGGGGCCTAGAAAAGGTGGCCCTTAAAAATGCCCACTCAACTCACACCTGGACAGGATACCGCACCTATCGGGTCATTCCACTCCTGCGGTTGAAAAAGAAGAAATAAATCCCAAAGCCTAAAACCGGCAACATGAGAACTCTCCTGGACTCCCATGGGAGGGCCGGAAGACCTCACAGAGGAACAGCACTGATTGGGGGGGGGGGGCTGAGGTGTTACAACATCGACACCGCCGCACTTAGCGAGACCAGGCTTCTTGATGAAGGGTCGCTAATAGAGGAAGGGTCTGGGTACGCTTCTTCCCCCAGGTGGACAACATGATGTGGGACTGGCCATCAAGAACACACTGAAGACTCACTGAAACACCTGTGGGCATCACAGAAAGACTGAGGACCTTTTGTATCCCCCTGGCAAAGAACCGCTTTGCTACACTTCTTAGTGTGTACGTGCCAACCTTGCTATTCGACATTCTACCAGTCACTGGACGAGGCTTTCCACTGGATCCCAAAGACCGACTAGATCGTCCTTCTTGGGGACTTCAATGCTCGTGTAGGGCAGAGTGAAAGGATATGGAAACGAGTGCTCGGCAGGCATGGTGTTGGTCAGGCCAACTCAAATGACATACTTACCCTCTGCGCTTAGCACAACCTGACTATAACAAACACCATTTTCCAGCAAAAGACCAAATACTAAACATCATGGATGTATCCATACATGAAACATTAGCACCTGATTGACTGTCATCGTGAGACGTTATCAGAGATCAGATGGTCAAGTCCACATGAGCCGAGAGAGAACCTGACCACAGACCAGCAGTGGACCACCATCAGCTCAGCCCTTCGTGAAGCAGCAGCCCACTCAATCGGCTGCAAGACCATGAACCACCAGGACTGGTTTGACAACACCTCAGACACCATCCGTAACTCTGAACGCCGTGCACAAAGCACACCAGGCAACCATGAAAACCACCGGTAGAGCAAGATGTGCAAAGGACCCTGGGGACCACGCAAAATAAACGGTGGACCAAGAGGGCACAAGAAATCCAGTATTTCGCTGATAGAAATGATATGCATTACTTTTACAATGCAGCCAAATCGATCTACGGTCAAAGAAATCACTGCATCACTCCCCTGAAAACGGCAGATGGGCTCAGAGTCCTAAAAGATCAGAGCAGCGTACTGGAGAGGTGGGCTGAACATTTTAATAACCTGCTTAATCAGGACTCTGAAACAGACAACTGAAAACGAAAGCAAGTGTGTGTCCGTCTGGGTGTGTGTTGCGTTCAATGACCTCGGTAAAGTTGATCTTCTCTCCAGAGAACATCTGGTCTCTGGCCTCCTCCACTCCCCTCGACTTGGCCTGTGAACACACAGTTACACAACACGTTACTACACGTTGTTGCAGCAGAGTGAATGTGACATCACTTCCCGTGTGACCACATTCCCTCAGGGACAAAGATGAGATAGGACGCCTTTTCACAATACATTTGTTGTGTTGAAATATTCCCGTTGGAGATTCATTGTTCTCGCACGAACAGGAAGTTAAAAAAAAAAAAACTAAAAAAAAAACGTTTTGTTCTGCAACACCAGCGGACCTTAAATAAACCATCCAGGTACCAGATATTAAACCTTCCATGTACCCAATATTTAACCATATACGGTGTTGTGCGGTGACGTCAGTAAGAGGCACGGAGTCATGAAAGCCAGATTACCTCATTTGTCGTTTAGGCTAACAAGTTAAAAGCAAACGTTACGTACAAGTGCGGCGCACGGTCGATAAAAAAAATTTAAGACATTGTGTACAACGCTCTCGCAAACACATACACTAGTAGTTAATGTCCAGCATCAGTATGCAACCATCTCTTAATAAATAAATAAAATGATTATATATATATATATATATATATATATATATATATATATATATATATATATATATATATACACAAAAAAAAAAATTGACACCAATGAATTAATATTACTTGGGCTTCGGGCGCCGAACGCAGAAAAAGGCCGGAAACATCGTCCGTTTGGGGCAGTGCTAACATTTGCTTTCGCAACCGATTGTAACATTATTGACGACAAAGTCCGGCCTCTGGGACCATATTGCTTAATTATTGCACAACAGCCAAAGTCAGTGAGCAACAATGAAAACACACACTGCTGAATATAAAGGCAAATGGCTTGTAGTCTGCATTAGGCCTGTCACGATAAGCAATATATTGACTTATCGCAAAATATATGAAAATGAGTGTGATGAATTTTTGGTGGTGCAATATTCATTTTACATATTAACGAACGTCACCAACTTTTTGGTTGATCGTGCGGTCCTCTGGTCTGCTTTCATTGTCGAAAGGGAACATTTTGGCTTTAAGCCGATTGAGAGAGGAGCCAACAACATGAATGAGAACAGTAAAAACCTTCTCCACATGCTGTGTGTGTGTGTGTGTGTGTGTGTGTGTGTTACCATGGCGAGCAGCATGGCCATCACTTCCTGGTTGATGAGATTCTTGGAGTAGTCCAGCAGGATCTCTCCATCCTCAGTCTGCAGGGTGGTGCTGTTAGAATTACGTGTACATATGGATTCATTTATACACCGTCTGACATCACTGATACCACACGGCGCCTTGTTAACGATGGCTGTGGAGTCGGTCTGACACACACACACACAAAGGCCTGGGGCTTGAGATATGCCCACTGATGAGACTAAAAACAGAAGCAGCCAAGCGGCGCAAACAGCTTTGTCTGAGCTGCTTCCTCGTCACGATGTCAGAGACTAGCATAGGGGACCAATTGAGGCCTTTTGTCCCTGTCCGGTCCCATCGTCCCACATATGGCCGTCACCAGAGACAAGGCAGTGCTCTGAGCTTGATCTAATGGTCACATCCATTTCGGAGTAAAGGGCGTATTGTGAACCTTTTAACCACAGCTGATTGAACCGAGCGGACACTGGAAGTCACATCCTGCCTCTTCTCATCTCGCTGCCCGTACAAAGGGCTTCCTAGTGGGCAACGCGAGGCCATGTCTTTAGCATTTTTCAAGCGCTGGCTGGTGGCGCACGACTGGTCTTCTTTTAGCCCCTGTCTCACAATAGAGATCATTTCGGTCTTTCTCGCGCACTCTTTTTAGAACATTGTATCATGAATAACAGATCAAATCTGTAAGATGAATAGTATTACAAGAGAATATTTATTCCCCAGGGAGAGGCCCTGCGTGATCAACGCCTCCGCCTCGAGCCCGTGTTCTTGGTTCTGCGCGTACAAACGGAAGCAGAGCTGCGGAGTGGGACGTCAAGCATCCATTATCGGACGCTCCTCTGCCCTCACGCAGCTCATCCCGAGCTGATCGGATGACGCCAACAGTTTTTTGGGCTTAGCATTAGCATTAGCTAGCTAGTCTGCAATAACAAATGACTGTCGTGAATGACCGATATTCTGCAACATGTCACCTCTATAAAGGATACATTGTGTTATTGTGATTTAAAATCACTAGTGTCAGTTGTAAATAAAAACATGCATTTAAAAACACATAAATACATGTTGCTCATGACGTCAAGGAGCTTTTATTAAACATTTCATCCGCTTGTGAAGATAAATGGCTAGCTGTCCGGTTATGGACGCTGTGACATTAGCATGCCCTAGCAAGCGCCTCAGGAAGCCTGTCGCTCCTCAGACGCGTTACGACGGACGCGTGATCGGTTCACCAGCCGTGTGAGGACAGGTGGGCCCAGGACAGGTGGGCCCAGTTCCATTTAGGAAACCAACGCGGATTAGTGCCGATACGAAACGCTGACCTTGTGGCTTTAACAGCGGAGGAGTTGTCACAGATTTACACGTACGCACACACGCACATTTACCCGAACACGCACGCGTATTTAGAAACGGACCCAAACGCTGCAGTGCTGCTGGAGGTCCCGCTCGGTCAGCACCACGCCCACCTCCACCCAGCCTCCGCCTGCACCAGGTGTCCTGACCCACCTGAACGTGGAGAACCGATCCTGGTCACGCTGGAACATGTCCCTCATGACGAGGCTCCCTCCGTTAGCTTTGTACCACTGCTCCAGCTTCTTGTAGTTGGGATCGTTGGTGAGCGCCATGGTTCTCCTGGTTCTTCTAACAGAGAGCTGACCTTAGACGTGACGGACTGGTCTGCGTGTGCTGATATTAACGAAGAGGAGACGAAGACACTGACAGCAGGAAGTTGTGGCATCCGTGTTCACCAATGAGGCTTTGCACCACCGGTTTAAACTCCTCCCCCTAACACGGAATATATATGAAGCATTGGTGCCAGTAAAACAGACCAATCATAAAGCCTTACCCTGTATGGAGAGACATTGGTGCCAGTAAAACAGACCAATCATAAAGCCTTACCCTGTATGGAGAGACATTAGTGCCTGTAAAACAGACCAGTAGTCTGTGCTGATTCAAGGACATCACAAGGCTGTATAAAATATGGAGGCACATAAGTGCCCATACAACGTGCTGTGATATATCAAGCACCAATCATAAGGCTGTTAGTGCCGGTAAAACAGAGCTGAATAATAACACACTTTTACAATGTTTCATTACAATCAATTCAATCATTGATCAGTCTTTAAAACTACTTTATAAATTAATTTAATGTAAATGAATCCCAGACTGAAACAACCACATTCACAATTTCATCATTCTGTATTTAAAGGATCAGTTATTTATTTTATGCTTTGGTTTCTTAGTAGTAAACGTTTTATATCAAACTTCTCTCAAACTCAAACCTTTACATTAATGTGAAGGAACAAAATCTTAAAAAGTATTTGATGTGTTGTCTTTTATTCTGGAGCCTTAAACCCACAATGTATCTACATATACCTATATGTATACCCATTTAAGTATAGTAGTCTACGTATCCGGAGTACACTAAAGTACTTTGAAGGTAGATTAAAGGTCAGAAACGTCTCATGGGAAGTTATATTTTATGGTCGTGGTTTATAACAGGAATGTGGCGTTTGACTGAAACAAAACATCTTATACATCAAATAATAAACTAGTGTCTCATGAAGCAGCTGGTGGACTCACGACTGGACGGGATGAACATCTGGACTCGAGCACACTGTATAACACCTGTACTTGATATATGGATAAAAACATGTGGATTGAGGCGTAATATCTAGACTGGGTTACAACATCTGGATTAAGGCACAATCAAATCTGGAACAGTTTATTAGAAAAATGCACCATCAGCTACAGAAGATTTGAAATCCCCAAATAAAACAAATGTGAAAAAGAAAACGTGAAATATAAAACATGTATTTTCTTTATCATCAGGAAACACGTTAAGGACAATTATTATTCTATTCTTCACAAATCCATCCATCCATTTTCAACCGCTTATCTGGGGTCGGGTCGCAGGGGCAACAGCTCCAGCAGGGGAACCCAAACTTCCCTTTCGGGCCACGTCTACCAGCTCTGACTGGGGGATCCCAAGGCGTTCCCAGGCCAGTGCAGAGATATAATCTCTCCACCTAGTCCTGGGTCTTCCCCGGGGCCTCTTCCCAGCTGGCCGTTCCTGGAACACCTCCCTAGGGAGGCGCCCATGGGGCGTCCTCACCAGATGCCCAAACCACCTAAACTGGCTCCTTTCGACGCAAAGGAGCAGCGGCTTTACTCCGAGCTCCTCGCGAATGGCTGAGCTTCTCACCCTATCCCTAAGGGAGACGCCAGCCACTCTCCTGAGGAAACCCATTTCAGCCGCTTGTACCTGTGACCTAGTTCTTTCGGTCATGACCCATCCTTCATGACCATAGGTGAGGGTAGGAACGAAGATTGACCGGTAGATCGAGAGCTTTGCCTTCCGGCTCAGCTCTCTTTTCGTCACAACGGTGCGGTAAAGCCCTGTAGACCCTCCTCCCCCCGACTACGCCTCGATATCCTGTCCATGAAAATCAAAAACAAGATTGGTGACAAGGCGCAGCCCTGGCGAAGGCCAACCCCCACCGGAAACGCCTTCGGCTTACTGCCGAGCACCCGAACGCAGCTCTCGCTTTAGGCGTACAAGGATTGGATGTCCCCAAGCAAGGACCCTTCACAAATGTTGAGGAAATATTTTATAAAGTTGATTTGGAACTTGTTATTTCTTAATTACTTATTTCTCACATTTAACTCAGGTTTATTTATTGGCAGGTGTGAAATATTAATAAAGTTCACCATTTTGTTTGGAGGTAAAAACTGACAGGTTATTGTTAAATACGTTTAATAATTGTCCTTTGACATTTTATGCAAACAAAGAAACACAACAGCTTGACTTAATTTGTTTTACTTGAGGCGTTTTCAATCTTCTGTATTTTATATTTATGTTTCTGCCGGTAAAGATGTGCTCCGTTTGGCTTTTTAATTCCAGAACCATAGCAATAAAGTGGGAAATATAGCCAGTGACCGGTGACCATTCTGCTACCCAGAAACCACGACGACAAGCACAGCAGACCTGTTAACAGCCAATCAGCAGCTCCCTGCGCAGCCCTTAAAGGGACAATACGCGTAGGGAGCTTTAAAGAATGAGTGGTGAGTTGGAAGAGAACAATATTATTCCGATTATATCTGATATGCATTGTTGCTTTGCTTGATCTGCTGAATAAAAACACTAACCATCGCACCTGCCCCTTTTTCAAGTGAAACATCGCCTAGGAACAGTTTAGAAAGAGGAAGCCAAGAACTGACGGAGAACCCCCCCGCCGTCCCCCCAATAAAGCTATGTGTCAGTGAAACAGAAGGTCGGGTTTAGGAGAGAATTCATTGAAAAACAAACTAGAACATTTATACATTATTGGAACTTATTCAGAGATGTTGAGTCGTCTGTCCTCAGTGCTGGTGACAAATGTACAACAAGAAGACGTCTTCATAATTTCAGTCAACAGAAGAGAAGTCCGCAGGGGGCCTACGCCGACACCTTGTTGTCCTTCTGGAAAAAAAGACAGTGTCCTCAGAAAGACAATACTTTAGGTTTTAACGGTTATACAGTATCATGTTTATTTAACTCGCATAGTAAGATAATAACATCATGAAGATAAACATGCGTGGTGATGAGGATGATAACAACAACAACAAAAAACAACATGCTTAATGATGATTATAAACATGATGATGATGATGATAAACATGTAAACAAGTAAACATCAAACAAGTAAACCATGTGACTAGTGGGCTCACCCTGTATGCTGATAGGTCGGCAAACTCCCGGCCGGCCTGGTTGCCTCGGTAACCTCCTCTGAAGCCGCCCCCACCCTGCGGCGGCCCAAAGGAGCCCCGGCTGGCGGAGCGCCCCCGCCCTCCTCTGAAGCCCATCCCTCCACGTCCCCGGTAACCTCCACGTCCCCGGCCGTGACGGAGAGGGAGGCCGAAGGTCTCTGCGTTCATCCTCCTCTCCTCCGCCCAGGTCTGCCTCCGCTCCCTGCAGGAGGTGAAGAGGAGGTGACGAAGAGCAGACGCACTAGGAACACTAGAACTTCTGGAGCTTGTGGACCAGAACCACTTACCTGGGGAACCCGGAGACTCCGGACTTCTCATTGGCTTTCCTGAAGAGACAAGAGACGGGTCATGGGACTTCATTCAATACCTCACGCATGGAGTCTGGTGAGGACATGGAAGCAGAGGACAGAGGGTACCTGGTGTCATCACAGGAGATGTTGTCAAAGAAGGACTTGGACTTGTCGTAGTAAACGTTGTGGCCCAGTGTGTCCTCCTCCTCAGCCGGTCCGTCGCTTGTCTGGTTCTCTACTCCGGGGTCGGCCTTCTCCTCTCCATTCACCTCTTTCTCCGTCTTCTCATCTGAGAGACCAGAGGAGGAAATGGAATGAAGCTACACGCATTAGCAGCACCGCTAACGGCTAACCAAGCAGGTTCGAGGAGGGTCACGCCCCACAGTTTGAGAACCACTGACTTATATGAAAGATATTATCGATGCATAATCTCTATATTATAATACAGCATTAAATATAAGGACCAACGCAATATTGGTCTGTACTGCCGTCCCATTATGGCTGAGCCGTATCCATGGAGACCACCAGCAGACCTCCAGCTACCTTTCAGCTTCAGTTTGCTCTGGAACTCCCGGTCAATCTCCTCCTTGTTGAACTGCGCATTGGCGCTCTCAAAGTCAAAGTCCTTCTCAAACTTCATCGGTCCGTCCCGTCGGACGTTGAAGCGTCCTCTGCCGCGGTGTCCGCCCCCTCGACCGCGGCGGTTAGCTGGAGCGCCGGCAGTCGCTGAAAACACAGAAGAAAGCAAAACATCAGACGCCGGAATTAGAAACTTTAAAAAAAAGTCAAAGTCAGGAAGCTGTGAAGAACCAGCTATTAGCATTAGAGTCCAGAAGTCACATCAACCGATCAACTTCTCAGGATGACACCATGGACAAGGAGCCGTCCAAAACCCCTGAATTCCTTAAAACCCCTTCTAAAAAGGGGTCCTTTAATGGTGGGACCTCTGGAACCAAATGGAAACATCACACTGATCTGAACCAAACTTCTGAGGCACCAGGTCATCAACACGTGTTCAGCTTGGAGGTCCAGTGGGTCCTGAGAGGAGGGGGTCTGACTCTCACCTGGGTGGCTGAAGACCGAGTGGCTGAGTCCTGCAGGAGGAGCTCTGTCCACAGCGCTTATGTGGGAGGATGAGATGGTTCTGGGTGCAGACCAGCCGTGAGTGGTGCCGCGGCCACCCCTGATGGTCTCACCCTTCCTAGGATCCATGCCGTCCTGGTGCGTGAGCTTCTGAGTGGGGGGGGCCGTGCGAGCGTGGGTGGGGCTTCTGCGCCCCAGCCCGGGGGCCGGAGCTGTGGCCGTGGCAGCCAAGGGGGCGCTCTGGACCACCTGCTCCAGGGTGGGGCTCTTCCTTAGAGGGTCCAGGCTTGGGCTGCTGCGTCCTAGGCAAAATGGGGAACCAGAACCGGGTTATGATGCTCACAGACGTCTTGAATACATGTATGAACAAGATTAAAAAACACAACCTCTAAGGCCGCAGAATAAGAGGGTGAACCGTTTCTAGTTCTGGACCAGATGGACACGGATACAGCTATGAAGGTTCTCTGGGGACATCTGCTCACTGAACGGTTCTCAACACAAGGAGAACGAGGGGGAGCAATACCTCGTAGGGTTGTCACGATACCGAAATGAGGACTTTGATAGTATAAGCACTAGGGCTGCTTAATCAATTTTAAAAATAATCGTTAGTTAGAGCCCTAATAACCACCAGAAGTATGATGATACTATACTGGTATATTCATTAGGGATGTCAAAGTAAACGCGCTAATCTGAGATTATTGTCTCAGCAGGTACGAAGATGGTAGCTGACGATAGAGAGCTTTTTGCATTGGAAGTAAAACAAACTGCAGAGGAATTCCTCCACGTGTCAAACAGAAGGGGGACGAGTGGCAAAGGGACCACTTTAAGACTGATGGCACCCAGAACGTGTTGCTAGCTGCTAGGCTACTTCCATCTCAACATCTACCCTGCAGAGGACCACTGCTGTGTCCCTAAACGGCCGTGCTTTGAAAACATCCTGGCTTGACGTGGGGAAAATGTTGGCACTTAACCGTCAAATGATGAGTTGAGAGCAAAATTAATTGAATCTTCTTGTATAGCGCTTTTCTAGTCTTCAAACCACTCAAAGCGCCTTAACACCACATGACATCATTCACCCCCATTCAAACACTGATGACAGGCAGGAGCTGCCACACACAGAGCCACCTGCCCATCAGTCACTAACATTCACACACTGTTACAGGAGTAATGTTGGGTTAAGTGTCTTGCCCAAGGATACATCGACATGCAGGTTAGCCAGGCCTGGGATCGAACCGACAACCCTCTGATTGGAGGACGACTGTGCTCCCCACTCACCCACAGTCGTCCCACCCCAAAGCGCACAAGGACAGCAGGAAGAAAAACTAACTTTTAAATGTGATTAATCTATTAACGCATTTCAAAGTGTGGGGACTGCTTAATGTAATGTGTTAGTTAGCTGTTGTGGCTGCTAGTATCGCAATACAAGCGCCTCGACCAACTTTGCAACAAAATGTTTTCTGATATGTTGACTTACGTCGGATTTTTCAAAACCAAAAACCCTCCAGACAGACAGCTCAGTTGATGCATCGAGCAACGGAGTTGCTTCTTGTTGCGGTAGCGGGCAAGCCGTACCCGGCTGGCTAATTTTATAAATGTACAATTATTCTAAACGTTACAAATTGTTTATGTAATTACTATACCGCACAGCCCTACTGGACGTCTCCCACTTGTAGGACACGCTGGGGGATTATATGTCCCAGCTGGTTTGGACGCCCCAAAATGAGAGTGTGTGTGTGTGTGTGTGGGGGGTGGGATTCAGGGTCAAACTGCGGGGCCGGCCGTCACCACGACTGACCCTGGATAAGAGGAGACAACTGGATGGATGGACAACAAAAAAAAAGACGCAGAGCTTCAAACATCCAAATAATAACAACAAATTGTCACATGGTAGATAAACGATATGCTCTCAAGCCTAATGCAGCTTTTCACGTGACTCCGCCCCGTCGCTATGCATTACGTGGTATCAGGAACTTACCTATGCCCACAGGTCCGAACTGGGGGGAGACCAGCGGGCTGCTGCTGAACTGGTCGTAGGCCGGGCCCCGGTTGAAGAGCCCGTAGGACCCGGCCGACTGGAACGGGGTCGGAGCGGCGGCAGCAGAGGAAGACGAGCTGGAGCTCATGGAGGACTGAGGAAGGAGACGGTTACTGTCACACTGAAGATGCCGGTACTCCGTCAGGTGCTCGGGTGGAGGTCTACCTGCACAATGGCCGGGTCCTGAGGGAGAGAACACGAAGGTTTGGGTGGCTCGCACACCGTCAGGTCCTTGATGTCGCTGCCCCGGAAGATGATGTACTCAAAGGTGTCATCGCGGGGGGGGATGGGCCGGTCAGTGGGGCGGTCCTCAGTGCCAAAGGAGCGCACTAAGGAAGAGGAAGGAGGAGGAATAAAGAAAGGGGGAGGAGGGAGAGAAGGACAAGGAGGAGGAAGGGGAAGAAAGAGCTCAATCAGAATACTGCAGGTTTACTTAGTTTGACAATATGATTTGTCATCACAGTTATTATTAATGCCCTCTGTAAGTTTGTGATATTTTTTCAAAATGTCAACATTTATGAAACCATTGTCATCAGTGTTCTTTCATTCATCTTTAGTGAGCCTGAGACGTTACACTTAATTTTATGTTTATGAAGTGTGTCACGTTCAGAATGACATTCTAATACGCAAAACTAAGTCATTATGTTGCGATTCTAGATCAAGTCGCATAACAGAGTTAAAGTGTAAAATGACTACACCATTACACGTTGTATATTACTTAATAACCTTAAATAAACATGTTTCCAATACTACTATCCATAAACTACAATACATAAGATTAAGGTAATTTCATGGGAACGGGGTCGTCGTGGCGCAGGGGTTCGAGAAGGTGTGCTGGGAAGCACAAGGTTGTTGGTTCGAGTCCAGGCTGCCCCATGTTCCATGTCGAAGTGTCCCTGAGCAAGACACCTAACCCCCAATTGCTCCCCGGGCAAAATGTGAAAAAGCCATGGGTTTAAAGTGTAATGTAAGTCGCTTTGGATAAAAGCGTCTGCTAAATGACCTGTAATGTAATGTAATGGGAAAAGAGCTTGTCAATCAAATCTGACTGCATTCAAATGATTAACTAAATATGGAAAAGTGAAGCTAGCCAACATGCTGACGCTAACTGGCATGTTGTATAGCCGACTCACGTTGCAAACAGATTAAAGTGTATTTATTACACGTTTATTTACATGCGGATCAGACCTGTTTAATGACGTCATGACATCGTTTTTCTCATTGATGTAATTTCAGTTACCATTTACTTCTCATGTTTAGCATCCTAGCGTTGCTTGGTTGATAACACTGACATTTGATAGCTTTAGCTCAGCTAAGGCTAGCAGCCTGGGTTGTATCGCTAACGTTAATTGACAATGTCCCTGACAATCGACAACCCGTCGACTCCAGATGGATACACGTCGGTCCGACACTGAACCCCACAGTGGGGCGGACATTAAAATAACAATAGTGAACACCCGCTTAGAGTGCACCAGCAGCTGTCGTTAGCATTAGCCGAATGCTACCTTTAGCCAGAGCCACGGTGGAGTTCTCGGTGTCGATGGTGTATAGGATTCCTTCGTAGCGGATGGCGGCTTTGGAGATCAAGCTGATCTTGCTGCCCAAGTAGGGCGTCCCGCCGCTCATGGTGTCCACTCCGGGGTCTGAAGTCCGAACGGAATGGACGGCCCTCCGAGCCGTGTGGTCGGCGGTAACGGATCTGCGGCAAGTTTCTCCGGGTTGCACTTTTCTCTCCACCGTCACCGCTACGACAACATGGCTCCCTTATCCTCCATGGGAGGACTGTGAGCGCGGGGGCTAACGAGAAGACCGTAATATCGCGCGATTACGCTGCGCCGTGAGATCCAGATTTTCGGTGGATAGAAGAGCGATGCATAAGAAACATTTCTCAGTGCATTTATTGTATCACATACAAATACATGCATCCAGTTCGTTCTCTCTTATCTAATAATGATCATTGACAAGTTAACGATTTTTCGTAAATAACAGGATATTTTATTCCTGATCTTGATTGTCTTTCATTGTGTGACCCTTTGCTTTAACTGTGCTCAGGATAAAAATGTTGTAATGTAAATGTAAATATAAATGTATTTTTAATGTATTAAATGTTGTAACTTTACTGTATTTACTGCACTTACTTTACTGTATTTAGCTTTTATTCCATTTCGGTTAATTTGTTATCAAACTTTTTTTTATGTCCCTTTTATATTTTTATCTATTCGTAAGTTATTATTGTATCATTCTGAACAAGTCACCTGTAGTACACACACCAAATCGCAATGTCAACATCTAACACGGATAATCTATTCCTCCCAGTTCTATGCTGAAAAAAGACTCAGATCCTCCGCGCATGCGCATGTTCTAAAATACGATTTGCACAACGGTCCGATATCAAAGATGGCGGGAGCCTCCGACCCGCTGGAGGACATGCTCTTCAATGAAGTGGACGAGAAAGCTGTTAGCGACTTAGTTGGCTCTCTGGAATCACAGCTCGGAGACAGAGAAGCTCCCGCCGCTTCGTATTCTGCCGGTAAACTGGAGGGAGCTCCGCCAACCACCGGTCAGTTCTCAGGGAAAGTGCGCGATCCGGTGGGTCCGTTGGAGCAGCCCCAACAAGGGCAACCAGAACCGGAACCCGTTAAAGTGCTGCCCTCCTCCGTAACCGCCGCGTCCGTGGTAACCGCCGGAGCCACAGCACCCCCCACTATCTCCCCGGTACCGGGACCCGTAACTTTGACCACTCGGTCCGCCCCTGTTGGCTTCCACCGGGCAGCTCCCGGCGGCGGCCCCGTGGTGGAGGCGAACCGAACCGCTTCCCCCGGAAGTTTAAATGATGCCGTGAAGTTGGTGAACTCGGTCCCCGCAGCAACGGCGGTGTCGGCACCGGTGACCGGCTCGGTAATCAGCGCCGTCAGCACCGCGGGATCCACGATCATCGCCTCCATGGCCGCTCAGCCTCACTTCCCTCAGTCGCCCGGTGTCCCGCTGCAGAGACTCCCGGTGCCGGTGTCCGGTGTGGCCCTGAATGGAGTGGATCCCAAGGGCGCTGTCCCGTCCGCCTCCGCCCCCCCGGTGGTGAACCACGTCGCTCCCTTGATGCAGACCAAGGTGCTGGTTCCCAGTCAGCCCGTCTCCGGGAACTCCGTCATTCTCACCGGAACCCCCCAACCCGCCGTGACCGGGACCGGCACAGCCGCCGTCGTCCTGAAGCCGGCGGTGAATGGAGTGGGTCAGCTCACCATGGCTCGGCCGCCAGGAACCCCCGTGATGACCACGTCCATCCAGCAGCAGAGACCCGGCCTGGTAGCGAGTTCCCCCCGAGCCGCCGCTCCTCAGCTGGCCGTCCGGCCTCAACAGCAGACCACCATCCAGCTGCCCCCCGGCTTCTCCATGCCGCCAGGTGAGCACACCTGAGCCCTCACCTGGTGTCCCGTCACGGACAGGTTGTGTAGAGACAGACAGGTTTGAGTGTCACTTGTTGGTAGAACATAAACCTAAAATGCGGTTTGTCCTAGTTTATTAAAATGTTTGAAGCGTTAGATATGTCGTAGCAAGTTGTCATGACGACGTCTGTTTTTAATAAAAACTTATCAAAGTCACTAAAAAGACTCTCAGCCATCAGAGAAACGAAAGGAGCAAATTCAAATTCAAGTCCGTTGACATGAACTTAATATCTGCTGAAGGGCTTCTGACCCATCAATAACGTCACACGTCTCCATCAGGAGTGACCATGATGCTTCCTGTCTTCCTCAGGTATGGTTCTGGTCCGTACCGAGACGGGTCAGCTGGTTATGGTCCCTCAGCAGGTACTGGCTCAGGCTCAGGCCAAGACCCAGCAGAGCCAAGTGGGGGCCAACATCAGCCAGAGACCTCCCACCCCGACCGCCGCCACCGCCATCCGGGTCAGCGCCCCCCCCACGGTACGAGTGGACCTGTCCGGGTCAGAGGTCACCATCCATGGACAAATTGGAAACCACAAACGCATGTAAAACTTTTAAGCCCCTCCTCTTCCTCCTTGTCGTCTTCAGGCTCCTCAGACCGTCCGCCTGGCCGCCCCAAACCAGACCAGGATGGTTCAGTCTCCGTCCTCCACGACTATACAGGTGTGTCTTCTGTCCTCACCCTGTATCCTCCCTCTTCCTTTGTCCTCATCCGCCATACTGTCGCTTTCTCTGTCCTGTCTCTTTGTCTTTCTTCACCCTCTGTCCTCTTGTCTCTTCCTCTCTTCTCACCCTGTTCACATCAATGATGGAAACCTGTATTTATGTGACCATCTGACGTGTTTCAGAAGACCATCACGGTGTCCCCTGGCGGCGCAGCGGTGTCAGTGAAGATGCCCCCGGCTCAGAAGGCACAGACCGTGATCACAGCGGGGGGGACGCCGGTGTCAAAGCCCGTCTGTGTCCCGTCCAGCACCACGCACACCCCCGCCCCCACTCAGACTAACCGAGTCACTGTGGTGTCCCAGGTCTGTCGTCCGCCCTCCTCCTTTGTCCTCTTATTGCACACGGGACACCTGTGTGACCACCTGCTGTTCTTTGTTACCATGCCAACAGGAGATGCAGGAAAACGTGAAGAAGTGTAAAAACTTCCTGGCAACGCTCATCAAGCTGGCGTCTCACAACTCTCCCTCACCGGACACCTCCAAGAATGTGAAGGCCCTGGTGCAGGACCTGCTCGTAAGTAGGCCTGTCGCCATATGTAATATACTTACTTATCGCACAATATATGAAAATGAGTGTGATTATTTTTGGTGGTGCGATATTCGTTTTACATATGAATGAACGTCACCAACATTTTAGTCGAGCGTGCGTCCCTTTGCGTCTGCTTCCATTGTCGGAGGCGGGACTTAGGCAGCAAGTACAAAGTAAGACTGAAGAAGATCAATTCACGTTTTTAAACGTTGTTTTGGTTCGCACAACATCGCATTAAGACAGGGACAAACGCTATTAATAACGTGCTTTTAAATACGTTTTAAAAAACGTAAAAAAAAGAGAAAAGGGGAGACAGAGAAAGATGACATAGAGGGAGGAGATGAAGAAACAGGTAGTAAGAGAGGAGTAAGTGAAGAAACAGGGGCAGGAGAGATGGAGAGTGGAGAATCTGAATTAGAATCTGAAGTAGAGGGAGACACAGAGGAAAAAGAATCTGAGACTGAAGACACAGTGAGAGGAGAAATAGTGTCGCGTTGCATCGTGTCGCAACGCTTTGTGTTGCGTTGCATCGCATCGCGTCGAGGTCTGTATGATCACAAAATTCAGAGTTTACCCACCTCTAATTTTACCACTACAGCACTGATTGTATATTCACTGGAGTTATGTGTTTATTCAGGATGCAAAAATTGAGCCTGAAGAATTCACAAGTCGACTGCAGGCTGAGCTGAAGTCTTCTCCTCAACCCTACCTCATCCCCTTCCTCAAGGTATTACTACTACTACTACTACTGTTGTACTGGTACGATACTATTACCACCGAATTATATTTTGATGCCAGTTATTGTACACTTATAATACATAATTATGCATAAATGTCTACATATTTCTTCTTCGTAATTGGCAAACGTGACGTAGTTGACATTCTTGAAGTGTTTTTTGTTTTTGAGGTTGTTACAGTTGTTATTGTTGCTGTTGTCGATGTTACTGTTGTTGGTGACGTTGTTACTGTTGTTTTTATCATTGTTACTGTTGTTGATGACGTTGTTACTGTTGTTTTTTTATTGTTGTTACTGTTGTTGACGTTGTTACTGTAAGGTTATTGATGTTCACGTTTTTGTAACTGTTGTTATTGTTGTTGTCCCTCCTCAGAAAAGCCTCCCCGCCCTGCGCCAGTCTCTCCTCAGCAGCCAGCAGTCCATTGTGACTCCTGGTACCTCGGCCCCCCACCCGGTAGCCCCCGGCTCAGTCACCACTATCAGGTCCCGGATGCCCATCACCCCGGTAGGGGGCAACGTCAGGATGACCCCCCCCCTCACCAACACCATGGTAGGTCCGCCGGGCTCTCTGATTCTGTTCTTCTGTTGTTGTTCTCTTGGTTAAGGGCCCCGTTCCTCGTACGTGGCTGAGTTAGCTGGCTCATTTTCAGGATAAGATTACATAAATCAGGCTTGTCGGTTCCACCAAGGAAGTTTGACAAAATCACCATAGTAACGCATCTAAAAACTTCCGTCAGCTGGATAAACTCTTCCCACTTCCCCGGAAAAAATGTCCCTTCCTCAGAGATCCATTCGATGAGCGATATCAGTTAAATTAACGTTTTGTAGAGAAAGAGTTCTCAGAGATCACAAGAGAGTTATGACATCACTTCCTGTACAAGTGCTATCAATGCCAATTATTTATTTACAAGAAGACCTTTTGAAGCCGTAACGTTACATGATCACCACACGCTGCATCAACTGTCCAACACAGTCTTTCATACTGTCCCTCACACTGTCCCACACACACTCGCAGACCGTCTCACGGACTGTATGCATAGCCTTGCATGTATGATAGATGGATAGAGATAGATACTTTATTGATCCCTCAAGAGGGAAATTTTGGTATCACAGCAGCATATACAGGGAAGAAAATAGAATAAAAAGATACACATTATATACAATATAATAAGATAGAAATATTAAATTAAATTAAATAAACTAAAACTGAAACAAAAGAATAACCTTCCAAAAGAGACAATAATAATAATTTGTAAAAGGAGAAGAGGAAGAGCAGCAACATCACAGCAGTACAGGGTTATTATTGTCATTATTTAGCCAGGGATGATTTATTGTAAAGTGTTATTGCACTGTGCAGGAATGATCTCCTGTATCGGTCCTTGTGACAGCGGAGCTGAAGGAGTCTGTTGGAGAACGTGCTCCGCTGTCCCTGTAGCAGGTGGTGGAGGGGGTGGTCAGGATTATCCAATATGGATAACAGTTTCTTCAGTGACCTCCCCTCCAACACCTTTTCCAAGCTGTCCTGTTTGCAGCCAATGATGGAGCCGGCCTTCTTAACAAGTTTGTTAAGTCTGTTGATGTCACCGGCTCCAATGCTGCTCCCCCAACAGACCACGGCGAAGTACAAAGCACTGGCCACAACAGACTGATAGAACATCTCCATCATCTTGCTATGCGCGCCGTGTGCAGCGAGTGCAGCAGTTGTGTACGCTCTTTGCGTTGCATTAATATCCCAGCACACTTGAGTCACTTTTTTGCTCCAACCAGCCGCTAAGTGCAGAGTTGGTTTACAGGCGTAATCTGTCTGCATACAGGACGTAGCGTCCTCATAACACACCCTGTGTCATAGCTGCCAAGGAAAATAAACCATGTAAGCCAACTGTTGATTAGCATCCTACAGACCAACTCACCATTTGAGACAGTGTGCGGCGGACTGACATTATGACACTACGGGGCCCCCACGTGACTGCCTGTCTCTGTAAGACTGCCTGTCTCTGTCCCTGTTTTTTTTGTGCTGATTGCAAATGGAATCATTGGTCTCGTTACACGATGAGTGGATCATTTTAGAAGTGGAAAAAAAATTCCAGACTTTCTTGGAGGGGGCAGGGCACCCCCCATCGTTCAATGGTAACAGAAACATTGCTGATGAATGAATTCTGGTTCCAAGATCGAGGAACGGGCCCCTGACCTGTTGTTGTTGTCCTGGTCCGGTGTTCTCTTGGTTCCTGGTTATGCCTGTCTTAATAAACAATATATTGACTAATTGCACGGTATATGGAAATGAGCGCGATAATTTATGGTGCTACGACATATTATGAGAGACAAGATCCTCCTTGTGGCAGTGGCAATCGCCAGAAATCAGTAGCAAGTCCACAACGGCGAGCTGAGTGGGCAGAGCCAAATTTCCCAGAACGGCCGTTGTTTGTACAACAGGTCAGCTGCATAAATCAGTTTTTTGATTTTAGTTAAGACCCCTAAACCGAGAATGTTATTTCTGTTTCTTTAGGCTGTGGGCAGAACAAACATCCAGAGCAGAACACCTGTAGTCTTCAGTCAGACGCTCAGACCTCAAGGTGAATTCATTATATTTTTCTCCTATTGATCTATTATTATTATGTGTGATTATTATTATTGATGTGAAACATTCTCCTCAGGTACACTTGTCAGAGGACCGACAACGATAATCGGTAAAAGTCCTCTGAACTTGGCCGCTCAAGCCAATCAGAGGAAGCTCAGCGACCCAGGGGGCGGGACATTCAGGTAGGGTCGAATCACATTGGCCAAAATGTATTTTTACAGAAAATCCATTTTGTTTGAAAAGCAGCAAAGTTTCAATGATTTTTACAGGAGATTAAATACTAATCAAAGTCAAATAAAATCAGTCGAAATTGAATGAAATATTATGATAGTATTATTATTTACCTGGTATTTAACCAGAAGCCCTAATCCTGACCCCAAATTGTTATAGAGGGATTTTATATCTGCTGATATTTCTATGATCTTTATTTATATCTTCATTTCTCTTATGGTTTCTCAGTCTGAACTGAAGCATCTTAACGTAATCCGTTTGGTTCATACTCATCACTTCATGGTGTCGGTGGCCCGTTTGTAGCTTAGATAGCAGCCAGCAGGGGGCAGCATGAGATCACACTAACACCATCTCGAGTGTTCACCTTACCTCTCACCTCTGCACTGTGCTCGACCTCAGAGATGACGACGACATTAACGACGTGGCGTCCATGGCCGGCGTCAACCTTAATGAGGAGAACGCCCGTATCCTAGCAACCAGCTCGGACTTTGTGGGCACGAAAATACGCTCCTGCAAGGACGAAGCCTTCCTGCCCACCGGCCTGCTACACCGCCGTATCTTGGACACAGGTGCTGTCACCGTCTCCTGTCATTTCTTGTCACTTGTCCGGTGTGTCTCTAAATAGGGGCTACCAATAGTCAGTAGAGAAGACGTCCATCTTGTTGCTCCTCTCGTCCTCAGCTAAGAAGCTGGGAGTCACTGAGGTTCCTCTGGAGGTGGTGAACCTTGTGTCTCATGCCACTCAGTCCAGACTACGTTCCCTCCTGGAGATGGTCTCGGCCGTTGCGCAACATCGGACGGACGGAGGGAAGGCAAGGACTGTTTGTCTCACTCTGTGTCGCTCTGATCCAGAGACACGTTTTCCTGATTCTAAAGCCATTGATGTTTTCTCCACTGAACCAGGAAGAAGAGCAACACGAACAGACGTCAGATGTTCGCTCTCAGCTTCGCTTCTTTGAGCAGCTGGAACGAATGGAGAAGCAGAGGAAGGACGAGCAGGAGAGGGAGATCCTGCTGAAGGCTGCCAAGGTACATGTGTGTGTATATCGAACATACGTACATGGATGTATGTGTATATATTAGAGCTGTCAATAGATTTAGAAAAATAAATAATCTGAAATAATTAGTTTTTCCTCCTAAAGCCTAAATCTTGTATATTAACGAGTAATCACTTTAGAAAGTGTGTATTTTAGACGCTCTTGTTTAATTGTATTTTAAACACAAACTGCACACAGTGTACATACACATGTGTGTACATAGATATATATTAAAAACAGACTCGATACTTCAGGGACCTTGTTCACATTTGTTTCTATAACTTCTCCTCATTGTCTATGTTAATGTTTTTCTATTATCTGCACTTGATAAACATTAATAATCAGAAGTTTCTTTTTTTCTTTCAGAGTCGAGCGAGACAAGAAGATCCTGAACAAGCTCGGCTGAAGCAGAAAGCTAAAGAGGTAAACCAGATGCCCAAATATGGGCACGTCTATTTTTTTAAGCGCAATTGGACAAACTCCCAGAACCAACCTACGTCGTCATGACGACCACTTCTTAGCTTCAGCCCCAAACGGTCCTCGCAAGTATAGACAGACAACCCTTGTGTTCCTTCTTTCTCTTGTCATTCAGATGTGACCTTAGTCCTAGTCCACGAGACACTACGAGAGAGATTATCTTTAGTTAAAATACCCGTGGATGAAATCCAGCATTCTGACTGGTTGACAGTGAGTCACGTGGTGTGCTGTATTGAGCCACAATGTACAGTACTGATTACATTGACCTGAGCGTTCCATATCACTGCGCACTCAAAATAATAGTTTGATTTAGCGCGACCACTTGTTGTTATGTATTATTTTTAGCTCTGTGGCGATCGCCGAAAACAGACCGGAAACACCTCAAATGATCAGTTTATGGCAATGCGAGCTTTGGCAACCGGACAATTAAGGTGGACGTCATGAGTGATGTGAATAAATGAGACTGTACGAGATCTTGCACGGAGACCCGATGCTGTTTACATGCACGTACAGCAGGGGTCTCAAACTCTGGCAAAACATCCTCGAACTGTTACATTTTTGGACGATACGGTACAGCCTCTCGTACCTTATTGCTTAAATATTAAGTTATATCATTGTTATCATTTCATCACTGTGACAGAAGCTGATCTCAGATCAGACCAAATGGAAACTCACTACCTCCATGGGGATGTCGTGCTTCCTGTAGTTCCTCCCCTTTGGTGCATGAACAGTAGATGTGTCGTCCACAGATGTATTGTGGGGGCTGTAGTCTCTCCCTATGAGGAGGTGAATGTATGTTAACAGTAGATGTGTCGTCCACAGATGCAGCAGCAGGAACTGGCTCAGATGAGACAACGAGACGCAAATCTCACAGCGCTCGCCGCCATCGGACCGCGCAGGAAACGCCGGATGGACTCACCGGGAGGCTCATCGTCTGGACCCGAGGTGACACTTACTTTACTGGCAGTACTGCAGGATAAACGCTGATGTTCTACTACTTCTGTTTCATTTGATGCTCATAGTCTATTCTCCGTCAGAAAACAAACTGTGTGCGTGCGGTGTAGGATGTAGAAAGAGGAAAAAATGTACAAACAGGAGGTTGGTAGAGTCCCCACCAAAGCCACGACCCCCCTAAGCTCCACCCACAACACAAAGCTGCAGGCAGACAGTGACCTGCATCACTCAACTGTGGTTATTGACAAGAGGGGGGGTCCACGCACGCGCGCACACAAACACGTTCACACGGCTCTTGTTCTCTGAATGGAGCCTGCATCAGAGCTGTAGTTCCATAATGCTGTCGACCCCCCACGCTGACACTGCCCTAACTCCTCCCACAGGTGACCCCATGCTCCGGTACAGGCTCTTCCCCTGGCTCCTCTTCCTCCTCCTCCTCCTCCCGCCAGCAGCTTCGCCAGCGCATCACACGAGTCAATCTCAGGGACTTCATCTTCTGCCTGGAACAGGACCGCTCCACCTCCCGTTCCATGACGCTCTACAAGGCTTTGCTGAAGTGAGGAGAAGGGGGAGAAAGGGGAGGAGGAGGAGGAGGAGGAGGGATTCCTCCTCCTCCTAAATAAAACCGTATCAAAGGTGACGCAATAAGAGCCAGAGCCACATATTCACATGGGAACATGTTGGACTTTGATCGCATCCTACTTTTAACAGTGTGACTCAAACTAAAGGCTTCAGAACCATTTTTACCGGACTCTAACTCAGACCAGTGGAACCACGTCCTCCTCCTACATTACCCACAATGCACTGTGTGTAGAGGTCTACTCGGCTCCCTTTTTATCTCATGTTAAAATTCTTTCGTGTGTGTGTGTGTGTGTGTGTGTGTGTGTGTGTGTGTGTGTGTGTGTGTGTGTGTGTGTGTGTGTGTGTGTGTGTGTGTGTGTGTGTGTGTGTGTGTGTGTGTGTGTGTGTGTGTGTGTGTGAGAAACAGAGATTTAAAGGAACAGTTCCATAAATCCTCAGATTCCAGTCTCAGCTTGTTAGCTTAGCATTAAGACTTCATCAGAGGGAAATGTTTCAGAGCTGCTGGGATGTGGATCTGGTCTTAATGCTAAACTACTAGATGTGGGAGGATTTAAATGTTGCACTATCCCTTTAACACAAGTGATTGACAGTCGTAAATCTCCACAGGGAGCTGGTTCTCCTCCAGTTAGAACTCACTCAGGCTAACCGATAAACATTCCTCTAGCTCCTCCCTTCATGTAATTTTTACTTTTAGCGCAGCAGTAGAACTCATCGACCTTGTGCTGTTGAACATTTTCATCTGTTAGTTGTTAAAATACAGTTTTGCTGTTTTTTTAGGAGGCTTTTTGGAAAGTGTGTTGTGTTCATTGAAGGTTTTTAAGGCTTTAAATGTCTCTTCCCTCATATCGGGCATTTGGTTCGTATGGTCCAGAGCTCTAGAGGTTCAGCCGATTCATCTTTAAGAAGGACAAAATATTTGCAACTATTTATATTTCCTACACGAGTTCAACCCTGGCACGTTTCAGGCAATGCAATTTTACAGTTGTTTGTACCTTTGCAAAAAAAATGAAATAAAGAAAATGAAAAAGGAACCAGAAGTCAGATTTTGTTTTTTTTATCAACAGATGTGTACTTTTTTTTTTTTTAAGTGTCTTTGTACTAGTTTGACTTTCGTTGCATCATCATCAAACGGAAACGATGCAGAGGTCAAATGTCTGAACCAGAGGTGAACTGCTAGTCCAGAGGTGTCCCAGCACCTGCAGACGTGTAAAGGCGTTGACGTGAGTGTGAGTAGTACAGGCGTAGCACCTTCCTGCAGAGTTCAGCCTGCAGTGCCCATTAAGGGGGAGGCGGATCACATGGGTGTGAGGTCCTGGTTCCAGCCGGCGTTGATGGAGTTAAACGTGACGTCACCGGTCTCGGAAAGACCTCCTCGATGAGGACCTTCTCTCCACTCAGTGCGATCCTCTCAACCAGGTCGGGGGGGAGTCGGACCACCAGACACTTGCAGGGCGGCGCCTGTTGGGCCTCCTGCTTCACCTGCCAGCGCTCCAACTCAACTCAACCGGGCTTCCTCGTACAGCTGGGGGAAGTCCTGATGGAGACACAGCTGGATAGTGACCAGGGGTCACTGTCTCAGAGTGATACAATTCATTTTATTTTGTATAGCCCCAAATTACAGATTTGCCTCAGAGGCCTTTACAGCCTGTACACATGCGACATCCTCTGTCCCGAAACCCTCACATCGGCACAGGAAAAACTCCCCAAAAATGAAAAACGGAAGAAACCTCAGTGAGACACGTAGGAGGATCCCTCTGTCAGGATGGACAGATATCATGTACACATGCGGTTCATGCTTGTTTGTACTACCAACTGTAAATTGTGCATTGTTTAATAAAGTAAATCTTTAAATATTTTTTGAACATTCTGAAAATGAAGTTGAACTTCATTTAAGTTAGTTCCTTAATATCAGAGATGTCTGACTCAAAATATAAATATAAATTAAGATTATTTTTCTAAATAACGTTTTCGTTTTCTAGAACTGAAACATGGAATATTTGTGATCTTTTAAAATAAACCTATATATATATATATATATGATCAGGATGATATTAGCAGCATATGATGAGTCTTAATCATCAGTTATTGAAAAGATAATTAATCAAAGATTAACTTAACTGATGGGCGATGACTCCGATGATGTCACAGACGTTTTCCCAGGTGGAGAAACACCAACATGAGATGAAGACCATCAAGGTTCAGGGTTGAATGCACGTCATTTTATTTTGGTTCCACAGAAACTGTTTTTTAAATAATTGTTTAATAGACACAAAGTGAAGCAACGTGACGAGGTTGGAAAGACTAAACCACCTAATGCGTGTTTTTATTGTTGATGGACTCAAGTCTAATTTATACACATACATATCGTGTTGTTAATATAAAGCTGACATGACAGTGACAAAGTAACGGAGCGACAAAGTGACATAGTGAAGTAACTAAGTAAGGGCCCAGGCTCAGATGCCCATGTAGGTGTTCATCTTGCTCAGGGCGTCACACACGGTGGTGAGGTCGCTGCGGAGGTCCTGCACCACGTCCTCGATGCCGCGCGTGTCTTTGAGCAGGTCAATGCTCTGAGTGTACGGGTTGTAGTACACTGAGAATGGCCTCTTTATGGACTTAGCGAACTCCCTGTGAGAGAGGAGACAACATTAGGTCACGTGATGCGTCACATGATGTGATGCGTCTCAGTTAACTTCCGCAGGATCAATGGTTGTGTATGAGTTAATGATCGGATCAGACTGGTTTTCCTAAAACGAACGATCCTTTATACTGAAATAGGACTGATGATTTGACAGTGGAAACTGATAACAACCAAAACGATCAGGAATTTAGAGTTTTAACCCTTTAAATGAGAGTATCTAGGATGATGCCATGCTTTTCAACGAATCCATAGGATTTCCGGTTCCTTTCTCAAAGTGTGTCCAAACGTTTGACTGCTACTTCATCTCAGATTTCCCCTCCCCCCTCCCCTGCTAAAACGGTGAAGATGACGGACACTTGATGAGAGGGTGACTGTGTGAGTGACCTCATCTTCTCCTTGGCCTCCTCGAAGCTGTCGGACACAAAGTAGACCTCCTGGAAGGTGGTGATGAGACACTCCTGGTCACAGGTGGTCCTGGGGTCAAAGGTCATCACACGGGCCTTCTCAGACAGGGCGTGCTGTGGATCAAACACCCGGCACCTGTTTACTTTGATTCTATTCTGTCACAGACTTTATATGAGCTTTTAACACCAATATTATTTATAGTTTCAAACATTTAACAATCAATTCCAGATTCTGTGAACTGATGATTCTATGAGGTCACATATTTATAAATTTACACACATTTTAAAACAAAAATAGATACATATATGTAATCAACATTTTGAATGCTTGGTAAATAATGTGTCAATTTTTATGATTGTTTTTATAAACCTAGAAATAAATTAATAAGGAAATTACGGTCACTGTGTATGTGTTACCCTCAGCTCTCCTATGGATGACAATAATCCGGCTCCATAAGCTCTCAGCTGTCCGTCTTGTTTGCAGAGTCCAAACTCAACGGTGAAGAAATAACACTGTTCACAGATTTAAGAATATAAGACTATAAGAACATATTAAAGTATATCAGAGTTCAGCAGTGCAACTGAGTGGATCACATTATATAATAAAGAAGATCAACATGGTGACTTATATTACCATATATATATATAATATGTAGACTTAGTTTAGGAGGGGGAAATTAGTTGTTTATTTAATTTTTTTTTTTTTTTTTTTTTTTTAATCGACTAAAAAAAGTTATTCTATCAAATAAAACCATGATGGCGATTAAACATCAATGGGACATAAATGGTAATACAATGAGTGTAATGGTCCCTGGGGACACTAGGGGCGCTCTCATCACAGATCTATAATCAATTATTAAACTCACTGTGGCCAGCTTCTGAACGTCCTCATCCGAAGCTCCGAGAGATGCAAGTCCGATTTCCTGAGAGAACTGGGCAAACTTTGGGTCAGCCAGAAGAGGAACATGACCCAGCAGTTCATGGCAGGTGTCCCTGCAACCAGGAGAAGTTCCTATTGTGAGACCTGATGCTCAACGGAGAAGCTCTTATTGTGGCGTCACAAAGCTGCTGCTCACAAAGGGGGCTTTTGTTGTGAAGAACTCAGACATGCTACTCGAAGAAGGATCTCTTATTGTGAAGGAGTCAGAGAAATGTGAAGGGGTATGTGGACAGCGGAATGGGCGCTGGACACGTGCAGGTGTACTCACGGCTCAGGTGTGTAGAGCGGGTCGGTGCTGTGACGAACGTACTGAGTGCAGTTAAACACTCTGTAGGCCAAACCAGCCAGGAAGTCTCTGGGGGAAAGGTAACCTGCTACTGGTCGCACAGTGAAACCAGACCTCTCTGAAAAAAACGTGACATGCATGACATACTCTTATTGAGTAAACGTTAGAAATACAGGAAATATTTGGACCCATACCGCCTCATAAATCTGCATCATGTTTTCATTAGTTTCAATTGAAATAGTTTTTTTAAAGACTAAAAAGATCAACCAAACCTCTGAGAAACAGGGAGACGTCCTCCAGTTGGGGGATGTTGTCCTCTCGGTAACCACATTGTTTGCTAAGCAGCGGCAGGTTCTTCAGGTATTCTCTGCAGGCGTGAGTCGGGTACAGCTGGGTGAGCTCTCTGAAGACCACCCCCCAGGTCCTGACCTCCTCCAGGGTGTACTCGATACGAGGGATGGGCTGCCCGCTGGGGAGGAGACATACCGGTCTGATCAGACACTGATGATTACTGGACTGATTTCAACCCTCCACAGGTAGATCAATCATTCACTGTCCAAAGGGATCACATCAAAGATGAAGAAGATCATTGTAATGCTCCTTTATGTGCGTTTTATAATACATTGATAGATAAAATACATCTTTAAAGACGTCAGTCTAACAAACTACTGAAAAAAGTTGTCATCGGAGGTGAAAACTGACAAACATGATACTAACAATTTATAATTCATGGCCACTTCCACAAAGTATTTCCTCCTATGGCGATAAACTTCATCCTTAAAGCCCTGCAGGAAGGAAGAAGTCAGAGGTCAGCATAATGATAAAACATTCCCATATATATATATATATATATATATATATATATATATATATATAAAATAGAAAACGTCTTTTGGGGGGAAAAAAATGCAATACAACATATTCCAACATGGTAGTATCAGAAATGTAGTTACAGGGTGGTCTGCATCCAGCTCGGATCCGTACATCAACACTCTGTCAGAACACTGATCCAACTCAGAGATCTTCATTGGAAACCACGGAACATCATCTCCATCTGATAGAACAACAACATGAATACAACTGTACTCAGCTTGTGAAAATGTTTGATTTATAAAAAAAGCCCTTTTCAAATGATCTTTATCCAAAAACATAAGGTATCTACAGAACATTTAAAACAATAACATGGACACTATTCTTTGTAACCCTTCCAGAAATGGCCACCAACCAACATCGGCTCTAAAAGGTACATTTGGTCCAAAGCAATGAACCAGAACATTGGCACAGGTAAAACTCTTCAATGGGGGGAAAAAACGTTAGAGGAGGATCACTCTCCCGAGATGGACAGACTGTGATGGATGTCATGTGTACAGAATGAACAACGTAGAAGGTGTACAATACATTCAACACCTATGACAGAAATGATTCAAATATTGAGAGTAGTAAGCCAGGTGTACAACAGAACCACTGCAGGGACGGGGTTAGGTTCATTGGTACCCATCTACCTATGAACCAGAACATCATTGGTCCCCATCTCCCTGTGAACTCAGCAGACCACACAGGTAGAAGGGTAATATAACGGGTCAGGTGGACTCACCTGCCTCAGCAGACCACAGGTGTGCAGGTGTGTTGGAGGAGATAATGTTAACGTGGTCTCTGAGATGCTGGAGCAGCTCGTCAAACTCTTTCTTGCTGCAGCTGCAGTCGGCAAAGATCTCAACCTCATTAACAACTCGCTTTGACATCCGAGACTCAATGTGGCTCAGGTTCACTCGCTTCTCCTGCAGAGAGGAGCATAACGATGACGCAAGACTTCGCTGTCCTCAATAACCCATATTGAGTCAAGAGGAAACCAACGTCTTACCTGGAAGAGCCTGAGGGCTTTGACCAGGCAGCCCACCTCATTCTTCAGTGAAAACACCACAGCCGTCTTCCCACAATCCTCAGCGCTCTCTTTGTCTGGCACTTCGTTGATGGGACAGAAGGATGTCCGCCTCGACTGAACCACACGTCAACAAACACAAACAACAACATATTACATTCCGTGGAACAAGCAGTTTTGCAGATGCAGAGCGGAGAGTGCGGGTCGGGATGTCGGGTTTGACCATGTCCTGGATGTAAGCTGGACCCGATCCATTCACAGCATGGGAGGTGAGCACCAATGTTTAGAACTGGATGCGGGCGGCCACCGGTTGCCAGTGAAGAGAGCGGAGGAGTGTGGGAGAATTTAGGGAGGTTAAAGACCAGTCGAGCTGCTGCATTCTGGATGAGCTGCAGAGGTCTAATGGCGGTAGCAGGGAGACCTGCAGGATGAAGTTGCAGTGGTCCAGGCGTGAGATGACAAGAGCCTGAATCAGTACCTGCGCCGCCTTCTGAGTGAGAAGGGGACGTATTCTCCTGATGTTGTAGAGCGTGCATCTACAGGATCGTGTTGTTGCAGTGATGTTGGGAGTCAGAGAGAGTTGGCTGTCGAGAGTCACGCCGAGATTACTAGCAGTCAAGGTGGGCGTTAACACGGAGTGGCCAAACTTGACAGTCAAGTCCTGTGTAGAAGAATATTTTCCCGGAAGGGGAAGAAGATCAGTCTTGTCGGGGTTGATTTTCAGGTGGTGGGCGGACATCCGCTGAGAGATGTCAGTCAGACAGGCAGAGATCCGTGCCGCCACCTGGGTGTCCGAGGATGGGAAGGAGAGAATTAGTTGGGTGTCATCGGCATAACTGTGGTAGGAGAAGCCATGCGAGGGAATGATAGCGCTGAGAGAGTTGGTGTAGAGCAGGGGTGTCAAACTCAATTGCACACGGGGCCAAAATTCAAAACACACTTCAGGTCGCGGGCCGAACAGAATAAACATTTATTGAACACACTAAAACTAAAATTTTCTTTTAACATAAATATAAATACAAACAGACAGGAATGTTATTCTGCAATAAATAAACTTAAACTTAACTTAAAATATTTTGCTCTCCATAAAAATATATCCAGTCAAAATTATACAAGTTAGAAATATGAACATGCTGCAAAACAAAACAAAACCTGGAACTATAAATAAAATTTGTGCTTTTCAGAAATAACAAATAACGATGCAAAACATTCCGTTTTCTTTGCTCTTATGCCATTTTATCAGAGCTGGATGCTTTGCATCTTTTTTTGGCAAAGTTGGTTTATGTTTGGCGCGAGGTCCCGTGTTGTGGAGACTCTCAGGATGGACTGAAGGTGCTCATCAGTGAGACGACTCCTGTGTGCTGTTTTGTTTGTCTTCATCACTGAGAACAGCTTCTCACACAGATATGTGCTACCAAACACGCACAAGGTTCGAGCCGCATGTAGACGGAGCTGGGACATTGTTGCGGGACTGGAGTGAATAAACAGTGTCGTACTTTGTCTTTAGTGTCCCATCACACTGCAGCTCAATCAGCTCCATCTGAATCTGCACAGGTGCAGTTTCCACGTCGACGGCAAATGGGTTGCCAAACAACTCAAAATTCTTTTTTTGTTCCTCAAAATCACCAAAGCGCCGTGCGAACTCCGTGCGCAGTGCGCTCAGTTTATCAGCAACGTGCGTATTTGGGAACACCGCTATGCCGCATTACTTGGCAACAGGGAAAGTGGGGCGAGTTGCACCGGTGCATTTGTGTCTCCCATAAAATCAGCTTCACTTGAAATGCCTTCACTGCGTCATACATGTCAGTGATCATGCGGTTGCGTCCCTGGAGCTGGAGGTTTAAGGCATTGAGACGTGCGGTTATGTCAGCCAGAAACGCCACGGAAAGCGCTCGGCAAGGCAGCTGAAGCGCTGCATTATGGGATCTGTAGTTTATTTTGTTATCAGCGCTTCATATCGTCGGGCCATTGGTAACAATAATATAAAATGATCTCGCGGGCCAGATATAATTGCATGCCGGGCCGGATATGGCCCGCGGGCCTTGAGTTTGACATATATGGTGTAGAGCGAGAAGAGAAGGGGACCCAGGACGGAACCCTGAGGAACTCCAGTAGTAAGAGGACAAGGTTCCGACACAGATCCTCGCCAGGTTACCCGGTAGGTGCGGCCGTCGAGGTAGGACGAGAGAAGGGAGAGAGCAGAGCCTGAGACACCAAGTTCCTGAAGGGAGGAAATAAGGATCTGGTGGTTTACTGTGTCAAATGCAGCAGAGAGGTCCAGAAGGATGAGGACAGAGGAGAGAGAGGCGGCTCTAGCAGTGTGGAGTTTCTCTGAGACAGCAAGGAGAGCAGTCTCTGTGGAGTGGCCTGCCTTGAAACCTGACTGGTGGGGGTCAAGGAGGTTGTTATGGTGGAGATAGGAGGAGAGTTGGTTAAAGATAGCACGTTCAAGGGTTTTGGACAAAAAGGGAAGAAGAGAGACTGGTCTGTAGTCGTTTTCTTCAGAAGGGTTGAGGGTAGGTTTCTTCAGGAGAGGGTTAACTCTTGCCTCCTTCAGAGAATTGGGGAAACAGACAGATAACAGAGCGTTGTTGATGAGACAGGTGAGGAACGGAAGAAGGTCAGGAGCGATAGATTGTAGAACATGTGATGGAATGGGGTCAAGAGGGCAGGTGGTCGGACGGGCAGAGGTTACTAGGGTAAGAATTTGGTTAGGAGACAGGGGAGTGAAAGAGGAAAGTGAGGGCGATCAAGGTGAAGTCGGTGGGACACGAATAGTAGGAGGTGGGTTTGAGGAAGAGGAGCGTATGTCAGCTATTTTTGGGGGAGTAAAATAGTTGACAAAGTCTCCCAGAAGAAGGGTGGAGGAGGACTCAGGGGTTCAAGAAGATAGAAAAGAGTTTTTGGGGGTTATAAAATGAAGATTCATTTCTGGATTGGTAGAAAGAGCTTTAGGCAGCAGAGATAGATGCAGAAAAAGAGGAGAGAAGAGATTGAAACGCAAGCAGGTTATCAGGTTGTTGTTATTGTATATTTACGCCACCTCCTTTCCGATGCTCGCATGGTGGCTCTCGTGGCACCGGTTGAGACAGCCACGGAGCCGGAGGGGATTTGCCAGTCCGTCGGGTCGTCAGAGGGCAGAGTCTAGAGAGGAGGAGGAGAGTCTTTGCAGCAGCGTTCGGATGCAAGAGTGAGAAGGAGTCGGTGGAAGGGAGAGCTGATAGAACAGAGGAGGCCAGAGAGGAGGGAGAGAGGGAGCGAATGTTGCGACGAACAGGTACAGAGTCAGTCAATGGGGCAGGGTCGTTAGTTATAGAGAGTGGATGTTGAAGTCACCCAGGAAGACGAGCGGAGGGCCATTTTCAGGGAAGTTGGAGAGGAGGATGTCCAACTTCCAAGAAATGACCCAAAGAACAACAACAATATTTAATTGTACCGGGTGAGTAACTGTTATAGCATGGAACTTGATAGACAGTGGGGTGGAAGATAAAAGAGGGAAAAGAGAAAAGCTCCATTTGAGTGAAATGAGTAAACCCGTGCCACCACCTCTACCAGTGGGTGTGGGCGCGCGGCTGAAGGAGAAGGCGGCGGAGAGAGCAGCTGGGGTGGATGTGTTGTCGGGTGTGATCCAGGTCTGAGAGCGAGGAAGTCAGCTCATGAATCATCTCTGCACGTTGTAAATCCTCAGGATTGAAAGGTCTCGTTCTGGTCTTGAGGAACACCCTTGTTTGTTTTTCTTTAAACAATCTCAGTATCATCTTTAAAAACATTATATATAGAACATAAATCATTAACGCTTTCTCTGATGTCGTCAACTTTATAATATTTATTATGACAGTTGACCTCATAAATCCTCAAAATACTTTATTACAATAATTAAAACACTTTATAAAGTATTATGGGCAAATATACGCTATAAACTGATTATAAAACGTATAGATAAGATATGATGTTCTGAAGTATGTTTTCTAAGACCCTCGTATCTCTTATCTCAGTCGTATAAGAGCAACGTGCTGATTGATTCTAATCAATAAGCCATAGCTTAACACATGAACTCTAATGTTTATATTTTACTGATACAACAACAATAACTATCATATTGAAAAGATGAAATATGGATATTATGTTAATAAAACACATATCACCGGCATTTCACCTTTATAAGTATTATAATACCAATACCAATAGTATATTATAATTACCATGGTTGTGATGGATAACAATCTTAATATCCCCCCCCAAAACATTTTGAAAAAAAAGTCAGTCAAATAATGTGACTGAGTTATGTTAATTCTTTATTTTATAAAGAAAATGAATGTTGCATAGATTCTCTTGCTCCTTTGAGGAAGTGCTTTTTAGAGATTTAACGGATATTTCATTTATTTTCTTCAATATAATAACCATTTTGTTTCAAATAACAATCAATTGCATAATTTAGTTGTGATTAGTCTTTTTATTTTACCAGATTCATTTTTCACATTAAAGCTAAAACACTGAATGTATAATGTTTATTAATCCTAGCTGAAAGAATTATAAAAATTACATACAAAATATAATGTGACTTTTTCTAACACAAACGTAAAAGAAACAAATACAGTTGAAGTATGAAAACATTTATGATGTAAAATGATATACAGACGAAGGAGGGGGTAAAGGAGGAACTTAGATGAGGCATATTAAAAGGGAGGATTGAGAGGGTGATGAAGAGGAAGAGGAAAAAGAGGAGGTCCTCACCATCCGCCCCCCCGTGTGGCGCTGCTGCTGCTCGTGGAACATGGCGGAGTCCAGAGACAGACCCCTCCGGGACCAGTACTTGCTGGAGAACATCATCATGGCGGGCTGCATGCGGGGGACCGGCTCCGGGCCGGGCCGCTTCACGTGGGACGAGGCCATGGGGAACCAGTGGGTGTAGGTGTACCAGGGCTCCAGCCTGCCGTCTGGGTGCTGCTCCTCACACTGCAGCTGGCAGAGCATCACCTCCTGCTAAATACTGACTTCAAGCTCCTCCCTGCTGCTGAAGCTCCTCCCACTGAGGGTCCACTACAAAGTCTCCGGCCCGATTCAAAGTGTGATGTATAAAGGCTAGGTGTATACAGACCTGATTTATATACACTCAAACAGTGTGGAGACTAACTTCTGCAGCTCACAAGGGAAAGACACAGAGGGAATGAAGAGTACATGCTTAATGTTCTAGTATTTCCCTTTTCTGGTCTTCAGACCTCTCAAAGTTCTTTTGCACTACATGACATCATTCATGCGTTCAGTCTCTGATGGGCGGATCTACCACACAGACCTGCCCATCAGATACTAACATTCACCCATTCATACTCTACAGGAGCTATTTTGGGCTTGAGTGCCTTGGCCAAAGACACATCGGCAGTCACCGGATTATTGTACCATTTGATACAATTATTTCAACTGAAAAATAGCTCAAAGTTTTAAGAATGGACTCTCCAGCTGTTTTAGATTCAATTCATTAGTTTCCTCTCGTAAGTTTGACCCGTCTGAGAAGATCTTCTACAGAAGTATCCATGTTTTTCCTGCATCTGCAGTGTATCGTCTCCACTGTCTGTATCGGGAGACAGCTCGTCGCCCGATTGTCTCCATCCTGTCCATCAAGACACGGTTTGTCTCTCAGCTTGTCCCAGACCGTCTCCATCCTGTCCATCAGAGGACAGCTTGTCCCAGAGTAGCCTCCCTGCGAGCAGGAGGAGCAAAGTGACAGCTGGTCCACATGAACACTACAATCACCTCGGATAGGAGACGCAGAGATGCTGATAAGTTTCCTCCATCAGAAGCTGCTCTTTCATTTCCTGTCAGACAGGAAATGAAAGAGCAGCTTTGTTCTCCCTCTGATGAAGCTTTATGAGCAGATGGCAGGAGATACCAGTCTCTTGCTCTCCACACCAAACGTCTCCCATCAACGGGCGGGGAAGAGGAGGACGACTCAACACATGAAAGAGGCTGAAATGACATTTGGAGTCGAGCGTTGCTTCAGTCAGTTTGACATTTCTACAAAATTAAAGTCATGTTTCAGAAGCTCAGATTATGAATAAATATCTCTCTCTCACACACACACACACACACACACACACAACTTTTCATTGAAAATGATGGCGATCTACCCCCCCCACCCCACTTTTATTTGTCGATAGTTTTCTCTAAAAGACAAAGCACTATTAATGACCAGATGGATTTGTATTTTTAAGAAAACTTTATTAATAACCAGATGGATTTGAGATATATAATGCAAGGATGGAGAGAACGGTAGTAAATCAGAGATGTGATGGTGCGGCTTCTGAAGAAACACTTTGATATACGTGGAGATAAACATCTGGTCTTCTTAAAGAGTAGATGCAGAGATTCCTTCACATTAAAATGCTGGGCTCTAATTGTGAAGAAATCAAGGTAAAGAACTCTGTTGTCCTGAGATGTCCACTGACTCCAGGTGATGAGTTAAACCACAACTGCGGTTACCACTGTATCCACAGTCAACACCTCATGAGAATTAGTTTGATTCTCCGCCAGATGTGTTTTTTACTGGTGGTCTGGTTCCACCAGTAAAAAACATATGTGGATATGTGGATGAAACTAGTAGACACTCTAGTCTCCAGACACTCCAGTGCTATCTAGGCCACATGACTGAACTACACACTTATATTCATTACATATGAATGTACATGTGTGTCTCCAACCTGTGTTTCCTCTCGTAGAATGGGGAAAGTTACTCCGCTTCATCAGCGTATAAAAACATGATTCCAGGAGCTTCTCCTTTCATTCGGAGTCGTATGATTAATACTGAAGGAGGTTGAAGAGAGTCAGACTCACCGTGCAGAGATAAACCACCACGCTGCTTTTGAAGATCCATTTAAACCTCCTGAAGATCTCCTGCTCCTCCCCTCTCTTAAAGGGCCAGTGAAGAGGTTTACTGCAGGTGATGGAGCAAAGCGAGGCTCTGCTTTTAAGACTAGAGTCTGATGTGTTTGAAGAGATCAAAGAGAAGAGCTTCAGTTCCCCTCAGGAAGGTAGACATTCTGAGGATAACAGAACGTTGCTTTGCTCCATCTGCTGAGTAGAAACTCTGAACCACCACAGCTCTGGTCATGGATGTTCTGGATATGTGCTTCACTCATGTGATGAGAGAAGTGCAGCTCACACTGTTAGCCGGGAACAGGAAGTGAGAGGTAATCTGACGCGTGTGGACGGAAGTGGAGGAGCACCGTCACACACTCGCCGTTACCATAGCAACAGACAGACCGTCTAAATGGAGCTTCAGGACACGTGGAGAGATGGATATACAATATGGTAGAAGAAATTAGAAAAATATGATTCTGAATAATCTCAAATCCTTTTTAAAGTCTTGTTCTCTGGGTCTGCGGCGCCGTGGCGACGGGTTGGTCTCCGTAGACTACGACATGAAGGCCACTCGGCAGCCATTGTGAGAGCTGCTTTCTCTCAACAGTCCGTTGGAGCAGGCCTCCGGTCGCGGGGCCGGCCTGAGGACCGGAGCAATTCCGCAGTCACGGACATCGGAGTCAGGATCCAGACCCGGTCCTGGAGCCGGTCCTTGACCCGGAGCAGCACCAAAACCCAGGATGACGCTGATGGAGGGAGGCAAGTCCTGAAGAAAGCAGGAGAGGCTTCATGAGACAGACCGGACACCTGGAGCACGTCAAAGGTCTGTACAGAACCAGACCTACACCCAGACCTTCATTACAGACACAGACAATGTTGACAGACCTTACAGCTCCTGATCTGCTGACAGATGCCCTCTGCTTTCTGAAGGACTTCTTCGATGTCTAGCTTCATGGACAGCTCATTGATGTGCTGAGGGACAGACAGACGTCAGTGGACTGGTCTCACATGAGAAGAGACCTCTACAATGAAGATAGAACTGGTCCCTCAGGTCACCTTGAGGATCTCGTTGAAGCCGTAGTTCTCTTCCATGATCTTCTGCTTCTCTGAGTCCAGGATGGCGCAGCAGACCAGGAGGTGGAAGTTGTCACAGGGCAGACCGGTCCACATCACCTGAGGAGGACAAACAGGAAGAGAGGTGGACGAAGATCTTTCCCAGGCGCCTGTCCATCCGTAATCACCACAGAAAGGAGAAACTCACCTCCCAGAGTCTCAGCACGTCGTGGAAGCTGAGCTCTCTCTTGAACCTGATCAACAACCAGCGGAAACAGAAATACAGGAAACCAGAATCCTGAGACTCTGTGGGGCAAAGAGACATCCTGTTAGAGGACATCCTGTCACAGCCCGATCGTCACTGTCCACGGAGTCCCTCAGCTGAGGACTACGACTAAGTCGTTGTTATAGAGAGAGAAGGATGGACTAATCTCAGCTTCCTGTTCGGCTGCTTTTCTGCGTTAATGTTATTTGTTCGATGGATTCTTTCGGAATTTATTGTGGAGCGCCAGGTGACTTTTTTTTTGCCAAATGAGGTCATCTGTTTACTCTGGAGGAACAGGAGAGGTGAGCTTGTGTACCGAGGTAGTTCCAGAAGGATAAGTCCAGCAGTCTGAGTAGAGTGCCGAGCTGAATCAGCTGAGTCTTCATGCCCTGCATCTGCTCCTCAAAGTTCTGGTGCTGGAAGACAACAAGCCCACATCAAACACCGTGGATATAAATACATACATACTAGAGCTGGCCAACAAGTTTGAATCTCTGCACAAAACTCAACTATGAATTCAAAAAGTATTGTATTGCACTACACTTTAAACAAACATGGTGTTTTTTCACAGCAGCATTCCCTTAATAATAATAATAATAATAATAGAACAGTAGCAGGTAAAATATCTCTTGTAAATTTCCATTTAAGGAGTAATGTAATCAAATCAAAAGCAAATCTATTTGCCACTGCCAGGGCATTCAAGCTGCATCTAGATTGTTATAGAAAAACAAGTTACGCTCCACGATTATAACAAGTCTTTTTTTTTTTTTTTACCACCATCAATAATCTCTCTTTTAATCCATAATAGATCCATAAATAACCTACAGTACTGGATCAATAACCTATATTCAGTACTAGGCGTCCCTGTTAGAGTGAGGCAGTCCAGCGCTGAGGACCTTTAGTCTGTGAAGTCCGTCTTCGTCGCCACAATAAAAAGAATTCTCGTGGTAATGAATAAATGTGTTAACTCGATGGTAACGCCTTAACCGGTCATCTCCCGCCTGGACCACTGTAACTCTCTCCTTGCAGGTCTCCCTGTTACCGCCATTCGACCTCTGCAGCTCATCCAGAATGCAGCAGCTCGACTGGTCTTTAACCTTCCTAAATTCTCCCACACTACTCCACTCCTCCGTTCAGCCTTCACATCTTCCGCCGCAAACTAAAGACACACCTCTTCAGACTCTCCCTTGATTAAAAGACTAACAAATTGTAGCACTTCAATTGTACTTATAATGGCACTTATCTATAGCAAATTGGCTTATTTAATGAAATTGCACTTTCTTGTTCTTAAGTTTGTATCCTTATGGTTGAAATGCAGTTATTGTAAGTTGCTTTGGATAAAAGCGTCAGCTAAATGACATGTAATAATACTAACATGAGTCCCTAACTAAACTCACCATTTGGTCCATGAAGGAGACGAAGCACCAGAAGGCGTCCACCTCGCTCTCCATCACGTAGAGGATCGGAGACAGCAGGTCACTCATCCCCTGGACGTAACCTGAGGGGACCGAAGATGTGAGAGACGTATGACAGAAATGTCACATGTGAGGGAGAAAGGTCTTTAACATGTCACTCATATGTCAGTCTAGGGCTGGGAGGTATGGCCAAAAATTCCAATCACTATATTTTGTATGATTCTAGGGATCAGGGTATTTTCTATTTTTTTCTATCCAGGAAATACATTCATTCGTTGATGCTGAAAGGTGGTCAGATGTTCACCTCTCGCTGGCCAACCTGCTTGCAACTGGCCAGCGAGTCAGGGAGTTAGCTTATTAGCGGTTGTTAGCGCTAGTGTTGCCACCAGAGGCAATACCAGCGGCTCAACAAGCTTTACAACAAATTGTTTTCTGATCTTCTTGTGCGTTGTTAATTGTTGTATATAACGTTATAACCATGACTTCATCATAACACCGTAAGACAAGTAGCTCCGACCACTGCGTGCTCAACGGTGAACAAAATATGACCGTCAAAGATGTTTTATTGCGAAGATCACAACATCACCTTTTCTCCCATGTCTCACTCCACTCTCAGAAATGCTGGCTGGCCAGTTGTCATTGATCCAGAGGACAGACTCACCAAGATCAAAGTCAAACATGCAGTAGGTCATCAGGATGTCGTGGAGGAGGACTAGACCTGGGTTATCGATGCCTTCGTAGAAGTGGTTGCTCCGGTCTGTTCTGTTCACGTCTTTTTCTGAGGACAGAAGACAGACGGCGTCATGCTCTCAGTAATTAATTAATAGGATGAATAATGCAGGGAGACGTCACCTATCAGACTCCTGTAGTCTCGCAATCTGGAGTTCCTCCTCTCCTGCTCCTCACTCACTGACTTCCACTGCAGCTTCATCTTGAAGTACTCGTCACTGTGACAGGACACAGCCATTACCAGTCACTATGGTTACTCATCACAGTCAGTGAAAACAAATTGGGGGGGGGGGGGGGGGGGGGGGGCTAGGATAAAGGCTAATTTGCAATTTCAATGTAAACAAACACTGCACTGATCAGTCAGCTCCACATTCTATTGAAACAGGTGAAACTAACAGGTGAAATCCTACTGCCTCACGATTGGCCGATGAGCTGAGAGCATTATCAAACGTTTCCAGTTTCCAGGTGAACCCAATAAAGTTCCCTGTCCATGTCTCTACTCAGAATAAAGTAAAGTTGTACGTTTTGGCTCTCTGAGCGATTTTCCTCTCCTCCAGCGAGCTGTCCCAGGGGACATATCCCAACAGGAACTTCCAAGCTTCTTTCCTCACAGCATGAGAGAGACCCTGCAGAGACACGAGGAGACAGACATGATGAGACACAGATGAATTTAAAACAAAGAAACAGGTGTGGTTGACTGATAATGAACACGTCTCACTCCTTTGAAGATGGTTTGTTTGAGCCGTGAGATGTTGATCATTCTCCCCTCTGCATCCTGATGTTTGCTCCAGTCCTCTGAGGACAGAGGCCCAGTGCGAGTCACTTCAGGCCTCGTCCCCAGGTCAATCTGAAGGGTAAGGGGTGAGACAGACGGAGTCAAAGGTGACATGCTTTTCCACAACATCAATAACAACAAAGTCATGTGACCCATCAGCGTGGAGGAGGGCCTCACCCTGGTGATGACCTCGAAGCCAGGCTCCTCCTGCTGGTTGATCTCCAGACCGGGGAGGACCTCCCCCAGGAGGTCGGCTACCTCCTCAGGGGGGCGCTGGTGCTGCTCCTCCGTCCCCCGGAAGGCATCGAAGATGTAGTTGGTGACTTTGGAGAAGCCCCCCAGCGTGGCAACGTACGGGTCCTTCCTGAACTTCTGCTGGAAGACACAAGGTCCAACAAGCACCTTCAGCTCGCTGGCTAAACAATAATCAAATGGTAATACTCACAACAATAAAAATAAGAATAACAACAACTAATTAAATAACTATAATAATGATAATAACAACAACAAGAAAAACAAAAATTAAATAAGTAGATTATTATTATCTAGAGTAGATAATAATAATAAAAGTAGAATAAGAACAAAACAACATATTAATAATAAAATAATCAAGGCCTTAATGTGCGTGTTGTTAGTTTGTAACCTGAATCAGGCCGAAGTTGTTGTCATCCAGCAGGTTCTCAAAGGACTGAGAAAGAGCTTTGATTGGAGAACTGACCAGCAGACATGATCCATCTTCTGGAACTCTACACACACACACACACACACACACACACACACACACACACACACACACACACACACACACACACACACACACACACACACACACACACACACACACACACACACACACAGGTTTCATATAAAGAACAAATGCAGACCTAAAAGACCTAAAGTAAAAAAATAAAAAGGATTTTAGTTATCAATCCGTAAAATAAAAATGTAAAACGTTTTTAAAGAAAGGATCTAATACTCAGAGTATTAAAATTCTGATTATCATTGCTGTTCTATTTCTATCGTGAGTAGACCCCGTCATTGGTCTCCACAGCCAATCAGGAGACAGACAGACAATAGGATGTCACACTGGTGCTGCTCGTGTTACTGGAGCGATTTCATTATGGACCCCTTAGATAAGAACTTTAATAAGAGGAGAGAATGCGGATACCTGAGAGGACATCATATCCTGATATCAGACACATTGAGGACAACGTGGCCGTTCCTGAGAGGACAACGTGTCCTGATACCTTGGATAATTTAGAACTATAACCTCTGTAGTTATAAAGTGATGATGACATTAAAGCATCTCACTCTTCTTCACGATGTTGTGTACTTACTCGCTGAGCAGAGCAAATCTCCTCAGGGACTCCAGGAACTCTTTGCTGCCACCCTGGTGGAAATGCAGAGCAGGCGGGGACGAGCAGGACTCCTTCAGCTTCAGCACCAGAAAGGTCCAACCTTCTTCCTTCAGGATGATGGACCTCAGGTCACTGAGAGCGAAGCTGAACGCACCCCGACTCTTCTCGTGGCTGTGGTTTAGAGTGCCTGCCAGACCAGGGAGAGGGATCAGATAACCACAGGCCCCTCTCCCCTAAACGCTCAGTTTGGCTGGGCGGCCAACTGGACGAGTCCTGGTGATTCCAAAACTTCTTCCTTTTCCGGATGAAGGAGGCCACTGTGCTCGTTTGGACCGTCAATGCCGCAGAAATGTTTCTGTACCCTTTGTCAGATCTGTGCCTCAATACGATAGACGGAGGTCTACAGACATCCCTAGAACTTAGCTTGGTTTGTGCTCTGACGCACTGTCACTTGTGGGATCGGATATAGAAGGTGTGGCTTTCTCCACTATGTCCAAATCAACTGAATATAGCAGGATGGACTCCCATTAGGTTGTAGAAACATCAAGGATAATCACTGGAAACAGGAGGCACCGGAGCTCAATTTTGAGTGGCCAAGGCTGTGAATTTTCATTCTGTATTTTTGATGGAGTTGCTAAAGATTCCCCAAAACTGTTCACTTTGTCATTGTGGGGTGTTTTGTTTGAAATGAATCCATTTAACATAACAAAATGTGGAAAAAGTGAAGGGCTGTGAATACTTGCGGATCAGTTATGTAATTACAGTGTTTCCCATACCATTATAACAGGGCGTTATGATGTGTTACTGCAGTTCTTCTGGACTAGTTTACTTTGATTCCTTATTATCAGACTGTTCTAATAAGTTTCTTAAATCTCTCCAGCCGATCCAGAATGCTGCAGCACATTTACAACCGAAAACTATGTGTAGTAATTTTATCATTATTGTGATTATTGTGAACACATCGATTACAAAGAGAGTGCTTTTATTAACAATATAACTCATCATTACCGATTAGTAGCTACTATATGTTGTGATACAAAGAGAAACAAGTCACTCAAGTTACACTTTCACTTCAGTTTTCACTGTCAACATGTTTCCATCACAGTATTAAGTAAAACAATGTTGGTACTTAATGTCAGCTGTGTACTATATTTACTACCTGAGGAAAGTCTCACCTTCTCCGTTAGTGCAGCTCTTCTTCTTGAAGGACACGGCGTTCACCATGTCCCACTCCGTCTCATAGCTATGCTGGCTCTCTAAAAGCTTCTCACCTGGACACTGGTCCCACTCCATGACGGAGCTGGAGTCCTGAGGAAACAAACCTCCTCTTATCTATGGTAGCTGAGATCTGATCAGTCGAGTAGTAGTCACAAATACTTCTAATTTCTACTCTGGACTGAAATGATGAACCAGTGAAGTGGAAGAACAGTGTTCCCTGGTGGTCGTATGTTTAAGATGCTGATATGGGGATAGAGGGGTGCTAGAACTTTTCAGCTTTTTCCTCCGCTTATGCTTGAATTAACATTAATCAATATTTTTTTTTCAAATCCTCTTGAACCTCCCTTGACTTTCAAATCCACCTTCTTCGTCAATCTCTCAGCTACAGCTACCATATACACTTTAAAGTGTTAATAAAAGCCTAAATTATTACTACTACTAAGAAATAGCTTTTGGATAATATCACTGATTACGTTTGAGTTTTTCAGACCATTTCTGAGATTTGCGTGTGTGTGTGTGTGTGTATGTGGCTGTCTAGAGTGGACACTGAAGAGCTAGAGGCCAGAGCAGCGTCAAAATCTGGTTCAAAAACATATTTCTAGTTCGTCCTCATTGGCACAATTCTCACTCTTTAGGCTTCAGTTTTGGATCAAAAGATATGAAATGTTGTGCTGGTCGTAGTCATGTGGCTATGGAATCCCACAGACCTACTTTTAGCCACAGAGCCCCAAGAGCGAGACAAAGTCTGCCTCAAGCTCCATAGGGACCCATGTAAATCTGCTTACATTTCTTAGAGAAAGCAGGAGGTACACGTTTTGGAAAATGCCGATAGTCGTATTTATGACTGCACAGACGTATAAAGTACATGTCTGCGTTCGGTAGTCTCGGGTCAACTCAAAACTCTACCAACCAACATCTTGCAAATCTCTCTCTCAATAAAAACCCCATGGAGGGATATTACTACTACTACTACTACTACTAGTAGTAAGACTTATAGTATTTTAACTTCTATTGATATTAAAACTACTACTACTACTACTACTACTAGTAGTAGTAGTAGTAGTAATACCACCAGTGCCAGAATTACTACTAGAAATACTAATATTTCTACAAATACATTGCCGCTTTTTAAAATTAATTTCAGCATTCTAATTTATTTTTTGCATATTTGCAGTAATAGTATAATGGTAGTTAAAGTGTAAATATAGTTATTTGTAGGGCTGTCAATAGATTAAAAAAAATAAAAAAAATAAAAATCACACATTTTGAAATTCATTAATCTCGATTAAGGAATGTTGTTGTTACAATGTTGTTTTTAATTAATGTTTTTTTTGTCTGTTACGACCAAGTAATAACTTCAGAACGTTGTTGTTTAATTGTTAATGTTATTTTACTCTAAACACAACTGATCAGGAAGAATTCCACCTGGTAGATGTTCAACTAGCGACTCTTCCTGCTGTCCTCGCGCACTTTGCTCTCAACTCGCCATAATGTAACGGCTGTGCTTGAAGTGCCAACAATCTCCCCACATTTAGCCGGAAAGTTTTCAAACCACGGTCTCTTAGGGACACAGTGGTGGTCCTCTGCAGACTGTGTGCTGCGCAAGGTATCGTTAGATGTTAGGATGGAAGTAGCCTAGCAGCTAGCTTAACATAGCAGTGCTTTAAGTGGTCTGTTTGCTACTCACCCCCCTTCTGTTTGACACGTGGAGTAATTCCTCTGCATAGTTCTGTGCTGTATGTCGCACCACCGTTTGTTTTAGTTCCGATGCAAAAAGCTTTCTCCATCTTAACTTAACTGAATGCAGCTAGCGGCTGTTTCCTTTCTGCGGTCAACTTTACTTCCGGGACTGGAAGTAAACAAACGTCCGTTTGCTACGCTAAAATATTTTTCAGCATTAATCTCGGCGACATTAATCGCATAGATTAACATGTTGACAAACGCGTGTTGACAGCCCTAGTTATTTGTAGTTAGCGTGAATGTAGTCATTTGTAGGAATAGTATGACTGTAGTTCTAGTGTGACTGTAGTTATGAGCAGTAATACTGCAGTTATAGTTTAACCAACCTTTCCAGCACACAGCATGTTTGATGTGTCAACGGTTTCTTCCACAGGTTTGAACTCAACAAAGACTTCAGCATCCTGATGTGTGGAGAAACAAAACAGAGGCACAGTCAGTGTTATGACTCATTAGTAGAAGCCATGTAGACCTGAAACCACCCGATATTTTGGATTATGCTATTCATGAGCATCACTTTGTCAGTATTAGATTCCTTTAAGAGTTCCTGGAACACTCATTTTTAACTATATGCTCCAATCTCAAAGATTTTAAGACGTATTCTATAGAACTCGCCCCTCAGTAACTCCAGCTGGTTAACACAAACTACAGGATGACTGGGGACATCCCCCCGGGTGGGGGGGATTAACCCGGACCCTGTTCGTTCCTACTTAGATCTGATGTCATAAGCATGGAGATGTCAAAGAGGTGAAAGGCTGCCACATACTACCAATGTGATGCACAAGGACAGAGATTAATGTGTACTCTCAAATCAGTCACACAATGACCTCAGCTGCTCACATGAATATGTCCTCATGGTCTTCAATCACAGCTTAATAAATGTCTTTATGGATGTCCCTTTGGTCTTGAAATAGTCTTTAGTTCATGTGTGACGTCTAGTTAATGGTTTCACCTTGTCAACAATGCGGAGGAAACCCGAGACGAGTGAATCCTCCGAGGGGTTTTCATCGCTGCTTGGGTGGATGAAGACTCCTTCATGTTCAAATATGACCTGTGTGACAGATGTAGTGCTAAAGTTATCGCATCATTTAACATATTACATTCTTACTCACTTTTTGTAATTTGCATGTTTTATTCGACATGCACCATGTTCAATAGATTCATATTATTGGTTAACAGGTCCAATAATTCATGAAATGTATTGCTATATTTCAGGAATTATTGTTAGTTATATATAAATTTACTCTCTAGTCAATTCCACAGTGCTAGCAAACCATGAAATAAACGTAGAAACATATCGGCAAACAAACAGGGAGACCAAACAGGAAACGTGACAACTCTTAGTGAGGATTCCGTAGAACCTTCTGAGCTCTTGTCATTAATCGGATGTTTATCTCAGTGCTGGGTGGTAAACAAACTGGTTTGACTTCATCATTGGGTACAGTGATGTGATGTCTGTGACCCTGCTAACGTTAGCTGCTGACACACTACACGTTAGCTTACGGAACAAAGTCACCAGTAACTGCGCTGTGGTTTCTTTTTGCTTCTGTAGGGACATAATAGTCGACTGTGAACCAGCTCGAGGACTTCTCAGCGGCCCATTCTGTCTGCAGCCGTCAGCCAGCTTCCTTAGCAGCATGCTAATGTTAACGTAGCTCGGAGTGCAGCAGGAGCCTCCGGTTCGGGTCGCGTGTCTATGAACCAACTAGACAGCCTGGTTGAAGGCACAGAGGGTCTGACGTCAGGTTACAGCTGTGCTCTCGTGGCACCTCAGAGGGCTAATGATGTTGTTGCAACACAGCTAGCACAATGGCTAGCGCTAGACCTGAGCTAGCTGCTCAGCTGGCCAGTGAAGCAGTTGTATGAAGTAATACAAATATATATATATATACTTAGAGTACATACAGCACGTAACTATATGATTAAAACCTTTACAAGAGTGTTCCTACCTTCAGAAGAGAGTCCGCCGCCATGTCGCCTGATCGTTCACTCTCCTGATAACGTCAGCTGCTCACGTGCCTGTCAACTTCCAAAACAAAACGGATAAATCAGCTTCCGGTGGGGAGAATTATCACGCATGCGCACTAAAGCCTGATTTATGCTCCTGCGTTTTCAGAGCGGCGCAGACGCAAGACCCCATTGCGTGTCCCTTGCGTCGCTTTTCACACCTCCTTGCGTGTGTCGAGCCATTTTTCTAGCAGTGCACCAGGCTGTGATTGGTCCGCTAACTACATCCTTTACGGAGTCTCACATTTCCGCTTTCATAGCCCGATACCGCCACTATTAAAACGAAGAATGTTTACGAGAGAACGGAGCAGATTTAAGAACTTTTGTTGGAAGAAATGCGTAAATATGACCGCTTCTACAAGCCGTCATTGGCGGCTTGTAGAAGCGGGTTGGATTCACGGAGGGAGATCGCCGCAAACGCCGGTTTGCCGGTCGAGAGGAACAAAGTTGTGGAGGAAAATACGGGACAAATGTGTCCGCGATGAAAAGCAGCAATGGCGATGCACGGGGCAATAAAGTCTATGATAAATAAATAAACAAATAAATAAATAGACGTGACTCTCTAGGTCGTCTTCAACAAAAACACGTTACTCCGCCTGTTGTTCTAGCGGTGAATTGCTCTGCAACACACGCAGAACCATGAATCGAAACGAGTGCGTCGACGCAGACGCAAACGCAGAAGCGTGCGCCGGCCTAAAGTCATTACATTTACCGTTTGTGATACCAGATGACATTATATTATACATGATTTTTGTACTTTTTGTTCAAGTTAAAACTGTATAGTTTAGTTTCTCAAACACGGTTGCATTAAGCTGTTTTGTAATTTGTCTCATGAAGCTTCTTCTTGACTTCACCAGAAAAATAAAGTATGAATATTTGACAATAGGTGAATTATAGATTAAGCTTTTTTTTATCAACCTAAAATAAATATACCATCTGTAGTGATCAAAAAGAAGGCCACCACGGTTGCTGCTTGATAGTTTTGACGCATGAAATGAACCTTAAGAAATCCAGGGCCCCGTCTTCTTAATTTTCAGGATAATACTACAGACTGTGAAGAAAAACGATACAGTTTAAATTGTATCGGTTAAAGTAGTCAAAGTTAAATTAGTTAAAGTCAAAGTAGTTATCTGGAAATGAAAATATATCTAAATCAATATTCTCTCCCGACGTATATGTGAAGTAATACCGCTTCTTCATCAACAGGATCGTGCAGAAAATGACGTGTCATGTTTGAGAAAAAACTTTAGTCTTTTACGTAACAGATATCTCATTAGGTTCATATGTCGAAACTGCGCTAAAATACGCCTGATACGGAGTACTGGAATGAATGAGGAAATGAAAGAGCGCTGTGTCATTGGGAGGAGGAGACTGTGAAAGAAACTCCTGCTCCCGACCAGGTTACGTTCACAGACTCAGTTACCATGGTGACTGACCCTGAGCTTTAGTTACCTCCCTTTGTGAAATAGACAAGCCAGAGTTTCCCTCATCTCAGGGTTAACAAAGTGAGTTTTCACTAAACCCGCTTCTTGAAACGGGCCATTGTATATCGAGCAGAACATTATTGGTATGGTTATTGGTGACCCCGTGACGCCGCGTGACACACCCGGAAACTTTTCCATATATGGACACATGGATATCTACGTATGGGCAACTTCTTCTCTGCTTGTTCTCGTTCTGTATCGCGAGAATTGATTTGGAGCAGACGAGAAGCTAGCTGCTAGCTCATTAGGCTAATCGTCAGGGCGGTTAGACGCGTTACCGACCGACCGTCCGGTGAAACATGAACTATTTATGGTGATTAGCTCGGTGATCGTACAGCCGCAGGCAGCGGGTGAGTTTGGGCGAAATGGACGCGAACACAGTGAGTCGTTCTCCCCGAGAGGAGCTGGAGGACGGAGAGATCTGCGACGATGACACCGAGGAGAGTATGCCTCTCCGGCGGGGGGAGGGTAACTTTAGGAGGCATGTCCGCGGTGGTCCTCCACGGGCACGGAAACCTCACCTCCACCCGCACAACGTGCCGCCCCACATGGGCCACCAGTCCCCGGACTTCCGTCTCCTGATGCCTTACAACCGAGGCCCTCACGGCCCGTTCCCCCCGAGCCACCGGCATCAGTGCGGGCCTAGCGGGCCCGATCGGCCTACGGCTACCTCCACCCCGACGCCTCCGCTGCTGCTACCTAGCCTCGGTCCTCACGGTGACCCGAGCCCGAGGACCAGCTTCTGGGAGCGGAGCCACGGAGCTCTGGGCCGGTTCAGGCATCGGGCCATGCCAAACTGTGGACGCGGGGGCTGGAACCGTGGGAACCGGGGAGGAGGTAGAGGTCCCCCCGGTCGTTACGGGCCCGGAGAGAGTCACGGTAACCAGAAGGACTCTCCCTCGAGAAAGCGTATCCTTTCACCCGTTGTGTAATAGATTTACTGTGATGGACTGATTGAATTATAATACAGAGTGGTGATAATGGCATCACTCACATAAAGATAATACATTTACTGTGATAAAGCAGTTATAACAGCAGCAATAACGTAATTATATTATAATGATACTACTACTACTACTATGATAGGGAAACATTCAATTTCAAATAATTAAATTAAATTCTAGTATACAGCATTTATAACAACATAATAATAATAATAATAAGAAGAATAGACTGTGACAGAGACTAATTCCATTAGTATAGAGCCGTTTTAATATCATAATAATCCTATTCATCATAACAATTATAATGTATTTACTACAATATATACCTACTGATTCAATTATTACCGGCCAACAGTAACACGATGAAGATGATTTAATAATCATAATAGATTAATTGTGGTGGCCATAGTGACATACTAATTATAATAATACTAATAAATTTACTTTCGATAAGAACAGTGTTGATTTTGGCAGCTATTTTTGATTTAGTCTTAGTCTTAGTCTTCAGACGAAAAATGCATATTAGTAAAATGTAATTGTTTTAGTCTAGTTTTAGTCACATTTAATAGCCATATTAAACTCCTTTTCTTCCCTTCTCAGGCCCAGGGACCCCCTGTGTTGTCTCTACAGCTGCATAATAGTCTAGCTTGCAGTACTTGGTTGTCCATTAGATGTCCCTCCTAGGACAGGTCTATAGCAGCGGTCGGCAAACTTTTTGACTCGCGGGCCACAATGGGTTGTAAAATGTGACGGAGGAGCCAAGAACAAATGGTTGAAGTGTTTGTGTGAGCGAATATAAATGACACGTGAAAAATCATTACATGAAAGGATTTGGATTTTAACAAATAGCAAAGCATTTATTTGCAAGGCATTTTAACAAATTGGCAAAGGTGTAATGAGCAATGAGTTTATTACGTTAGACGCGTTTGTAACGGAGCGTCTCATCCACCGAGGAAACGCTGCCTGCCGTCGCCAGAGAACAGAGCAGAAAGGTCCGACAGTCTTTAAACGGGTCTTCATGTTTCTGTGAAGCAGCGCGGCTTCAGCCTGCTAACAGGCAGCTAAACCGAGACAGCTGAGCTAAACTAACGAAGCCACATTCAAACTCGCCGAAGCGTAAAATTGTCGTCGCGGTCCGTAGTCGGTGCACAAGAACCACCGCTGCACCGATGTGAGCGAGCGTTCTGGGTTCGTGGATGACGTCATCATGACACGTTAATAACCGCCGTACTTTGCCGCTCTGTTGTCTGTCAGCTGCGGGCGAATTTAGGGGGAAAAGGTATTGAGACTTCGTCAACCACCAACATTTTCGTCTCGTCTCGTTAACGAAAGTTAGAATAAATTTAGTCATAGTTTTTATTTTTTAAGATCGTTTTCGTCACGTCTTAGTCATGGAAAAAACGTTCGTTAACGAAAAGTTTTCGTCATAGTTTTTGTCGACGAAATTAACACTGGATAAGAACCTTCAATTCAATTAGAATACACTGCATTTATAATAATTCTAATAGTATTGATAATAACGCTGTCAGCCGTGGTAATATGATAATTTGAATATATAGTATTGTGGCAAATCACTGTCAAAATTCGAGAGCGCAAATAAGGTTGATGCGCGCGCGTAAATCAAACATCCGCGAGCAAATCTCCGTTGTAACTGGTTGTCATCTACGGTCCACTACGGTTACAGAGAGGTGTCGTTTGTGTTTTGACAATGTTTAATCTCATAATTTCGACTTTCTATCCCCTTTCTTTAGTGCGGAAATGGGCTTCTATAGTTGTGTGAATGCATCGCTCCAGCCAATCCAAAGACGGGGTTTGTAACCAATTAGATGTCGATACCATGGCAACTGGCTCCGCCCCCTTACTGTCAAAAAGAACAACAGCGAGTGCGTAGAAAACACCTTCGAGCGCGAGCAGAGACTAACCTCGCGAGCAACGAAGTTCACGTTCCGCGAGCGAGCAAATATCTCGCGCGAGACGCGGATGTTTGATTTCCTTGCACGCATCAACCTGATTTGCGTTCTCGAATTTTGACAGCGATTTGCCGCCATAATATATGTATGTGTGGTGAAATGGACACGAGTGCAGTGAGTCGTCACCACATATGCAAATGTATATTTGTAGATGATGGGAGGGAGACTTTTCTTTGACCTTTGACCTCCAGAGAAGCAGATCTTAAGGAACCAGGGCAGGAAAGTGTCTCACTGTGTTTCTAAACCGGGGACCAGTGTTGACGAGTCCTTCGAGGACCTCCTGTCAAAGTACAAGCAGATCCAGCTGGAGCTGGAATGTATCCGCAAAGAGGAGACCAGGGCCCTGGAGCCCACGCCCCCCCCCACAGCCCGGACCCCTGACAACACTGCCAGTATTACACAGAGCCACCCCGCTTCTGGACCTCCTACTGGAGCGGAACCTGAACCTGGTGCAGTTCCTGGACCTGAACCTGGATCTGCTCTTGAATCTGGACCCGCTTCTGGACCTGGTCCAACAGTGGAGGGCTCGTTGGAGCAGAACATGGTGGAGGAGAAGAAAGCGTTCCAAGCCTTCAACATCAAACCTCTCCGTCAGAAGCTTCCTTCTCCTGCTGCTTTGGTGGAGCTGAACATGAAGTGTGAGGAGCAGGAGAAAGGAGACACCGCTGACCAGGAGGGTGAGCAAACAGGAAGTTCCTACAAAATAAAAGCCTTTACTGGATCCCCAGGGAGAATAATCACGTCCAGCCAGTTTGCTGTTTTTCTTCAGCAATGACGTCATGTCTTAACTGTTACGAAGTTTTATTCAGTTTTACTATATTCTATATTCCACAATATTTTATTAACTAAACAATATGATGTTAATATGAGTTTTTATCATCGAATCATTTTAAAGTTTCACTTCCTGTGCGTCTCACCAGGTGATGTAGAAGAACAAACTAAACCAGATAGAGCAGAATCAGAACAAATAGCAGAGGAGTCAGAAGACTCGAAGAAGGCGACGAGTCTGTGCTGCAGCGAGGAAATCAACAAAGAGAAGGAGAAAAACATGCTGCCATGTTTGAGTCGCAGAGAATCGTCGGCCTCCAGTGAGGACTCAGTCATCTCTCCTGACAAGGTGGGGATGGTATTCCAAACCAGAGTCAGTGTTTCCCCATTAAGGGGGGTGGGGTTGGTAATCGGGAGTTTGTCTTTGTCTTGGGACTATGTCCGGTGACAAAGGATTATTTTTTCAATTTCATTTAATTTGTTCTGCTCAGTTATTGTATTGTGTGTGTGTGTGTGTGTATATATTGTACATTTTTAATATGGAATAATTACTGTATACCATACGTCTATGTAACCTTACCTGCTGCTGCTACACACAAATCCCCCCCTGGGATAAAAAAAATCTTTTTAAACTAAAGTAGCCGTTAAGAAGCAGGTACCGTAGCCCTTTCCCATAGTCACGTCTCCGTAACGCGTCTGAAGGTTTTTCTGCTTCTGTTACCGAGCAGCCCGTTGGAAAGCTGGAGGAGGAGGAGCTATCGGAGCTGCAGTTGCGCCTCCTCGCCCTGCAGTCGGCCAGTAAGAAGTGGCAGCAGAAGGAGCAACAGGTGATGAAGAAGAGCAAAGAGCGGATAACCAAAGCCGACCTGGAGAAGAGCTCCGGACCTGCCCCCCCCAGCAGGCAGCGGGTCACCACAAGGTCCGCCTCTGCTGCCGCTGCTGCAGAGAGGAACCGGACCCGGTTCCAACCCCCGGACCGGGACAGAACCAAGACTGGGGCCAGACCCGCCGACAGAGACCGAGAGAGGCCCAAAGTTGGTCCTAAACCTGGTCCTAAGTCCCCGGTGGAGAGAGGCCGAGGTCCCGGCAAAGCCCACATCACCAAGAAGATGATCAGTCCAGGTACCTGCTTCCATGTCACCCAGCTCCCTTAAGCTGGTTCATGCCTCACGTGGTGCTTCAATGGTGGTGGTGGTGGTGGTGGAGATGATGATGGACAGGGGGATGATGGTGGAACAAAGACAACGGCGGTGGTGAGGATTGTGGGGGTGATGATGATGATGATGATGATGTCGTCGATCCTCAGGCTCGGTGGCGAAGCAGGCCTTCAGGAAGCAGCAGCTGGGGACGTGGAAGCTGCAGCAGCAGAGAGACCAGGAAGAGAGCCGGAGACAGGAAGAAGAAGAGAGACGCAAACGAGAGGACGAGATACGGAGAATTCGAGATCTGTCCAATCAGGACGAGCAGTACAACCGCTTCATGAAGCTGGTGGGGTGGAAGGCGAAGACACGCAGCAAAGTAAGACGCTGACTAACTGGATCCGTCATTGTTGATTACGGGTGAGTTTATAGCGTTCGTAAAATACCACAGAAGTAGAGTGACAGGAACTGTGTTGTTCCTGCTTTTCAGTCCAGAGATGGCGAACACAGGAAGTCTGCAGGTAAACAAGGTTCAGACGCCTCCGGGAACCTCTACCAGTACGACAACTATGACGAGGTTGCCATGGATACGGACAGTGAGGCGGGTTCACCAGGTGAGACACCCCTGTCTTCTTTTTATGTTTAAATATGTCTGACTTCCTGTTTAAATAATATTCCATAATAAGAATCTTTAAATAATATTTTTTTGTTTCAGTGGCGTCGCCGAAACACAACCAGCTGATTTCAGGAGATCCAGGTTTCACTCCTTATGTCAACGACTGTCTTCAGTTTGGACTGGTACACTTTTTTCCTCCCTTCTCTTGTCTTTATTTCGTCTTCTATCCTTTTTGTGTCCCCTTCATCTCTACCCTCCTCCTCTTCTTTCTTTGACTTTAGCGGATTTCCTCTATAATAGTCTTTTGTCTTCCACTCAAAGGATTATTGAAGTCGTGTCCTCTCTGTCTCTCAGGCGTTTCTCTCCCCCATGATGTCTGCGTTTCCCCCCCCCCCTCCACCTCTCCCCCCCCCACCAGATGAGCTGGCGCCTCCTCCCAAACCCCCCTTTGCTGATGAGGAGGAGGAGGAGGAGATGCTGCTGAGGGAGACCTGTCTGATGTCCATGGTCAACAAGAGGGTGTCGTCCACAGAGGTGATGTAGCTGAGACGGTTGGTGTCTCCGTGCGGTCAACCTGTCAGCGCGCTAAACAGACCTCTGGTGTCTCTCTGCAGGAGAATAGCTCCAGTGGTCCTCCTTCTCCCATCGCTCCTCCGCTCCTCCTCCAGCAGCCAGTCAGTGGGAACCTGAGCACCGTCAGTCTGAACACCGTCACTCAGGCCAGAAGCAGCAAGTTTAACAGAGGACACCATGCTGCCAGAGCACCGCTTGTGGTGAGGGGTGTGGAGGTGTAGGGGGTGTAGGGATGGAGGATGACGGCGATGATAATCATCTCTGTTTCTCCTTCCAGCTGCCCAGACACAAGTCGGTGGTGATTTCTCTCGTGGACTCAGACGACAGTGACTCAGACCTGGACGCCTGCAGCTCCAACCAGACTTTTGGAGGACTGGAGTCCATGATCAGAGAGGCCCGGAGGACAGTGGAGGTGAGTCCTTTTTCATAGGAGACAGTGGATGACCTTAGAGCATGGGTCCCCAAACACCAATCGCCGTACCGGTTAACCCCTCAAATTATTTTGTCCCTGGAGCTTACAAATTATCAAAATATTTTCTAATATGAAACCGGTCCGTGAGGCAAGAAATGTTTGGGAACCCTGACTTGGAGCACACCAAAAGAAGATGTTAGACCTTCTAAGCTAATTTTAGGTAAGGGGTCACATCCTCCAGTGGGCCAGATCAGGGTGCCCACACTCTGTTGGCACGTGAGCTACTTTTCAATTGCCCCCCCCCCCCCCCCACCCCCCTCCCCTTCCAGGCTGCCCATCAACTATGATTATTACTGATAAATAACAGATCAATCTTTGTAATGTTACGAAACACTTCTGGGAGACAAACCCATGGCCCGGGGGACAAATGTGCTGCCTGATGAGAAGACTGTGGGCGGGACCACTGGGTTCAAACTGTTGTTTGGTCCCTTTTTAGGCAGCAAAGCCGAAAGCAGCATCGGGCAGTGAGAAGGAGAACAACCCGGTCAGAACACCTGAGACTCTACCTGAAGACAAGAGGGCCGAGTACCGCCTGCTCAAGGAGGAGATCGCCAGGTAAACACTGCATCCACAGACACACTCAGGCCTTCAGTGGACGTGTCCAACCCTCTGTGTCCTCTATATCCTCCTGCAGCAGGGAGAAACAGAAGATGATGAAGGACCACAACCCTTGGAGCTCCTCGGCCCCTGTCGTCTCAGACCTTGGGATGGAGACGTCCGTAAAAGCGGCCGCAGAGCAGAGGGTAATCGAGGCAGACCAGAGACTCAACAAGCACAGGTGAGTCCCTCAGAGCAGGTCCTGGTCCTCTTCGCATTCTTCGGAGACTCTGTAAACGATGGACCTTCTTCCTGTCTCGCAGAGAGCTGCTGCAGAGGGACGAGGCCATCCTGAGACATCTGCTCCAACAGGAGCTGAAAAAGAGAGACTCTCTGAAAGCCGCTGAGGCCAAAGTGGTGAAGCTTCGAGAGCAGCTGCAGGCCTCTGAGAAGATAGTTTTCGCCAACAAGACGCTGCTGAAGAAGCTGCAGGAGCAGGTGGGTCCTCTGGACACTTACTAGTGATCTAAACACAGCTTGTAAACACACCTGAGTCTGAACCCTGCTGCTTCATGTCCCACCTGTGCAGGTGCATCGTGTTGAGCATCGTGTGTCCATAAAGAAGAGTCAGTCTTCCCGCATGGAACAGGAGCTGTCACAGGCTCAGCTGACGGCAGGCAGAGGGCCCAAACGCAGGGCGGACTCGACCCAGAGTCAGGTGAGAACACACTGTAGACTGTAGATCCCACTAACGTTACTTAAGCTCCTTGTTACTTTAGATCCTGCTAATTTTACTTAAGCGCCTTCAAACTACTTCCAACGTTAAATCCTTGGCTCTTCAGCTCCTCCTAACGTTACTTTAGCTGCATGTTACTGTCAATCATGCCAACGTAACTAGCCCCAGTTTTCGTCCCGACGTTACATTAGCTCCCGTTACATGAGAGGCAAGGACTGTTGGCCCCTGTTATCGTTGCATAGGTAGCATTGTTTAGCAGCCTGATAATATGATGCACAGTTGTTCGAGTGTTGTTGGACTTTCAGGGTGAAAAACAGTGAGTTTGTGAACACAATCACTTATCAGGCTTCCATGCCTTGCTGACCCCGTCGTGTCCCACAGCCCAGTAAGATGCAGCGAGTGGACGGACCTCTTCGCGGATCCGAGCGTCACTTTGCAGAGCTCATCGCTCAGAAGCAGCGTCTGCAGCAGCTGGAGTCCGAGTACGCTCTGAAGATCCAGAAGCTGAAGGAGACCCAGGCCCTGTGCAACAGAGGACAGCCATCAGAGCCCCCGCCACCGGCCTCCACCCCCCTCCAGTCTACGAGCCAGGCTCCGCCTCCTGCCTCCTTTCCCCTGCCACAGCCCTCCCTGCACGACCTGACCCAGGACAAGCTCACCCTGGACAGCGAAGACGTTCCAGAGGCCGACGAGCAGGAAACTGAACCGGCGCCTGCCAAAGTAACCCGCCGAAACTCCCTTCGCCAGTCTAGCTGCTCCTTCACCAAACCCAACCTGGAGCAGCTGAGCTCCACCTCTGCTGTGGACTCTGCTGTGGACTCTGCTGTGGACAGAGCCGGCAGCAGGCCTTCTGCGGAGATGTTCACAGGGCTGGACTTGGAGGCCTTAAAGCTCGGGTACCAGCAGCAGGCCCGGCTGGGAGAGCTGCTGCAGAAGGAGCTGCAGACGGTGGGCGGTCACGTCCAGGGACCCCCGGCTGCACAGGTTAGCAGCACGTCTATGGACATGGACACGTAACAAACTGATCGTCCTGTCACATCATGTCTTGGTGTCTTTATGTTGTCTCCATCTCTGTGCAGGTGATCCCAGTGGAGGTGGACTCATCCAGCAGCCAATCAGGGAGCTCAGATCTGAGGCCTGTTCCCTTTGGACCCTATCACAGTCCCCTACTGGCCTTCAGGTCCTACAGGTACATTAGTTCATTGGCTTCATCTATGATACTCACGCCGTCCCGTATCGGAACATGTCCCACTATGTCCCCTCTGCACACCAGCAAGACCCAAAGGACCATAAGAACAAGCCCTGATGTAGACAGGACACACATGGGACATGAGACACGTGTGACTGATGAACACATCTCATATGGTCTCTTTCTCAGGTTCAGTCCGTACTACAGGACCAAGGAGAAGTTGTCGCTCACCTCTGTCACCTACAGCAACACCATAGAAGCCAGGAGGAGTTTCTGTCGGTTTGACCTCACCGGAACCTGCAACGATGACGAGTGCCGATGGTGAAGAGTCTCTTCCATGATGTCACGTCTATGTCCTATCCTTGTGGTGTTGTGCATTTGTCTTCTCCTTCCTGGTCTCCATGTATCTGGTATCTGTTCTGCAGGCAGCACATGAGGAACTGCACTCTGACTGGAAACCAGCTGTTCCAGGACATCCTGTCCTACAACCTGTCCCTGATCGGCTGCTCAGAGGTCAGCTCTGACGAAGATATCAGTGATTCCACAGGTGAGCTCACGATGACCTGGTCCTCAGTAACGTTGCACGGTATATGCATACTAAAAAGGTGCCGTGGTACCTGTATTTTAAAAACAATATGATTTTGCATATTTTTAATAGTGATCTCATTAAAATAGTGCGCAGAATTGAAATTGAATGTACAATACATTCAATTTGACAAATTATTCAAAAATGATTTAAATAATTGCGAGTAGTAAGCCAGGTGTACGGCGGCACCACTGCAGGAGCAACCACCATCAGATAGTGCTTTCCCTCCCCACATGATTCTTCTAAGACTTTAGGAAAGAAGCTGATTACAGAAATAGTAATGTGATTTAATATTTATAATACTTATATAAAAAGTACTTTGGCTACCTTACATAGCCATGTTTACCATTTCTCACCTTTTCCTGTGTGGTTTGTGTAGAGAAGTACATGAAGAAGCTGTTTGGCACAAACAAGGACCGGATGGGCGTGGACCAGAAGGCCGTCTTGCTTGTCAGCAAAGTGAACGAAAGCAAGCGACACGGTGAGGGACCTTTTCTCTTTCCCATCATTGTCATCTTAATCATGGGAAGATGTCCTCTGACCCGTCTGTCCTCCTCCAGTCCCTCCTTTCACCACTTGCAAAGACACAAGGACATGGAGGCCGAGGTCGTCTGCTCACAACGGCTTGGGCCCGGAGGACAACAGCGGAGACGAGTCGTCAGGAGGACATCCGACCACAGGGAGACACGGTGAGGACAGGCGGTGGAATGCTTTTTTTATTCAGTCTGTTTTTTCCAAACAGACGGGTGCGGGTCTCTCACTTGAACCACCATGTAAATCCCACAACCATGAGAACATCCAACTATATGTTCCATTATATCTGGACTTCAGTATGGAGCTTAATAGAGACAATACGTGTCAACTAGGGGCATCGCTACTGTGTTATAGAGATAAGACATAATACATGCTACATGGTAACGCATGTTATTATAGAGGGAATACATGTTATTCTGATGGTGTCCACTAGAGGCATCACTACTGTGTTGTGGAGCACTAATCAATGAGGCTGACATTTAGTACAAAGAATACCAATGTCTTCATGTTGAATTAAATATCAGCAAATCTCTCTGCAGATGGCGTCTCTAGAACCAGCCTCTCGGCTCTGGACGCCTGCGTCACATCGGAGGACAAACGGTATTTTGTCAGTGAGACGGACGACATATCGAACCTGGAGACCAGCGTCCTGGAGAGTCCACGAGACACCCAGCTGTGGATCAAGTTGGCCTTCAAGTACCTCAACCAGGATGAGACGTGAGTCCTGGTCTGACGTCTGCTTCTGTAGGATGAGAACCTTGTGTTCCTTTTAGAGGGCTGTTAACGTTGGATGAGAACTGGAGGTTTGTTCTCCAATTCTATAAGATACTAACCTGATGTTCTTCTGTAGGTCTGCCGAAGAGTGTTTGGAAGCAGCCCTGAACACATTGTCTCGAGCTCTGGAGAGTAACTGCGAGAACCCAGAGGTGTGGAGCCATTACCTGTCCTTGTTCTCGAGGCGAGGCAGCAGGGAGGAGGTCCAGGAGATGTGTGAGATGGCCGTAGAACACGCTCCAGACTACAAAGTGTGGTGGAACGTAAGAAGGATCCTTTTCTTTACACAGAACTTTTACCGGGTCTGCTGATCTGATAAATCACTGTCAACGTGTTCCTCACATGTTCCTCTCAGTACCTGAAGCTGGAGGTTTCGTTTGAGGGGAAGGACTACGTTTGTGACCGACTGCTTCAGTTTCTGGTGTCTGAAGCGTCTTCTGCGGTCACAGACAGACTGTCCTTCCAGCTGATGGAGGCGCTGCTCTACAGAGTCCAGCTCAACCTGTTCACGGGGCGCATGGAGAGTGCATTGGCTATCCTCCAGGTGAGTGGAGGTCTCGGTCTGTCTTCTGCTCTTCTTGATGGGGGACGTGAACATAAACGTTCTCTTTCTTTGCAGGGCGCCCTGAAATCGGCCCACAACAGGAGCATCGCTGAGCACCTGACGGCCGGCGACCGAGCGCTGCTGTGGCTCTCCTACATCCACCTGACGGAGTTTGACCGGCTGCCAGCCGGCCTGCTGGACCCGGTGGAGTCCGGTCCGTCCCGACTGGTGAGCAGAGAGTCCTTCTTGCTGCCCTGGAGGACACCGCAAGACGTCAGCTCACCACTCCACATCCTGGTGGCTTTGTTCAGAGGTACAGAGGGAAAGTCATCTGTCAGAGCTCTTCAGTTTGTTCTGCTTCTACAACTGTTCTGCTTTCCCTCCTAAGATGCCGTCCATCAGTGCTCTGATGAGTCTCTGCCTCCGAGTCAGAGGACGCTGGCCTGCCTTCCTCTTCACAACAACCTCCTCTTCCTCTACAAACTGCTGGACAGGTGAGGGGGAGGGGTGGGTAATATGGTCACCAATGTTCTCTTTATAAGAACCACCACTGGCTGTTCGTCCTGAGGTGGTCTGCAAGTACCGGTACTTGTTTCTTGAATGTCTCTCTAACAGCTCCTCTGATTGGCCCACAGGCTGGATGAGGGCGTGGCTCTTTGCAAGTCTCTGCTGGAGCTCCGCCCCGAGTCCTGCTCTCTGAGGGAGGCTCTGGCCGACCTCCACATCAGGAAGGGATGCGCAGACCAGGCGGTCAGCATGTGGCTTCACGCTCTGGCCGAGTGTCCCAACAACGCAGAGGTTTTCTACCACTCCTGCAAGTTCCTCGTTGCTCAGGTGAGTCCAGGTGTACAGGGTGACATGATCAAGGCAGGTTCCGAGTACGTGAAGGGCCGTGACGGAGGTGTTAAAATGTCCCGCAGGAGAAGTCCAGTGCCATCGCTCCTCTGTTTCGAGGGTTCATCCTGTCGCTATGTGAAGACCAGCAGAGTGAGAAGAAGCCGGTGGAGGTTCTGAGGTGAGTGTTTTGAGCTGAACTAGACATTAAATATACTCTGGAATGTGGAACATTTATTGCCAAAATATGTTCGACATACAAGGAATTTGACATGGCGGTTGGTGCATAATATCGGACAATGAGACAATGGACAACAAGACAAATAACATGGTGCAAAAGCTCTTCAGTATAAAATAGAATTATATGGGATTAAATTCAAAATAAAGTGCACTAGCAAACGGATGACCAACTTTCACTGAAGTGAAAGTGACAAGTATATGCATGTGGAGTGTGAAGGGAGTGACTGGTGGGAAAAGGGGTGTCAGTCAGTCAGTGGGGGACCCGGGCTCTGTTGATGAGCCCGACTGCCGACAGGAAGAAACTGTTTGAGGACTTTAAAGAGAAACGGCCTGTTTTCTATTCCCTGCAGACACATCCTTGGTTTCCCCACTGAGGAGCTGCTGAGAGGTCTCATTATCAAGGAGCTTCAGGAGCAGCTCAGTCAACAGATGCCCTACCTCCACCTCATCCACTGGTGTGTCTCCATCTGTTCAGGGCGTGGCTAGAAGTTGGTGACAAGAATTTAGCCAGAAGACATCTTCGTGACTGATGTTTCCGAATTTTCTCCTTTTTAGATCTATTTCTCACAGGAAAGTTGGACAAGTGGCTAATTCTGTAGAGTGATATGTTGATAGCTTAGCATATTGACAAGTTTGATGTATGACCTCAGTTGCTTCCTGACACTGTCAGGACGACAGAACTTTTACTCTGAAGGGATGCTCGCCCCTTTCAGAGTAAAAGTCCTGGTAGGATTCACTTTCACAGTAATGATAACTTTTCATGTCATATAAATATTAAATGTCATGACATCCCGGGGAATCCTTTGATAACTGGTTCAATAACTGTCTCCTTGTTGTGTTTCATTCTGTTGTATTGATCCAAATTGTTTTAGTCGCTGGCAGTGGCTTCACGGCTCTGTGGAGGACACGGTGGACGCCTTTGAGAGAGGACTGGGGACAGCTATGCAGCTGGATGAGCTCCACAAGCTGTGGATGGAGTGAGTCTCGCCTGTAGTTACCAAGTGTGTCTGTCTCCTAGGGACCCTGTGTGTCTCTTAGTGACCCTGCATGGTTCTCTGTCTCTTAGCAACCCCATGCGTCTCTCAGTGACCCCATGGTTCTGTCTCTTAGCGACCTATCCATCTCTGAGTTACCCTGTGCGTCTCTTAGTGACCCAGTGCGTCTTTGTCTCTTAGTGACCCTGTGCGTCTCTGTCTCTTAGTTACCTGGTGTTCAGCAGCAGTCAGCAGACCCGATGTCAGTCCAAACTGTTCTCAGATCTGGTCCACCGGTGTCTGAGCACCGTCCCGTCTCGACTAGAGGTTCCCTTCAACCCAGCAGAGTTCTGGAGCTGCTACAGCTTCCACAACAAGGTAAGACATGTCTATCTGTCCCTTGTCTCTGTCTGTCTTTACCCTTAAAAGGTGTAAGCTTAAACTCTGTGTTGATTGGCTCCTCAGGTGGTAACTCTCTACCTGAGCTGTCTGCCTCAGTCCCAGCATGCTCTTGTCCTGGAGAGACTAAGATACGCTATGCCTAACAACACCGAGCTGGGCCTCAGGTACACACATGCTGTAACCATGGGGATGACTCCAGCTGTGTGGTTGTTGTGTTTGTCTCTCCTGAGTTGCTGTGTTGTCCTCAGGTTGCTGCATCAGGAGTGGAAGGATGGAAACATTGAGCACCTCAAGTTCCAGGTCCAGATGTTAAGTAGCCAGGCTCCAAAGTGTCTGGCCTACTGGGAGATGTGAGTCACACACTCACACACACACAGACGGGCGCACACACCCACAGACAGACGCATAACTGACTGTTTGAGGGTGTGGCCTAATGGATCTGATGGTGTTGTGGGTGGGGCCTAATGGTCTGAAGGTGTGTTACTGGCGTACGACGTGTGCGTCAAAAAGCACAACTCTGCTGTGCCTTTGCACGTAAATAGGTTATGCCAGTAATCGTCTACGTTACGTATCAACATTGACCAATTAAAATCAAGATATTACTGGACATTTGTGCCCTGACGTCACTACGCCAGCTGCGTTGTAAGCGTATTTCCGTGAAATTCCCGGAAGTCAAAATGATTGCGGTGTCTGCCAATTTAACGGATCTGAGACGAGTTTTACAACGCTGTGATTGACGTGTTCACGAGGAAAGAAGTGGCCTAACTCCGTGCCTACCCTCTTACTGACATCACCGCACGTCACAGGAACTGCTGGCGTTTGTGGGTGGAGCCTAATGGTGTTTGTGCTGTGTCTCTCAGACTCATAGCGGTGGCGACGGAGCTCAAGGAGCCATCTGAGGTGAGTGAGTGACGGAGGAAAGTGTCCTGATCCTAGATCAGCTGTTCCTCTCTAAGTGGACGGAGCCGCCGACCATCGTGTGACTCGTCTGACTCTTACCTCCCCCTACCCCCCCCCCCCCCCCCCAGGCTCTGTATGAGTGGTGATTGACTGTTTGATTGACGATACTTCTGTATTCTCTGACTCCATGCTCCACCCTCTGCTGTCTCCTCCTCCTCCTCCCTCCTTTATGTTACTTCATTTCTCCTCTAGGTCCGACACCTGTATCAGCAGGCTCTCCACCACCTCCCTCTGTGTGCGGCCCTGTGGAAACAATGTTAATTTACCCCATCACTCACTCACTCACACACATACAGGTGACCTTGCTGGACAACTACCCACTTCCTGTGCCTCAGGTATTACCCCACTTGTGCCTCGGGTGAATTAAGAGCCTTGGCTTTCTCCCTGTAGGGGTACTAGCTTGTCCACCTAAGACACAGGAAGTGAAGGACTTAATAGCTGTGTCTCATTCGGTCGGCTGCATCCTCCAGAGAAGCTGGTCTTCTGGTCCAAGTCGGCCTAGTCCTTCAGAGACTGCATAGGCTGAACCAAGCAGCCCCTGAAGTGGGAAGGTCTGTCCTTCGGGGAACTTCCTGCCTGTACAATTTTTAAGTGCTACAATTTGTTAGTCTTTTAGTCGAGGTAGAGTCTGAAGAGGTGTGTCCTTAGTTTGCGGCGGAAGATGTGAAGGCTCTCTGCGGTCCTGGTGTCTTCAGAGAGCTCGTTCCACCATTTCGGAGCCAGGAATACCTTCTGTATAAACTGGGAGGATGGGTTGACAAGATGAGACACTGCTAATGTTCACACTTCAGCTGTTAGACGCATGTTCACCTACTACCCACCCTCCCTCCCTCTCTGCCCCCCCCCCCCTTCCCTGCAGCGCTTGCTGTTTGAAGCAGCAGAAGGAGGCAGCGCGGACCGGCTGAGGAGGCTCCTGCTCAGGTGTCAGCAGGTGGGCGTGAGTCTCAGTGAGCGGCTCAGCTTAGCAGTGTCTCCCCAGCAGACCTAGGATCAGTGACACTCAGACTCAGACTTAGTAGAACAGTGAATAACTCAGTGAGAGCAGATAGACCAGTCGAGGTAAGACCGACATCCCCCCCCGCCCCCCTCACCTGGAGCTGCTTGTATGACAACATGTACGTAAGTATGGAGCTGCTGAGTGACTGTTTGTTCATGTTCTCTCGTTTCTGTTCCCTTTCATTTGGATCCATCTCCTGTTTGATTTTACCTGCGTTTGTGGAGAGGGGGTGGGGGTGTTAAAAGATGTTTGCCCTCCTGTACATCAGCACGTTGTCTTTTCTTTGTCTCCCGAAGAAACAATATAAATTGTAAAAGTCAAACTAAAGGCCAAGTAAATCGTTTGTACTGGTCTCTGTCTGAGAGACTCTGGACCAGCAGAACTCTACAGCAGTGGTCCCCAACCACCGGGCCGCGGACCGGTACCAGTCCGTGGGCCGTTTGGTACCGGGCCGCACCACAGAAAGCATATATATATATATTTTTTTTTTCTGCAAAATGTTTTATTTTGAAAATTGACCGGCTTTTCTCCTAATTATGTGCGCTCGTCCCTCTGACATATTCCCCACGCGTCACCAGGCGTTTTTCTTGTCCTTTCACCGTGCACGGCAGTTTCGCCGACCCTGCGAACACAGAGCGCGCGCCTACTACTTCAC